GTCCACCACCACCACCACCACCACCACCACCACGATCATCATCGTCATCATCAAAAATTACTAACTTCAACGACCCCCCCTCTGGCAGATCAAAAATTTGTTCAAAAAAAAGCACCTGGTGCCCGCAGAAAACAACGCCTTTCTAGACCCCGTGGCACCTCCTCCAAAGACCCAGGTACTCAACAAACCCTCCCAAACCGTCGACGGCGGTGCCACCCCCGTCATGAACTCACTGGACATCATCAAGGGCGACACCGACGCTATTGAGTCTGCAATCCTGTACAACTCGGATTCCAGCACCAACGGTAACGGGTCTGACCAAACGGTTCTCAATGACCGCAGCCGCACTCGGGTCCCCGGTTTGACGTGCAGAGAGAACAGCAACGATGTCCAGTCGACAACGGCTGCAGCGGCGGCCAGAAAACTAGAGGAAGGAGAAGCAGCGGCCGCAGACATCATCTCTTTGGACGCTGAGAGTACAGGCGATTCTTCCAATGGCTATCTGATCGACGAAGAGCCAGAGGAGATTTTTGCGGAACAGTCCGAGCTCCCAGACTTCAAATTGATCGCCAAGATTGGTGAAGGCGCGTTCTCCAAGGTTTTTAGAGCCGTACCGCAGCCTCACTCCACCAATGGCTTTTTGTCCAGAACTTTCCAGCAGGTGGCTGTGAAAGTCATCAACAAACGCGAACTCACGTCTTCCCACAAGGACTCCAAAAGTAAGACTACTTCCAAGGAACAGGTTCTCAAGGAAGTTGCCATCCACAGAACCGTCTCTGCAAGCGATAACGTGGTGTCTTTTGTAGATTTCCACGAAAGCGAACAATTCTATTTCATCATTCAAGAACTTCTGGCCGGTGGAGAGATCTTTGGAGAGATTGTGCGGCTGACGTATTTTAGCGAAGACCTGTCGCGCCATGTTATCCGTCAGTTGGCCTTAGCTGTTCAGCACATGCACGCGCTCGGCATAGTACACCGTGACATCAAACCTGAAAATTTGCTATTCGAGCCCATCGATTACGAACCTTCGCCGACTCCAGTTCTTCGAAGGTCCGATGACCCCAAGACCAAACAGGACGAAGGTGTTTTCAGACCTGGTATTGGTGGTGGTGGCATCGGTGTCGTGAAACTGGCCGATTTCGGTCTGTGCAAACAGATATACTCTACAAACACCAAGACTCCCTGCGGGACAGTGGGATACACCGCTCCGGAAGTGGTGAAAGACGAAAGGTATTCGATGAAGGTCGATATGTGGGGTATCGGTTGTGTGCTTTACACCGTACTGTGTGGGTTCCCACCTTTCTACGATGAAAAGATAGACGTCTTAACAGAAAAGATCTCCAAAGGTGAGTTCACATTCCTGCGGCCTTGGTGGGATGAGATAAGTGACGGTGCTAAGAACGCAGTACGGAAGCTTTTAGAGGTTGATCCAAAAAAGCGTTACAATATAGATGAGTTTTTGACCGACCCTTGGCTGAATCAATACGATTGTACGCGGCTCCAAGGTCTCAAAAAGCATAAAAACGAATCTGCGGAAAACGTGTACAACATGTCGTCCAAGAAGAAGCGTCACAACCGTCACATGGGTTTCAAACGCGATTCTTCGCTATTGTACTCACCAGCTGCTGTTGCAATGCGTGATGCTTTTGAAGTCACCAACGCTTTGAAGCGGGAAGAAGAAACTAAAAGACGCGCACCTGCGGGTGTAGATCTAGGACTCTTGCCAGAAGATGAAGAAATGGGGTTGGAGGATGACATGTTCCAATTGCGTCTAAATTCCTCAACTATTATCAAGAGACGTCAGCACAAGGGTGATCCTGTCGAGGTGCCTGCTGCTGTTGCAGAGTAGACTTTTTAAGACACGGTTGGGAGAAGAGTCAGTCATATATGCGCAAGCAATTACTTTCGTTTTTTCTGATAACCAGTTTGGGCTTTCTGTTTGGCCTCTCATTTAGAAACTATGTCCCCGAATACCGTGTATCTGTCGATATTTTCAAATTTTCCTTGACCTCTTTTTGAAGATCTCTGAAGTGAGTTTTGCAGCAGCGTTTTTCCCTGACGGGTCAGTGGGTTGACTGCTGAAAGCGAAACTTCCATGTGTACTAGAATCAAATTATTATACAAGCCTAGCATCCAAATGCGCTAAACCACCGTTAAATAAGGTATTAATTTAATGATTATTTGTGTTAAGTCATTGTCTGTGTTGGAGAGGTGGAGGAGGTGAAAGGTCGGCGCTTGAACCAGCGGCAACATCTTTGTAGTTATTGAGGTCATGTTGCTGGCCTGTACAATGACAGGACTTCAAAACCGAGTGTCAGTTCTTATGATGCCATATTTTGAAGTGTTGCCCAAGGAGGAAGGAAAGGATTGTTGAAGCTTCAAGGACCAAAGGTCGCGTTGGGATGGCTATTCTACTGCTACCGTTTGGTTCACACTCTTTATTTTTTGAAGTCCCCGGATTTTAAGAATAGCTACGGAGTGTCCAGGGTTTTGTACAAGCAACTGGCCTAGGAAGATACGCTATCCACTATCCCCAAGAAATGCACGGCGAGCAACAATTGTAGGACTTTGAAATTCCATAGAGTCCCATGTTCATTTTCGAGCTTCCGACACTTCTGTAAACCCAAAATCAAGTGGTCTCTCTCTTTCCACCCCCATGAACGGGTATCCACTCTGTACACAATCTCAAATCCGATGACTTCTCCCCACGCTTCTTCCTTTGCTGACAGAGACATCGTATGTCGCACGTCTGCAACTGCTTCATCACCAGCGTGGCGCGCTGTCGTGCTCATGTGTGTGCTCCTATGCGTACTCATACGTATACTCGTGTTTGTACTCATAGATGTACTCGTGCGTGTACTCGTACTTGTACTCATAGATGTACTGGGGTGGCTGTACTCGAGTGTGTACTCGCACGCGTACTCGTACTCGCCTGGATCTGCTCTTTTCCCAGAAAAGAAACACTCCAATTTGCCCGCCGACCACCCACGTGACACCGTCCTCGCTCGTCCAAAATGCCCCAGTCACACGCCCTATTTACGAAAAAGAAAAAAATTTTCTTTTTCACACTATGATGATTTTTTGAAAAACAATATTTTGATGCCGATGAGATGAGCACAGTGAAAAAAAAATTGTGCAAAAATTTTCCACGATTCCTGGCTATATATAAGAAACACGGAATTGACGAAGACATCGATCGTGCATCTTCCCAAGCTCCCTCTTACTTTCGGCGTTGATACTCTTTTTGAGAACGTTCTTCTTCAGATAAATCCATCAAGATGTCTGACTCGGAACAGTCCATCAAAGTTCTTAACGAGCTTTTTGAGAAGCTTGCGGTCGCTACTCCTGAAACCAGAGAGTCGACCGCTTCTGAGATCTCTTCGTTCGTGAACGGCAACATCATCGAGCATGATGTGCCAGAACAGTTCTTCATGTCCATCTCTAAGGCGTTGAAGGACAAGAAGACCGCTGCCAACGCTTTGGAGGCCGTTTCGCGCGTCGCCAGCGAGACCAACTTGTCGCCAGCCATCGAGGCCAGCGTCGTGCGTCTCGTGCCTGAGGTCAGCGCCAAGGCTGCCGACAAGGACAAGGACGTGCAGCAGCAGGCTGCCACCGCCTTGGTGTCGATCGTCAAGGCCGTCAACCCAGTCGCCGTCAAGATCCTTCTACCACACTTGACCTCGAGCTTGGCCAACACCAACAAGTGGTTGGAAAAGGTGGCCATTCTCTCGGCCATCTCCGCTCTTGTGGACGCCGCCAAGGTCCAGGTCGCCCTCAGAATGCCTGAGTTGATACCTGTGCTTTCTGAGGCCATGTGGGACACCAAGAAGGAGGTCAAAGAGGCTGCCACAGCCACCATCACCAAGGCCACCGAAACCGTCGAGAACAAGGATATCGAGCGTTTCATTCCTAAGTTGATCGAGTGTATCGCCAACCCCAACGACGTCCCAGAGACTGTGCACTTGTTGGGTGCCACCACTTTCGTCGCTGAAGTCACCCCAGCCACTTTGTCCATCATGGTGCCATTGTTGGCCAGAGGTCTTGCCGAAAGAGAAACCTCCATCAAGCGTAAGGCCGCCGTCATCATCGACAACATGTGTAAGTTGGTCGAGGACCCACAGGTCGTTGCTCCTTTCTTGAGCAAGTTGCTACCAGGTTTGAAGAACAACTTCGCCACCATTGCCGACCCAGAAGCCCGTGAAGTCACTTTGAGAGCTTTGAAGACTTTGAGAAGAGTCGGTAACGTTGGTGAAAACGACGCTCTACCAGAAGTTTCCCACGCTGGTGACATTTCTACCACCAGAGGTGTCTTGGACGGTTTGCTAAAGAACGACAAGCCAGCCGCCAGATTCGAGCACGTTGTCCAATACGTTGCCGGTGTTGCCGCCGACTTGATCGACGAGAGAATCATCGACCAACAGGCCTGGTTCACCCACGTCTTGCCTTACGCCACCGTCTTCTTGCACGAGAGACAGGCTAAGGAGATCATCGACGACTTCAGAAAGTTGGCTGTCGACAACATCCCAGTCGGTCCAAACTTCGACGACGAAGAAGACGAAGGTGAAGACCTATGTAACTGTGAGTTCTCTTTGGCTTACGGTGCTAAGATCTTGCTAAACAAGACTCAATTGAGATTGAAGAGAGCCAGAAGATACGGTTTGTGTGGTCCTAACGGTGCTGGTAAGTCCACCTTGATGAGAGCCATTGCCAACGGTCAAGTTGACGGTTTCCCAACTCAAGAGGAATGTAGAACGGTTTACGTTGAGCACGACATTGACGGTACCCACGCCGAAACTTCCGTTGTTGACTTCGTTTTCCAAGGTGACGTTGGTTCCAAGGAAATCATCACTGCCAAGCTAAGAGAATTCGGTTTCTCTGAGGAGATGATCACTATGCCTATCTCCTCTTTGTCTGGTGGTTGGAAGATGAAATTGGCTTTGGCCAGAGCTGTGTTGAAGAACGCTGATATTCTATTGTTGGATGAGCCAACTAACCATTTGGACACTGTTAACGTCGCTTGGTTGGTCAACTACCTAAACACCTGTGGTATCACTTCCATCATTGTGTCTCACGACTCCGGCTTCTTGGACAAGGTTACTCAATACATTATCCACTACGAAGGTTTGAAGCTAAGAAAGTATAAGGGTAACATGTCTGAGTTCGTCAAGAAGTGCCCAACCGCCAAGTCTTACTACGAATTGGGTGCCTCCGACTTGGAGTTCAGATTCCCAGAACCAGGTTTCTTGGAAGGTGTTAAGACCAAGCAAAAGGCTATCGTCAAGGTCTCTAACATGACCTTCCAATACCCAGGTACCGCCAAGCCTCAGATTCAGGACATTTCTTTCCAATGTTCTTTGTCTTCGAGAATTGCCGTCATCGGTCCTAACGGTGCTGGTAAGTCCACTTTGATCAACGTGTTGACCGGTGAACTATTGCCAACCATTGGTGAAGTCTACACTCACGAAAATTGTCGTATCGCTTACATCAAGCAACACGCTTTCGCCCACATTGAATCTCACTTGGACAAGACTCCATCTGAGTACATCCAATGGAGATTCCAAACTGGTGAAGACAGAGAAACCATGGACAGAGCTAACAGACAGATTAACGAAGATGATGCTGAAGCCATGAACAAGATCTTCAAGATCGAAGGTACTCCAAGAAGAATCGCCGGTATCCACGCCAGAAGAAAGTTCAAGAACACTTACGAGTACGAATGTTCTTTCACTTTGGGTGAGAACATCGGTATGAAGTCCGAGAGATGGGTTCCAATGATGTCCGTTGACAACGCCTGGATTCCAAGAGGTGAATTGGTCGAGTCTCACTCCAAGATGGTTGCTGAAGTCGACATGAAGGAAGCTTTGGCCTCCGGTCAGTTCCGTCCTTTGACCAGAAAAGAAATTGAAGAGCACTGTGCCATGTTGGGTCTAGACGCCGAATTGGTTTCTCACTCCAGAATCAGAGGTTTGTCTGGTGGTCAAAAGGTTAAGTTGGTCTTGGCCGCCTGTTCGTGGCAAAGACCTCACTTGATCGTCTTGGACGAGCCCACTAACTACTTGGACAGAGACTCTTTGGGTGCTCTATCCAAGGCTTTGAAGGCCTTCGAAGGTGGTGTCATTATCATTACTCACTCTGCCGAGTTCACCAAGAACTTGACTGAAGAAGTGTGGGCCGTCAACAACGGTGTCATGGTTCCATCCGGTCACAACTGGGTTGCTGGCCAAGGTACCGGTCCAAGACTAGAGAAAAAGGAAGACGAAGGTGACAAATTCGACGCCATGGGTAACAAGATCAGCTCTGGTAACAAGAAGAAGAAGTTGTCTTCTGCCGAGTTGAGAAAGAAGAAGAAGGAGAGAATGAAGAAGAAGAAGGAATTGGGTGATGCCTACGTTTCTTCCGATGACGAATTTTAAAGAATGATAAACTGTATTTAGTTCTTCTTTTTCATCTCATCATTGTTTTAACGCGGGAATAAAGGAGACTTCTTCCCTTCATTAGAGATTGTTCGGTTCCCAGAAATCGGGCTTTCTTCTGCTACATGTATTCTAGTTTGGTGTTCACACTTAAGTAATAGAGATTGTAAACTCTCAAGCTGTTCTATTTTTTAAGATTTACTGGTTCTCTGACGACATAAAATTACAAAATTATTGTTTGTTTTGCTCGGCGCTTAATCCTGAATATAAGTAAGGTGAATGCTCTGTACTGAAAATGAAGCTTGTTGTCCTTCACATTTTGCATATAAGCGTATTGTTCACCTACTTTAGTTGTGTCAGCAGCTCGTCTCATCTGGAATCTACGTTTTCGGGTGTAAAATGTCCTAATACTTCGCTAATTAGAGAGGCAAAGGTAAGATACAATTCTAGTGCAAAAACCCTTCGACCTGCTTAACATATTTATGTGAACTAACTTTACGTGTAGTCCTCGCTGTGCGAAGACGAGAAAACCTATGTAGCCAACCGTCAATTTCTGATGAAAGGCCGCCTTGAGGACTTCATGAGGACTTTGAGTGCTCGGTCCTCAGATATAGACAGTTTGTCTCTGCTATCGCAAGAGCCCATCAACATAGGACTTGCAATTTCTGGTGGAGGTTTCCGGTCAATGCTTACTGGATCGGGCTTCATCTTAAAGATGGAGGAATATGGACTAGTAGATTGCCTGAATTATGTCGCAGGCACGTCTGGAGGCAGCTGGATTCTGGCCAAATTAGCTCTCAATGACTTTGACATGGAATCTTTCAATGAGTGGGATATCAGGGAAAGTCTACTGAGGGGCGTGCCTGACACAGACATATCCGAAAGCAGTGTTGTGACAATGTTCGATTCCGACGACTTGAACGAGATCTTCACTGCTGATGAATGGTTTTATCAAAAGCTGTCCCATGTATCCAAGCTCTGGAAAAGGAGTTTGATGTCTACGAGAAAATTGGAAACCCCGTTCGAGAAGTTCTACTCGCAGCTAGAGGAACAACTTGTAACACAGAAGCGCCAAGGTTTTGAGAAAAGAAGTCCAGAGTTCTTCACCAAAATCAAGCAGGTCATCTCGAAAGTATTCGATGCTAGCAATGAGGCAAATTCTAGCATTGGCCGAATTGTTGAGGCTTCCCGCAATTTTTCGGAGATTTTACAGTTCTACGTCAACCTGCACTTAACGGTTAAAGCGAAGAAACTAAGCGGTTTCCCGCTATCTTTCACAGATTATTGGGGTCACGCCTTAGTCAATGGAATCACACCGAAGGCTAGCCATAATTCACTTTCAAAAATTCTTGAGGGCAGCAAGCGGTTTCGGAATTTCGAGACGCCATTACCCATTTTCGTAGCGAACTGCAAAAATGGCAACCTGAAGCACGCGGTTTTCGAGTTCACACCGTTTGAGTTTGGTTCATGGACAAGTCTCAGACTCTTCATGCGCCTGAAGTATCTGGGCTCAACTATGGTTGCGGGTGAGGCGGAAAAGTGCTTATCAGGTTTCGACGAAGTGAGCTTCATCACTGCCACATCATCTTCCATTTTTAACAATGTGCTGATGTGTGTATGGCAGCTGATAGCCCCATCGATGCACACACGGAAAGCAGTGGGCGCCATTCTCAGTGCTTTCAGTCTCGAGTTTGAGAAATCTGGTGGCAATAACTCGCGAGCTCTGAAGATTTCAGCGCGTCCAGAGTATGCGATCTACCATCCAAACCCTTTTTACCAGTATCCGGGCGCCTCGCATCAACTCGCTAGTGAAAGCCGCCTGTATCTAGTTGACGGCGGCGAAGATGGCCAAAATATCCCCATAGGGCCTCTGCTGATTCCAGAACGAAAACTCGATGTTATTTTTGCCCTGGATTCGAGCTCTGATATCAATGGGTACCCCAATGGAACTATGCTGCACAACTTTTACCAAGATAATTGCGTCAGCTCTTTTGAAAACGATTCTAGTGACCATCAGTCACCGTATCAGGTATTGCCATATATTCCTACGAGCGAAGAATTTGTCAAGCACGGTCTGCTGTCCCGTCCGGTTGCATTTGGCTGCCACCTCTCAAGTTTTCCCGGTTTTGATTTGGACTTAAATTCGAACTTGACGTCTTTAGAGCTCCCACCAATTTTGGTCTACCATGCAAACGCTGAACACTCGTTTTCATCAAATGTATCAACATTCAAGCTCAAGTTTACTCATAGTGAAGTGCAACAAATGTTGCAAAATGGTATGGACATTTTCAGTTTCGATTCCAGTCCTCGATACAAAAGATGTCTAGCATGCATTATGGTTAAAAGGGCTCACGACCGAAAACAAAATACGCCCGAACAAAACCCCTTGCCCTTTTTCTGCGAGGTCTGCTTCAGCGAGTATTGCTACAACTGAGCCGCCATCGACAGCTTGAAGTTGGCACGATGTGCGTCCAGAAGCTGTCGTCGCATTAATTACGATAAAAGTCTCAAATGATCCAATATATTCGCAACTTAACTTCACATTGCCTAACCTTCCTCCACATCACTGAAACCAACCGAACGATGCTCCGTAAAGTGCTCTTCAGTGTGCTTTTAGCTACTGCGTGGGCTTTTCCAGCTCGTAAAGATGGTTCTGAGATCAATGAAGAAGTAGAAAAGGCTCCACCTGGCTTGTCGTGGGAAGAATGGCATATGCAACATGAGCACCAGACCCAGAAATACGACCCTGAAACGTTTTTTGTACTCCATGATATCGGTCAGAAAGGCTATTTTGACAAAGAAGATATACTTAGCATGTATGGCCTCAATCGTGCAGAGGTTGTAGGAAGTGGCGATGGAATGGGAAAGCACGATAACTCGGAACAGATTGACGTCGAATTGCCCGACAAGGTGTTCCGTCTGATCATGCAGCTATTGGATGTTGACGATGACAGCAAAATAGAGAAAAAGGAATATTTGAGATTTGCGAAGGCCGGAAACAAGATGCCAGATCTGGGAGTCGGGGTTGGCCATCATTCTGACTTTGAGCTGGAATACGAGCTACATCACTGGAACAAGTATCACAGGGACGTCGATCCCTCTGTGAAAATTGTGCATCGCGAAGATATTGAGCACGATTTGCTACATCATGAGCATGAGGTCGAGCATGAGGGCTTGGCCCAACAAGGCGCGTCAAGAGTTACAATCAAGACTGATGACGAGCTAGAGGCCATGATCAAGTTTGAGAGAATTCCTGCAAAATTTAGAATTGGTTTTTAAATTAAAGCGTTGTGTCTGGAGGAAAATGTCAAGGTTTCTGTCTAATAGAATTAAATTATGCAAAAATTTAAGGTCGTAAAGATTGCAGCATCGCGGCCAGCGCGTCGACTTCGAAGCAGTAGGAATCAATGGCAAAAGTTTTGATGCCCAAATGCTCTAAAGATTTCGTATCTACTGGTATCTCGCCATCTTTTAAGTACACCACATCCGTGACAAATTTAGTCCACAACAGCGGCTCTGCTCCTCCTGCGCTTTCAAGTTTATAGCTCTTTCTTCTGCGCTTTTGATTGTTTAACGCCCTATTCATGGACTCTACTATGAGTTGCACGAATTGAGTGCCGTCCATTCCGAAGGTTTCCCTGTCATACTTATTGTTGACGAGGAGCACTTTTCGGGCATGTTCATTTTCCAGTATAGTCTCGGCCACATTGCCAAGAATGATGATGGGAAGAAGACTAGTCATCAAAGACCCAACAGAATAAATGATCATGTCACTATTTCTTAGTTTGCTGACCGCTCGATTATTGCCCTGTGGAAGCACCTCTTCCCCGTAAGGGTTAATGTAGAAAATACGCTTAATCGCCGCAGGCAGCAAATGATCCACATCAATGTCAAGTTTATCGAAATGCAACTGTGAGAGCTTGAGTTCCGGGTGTATGTAGCCAGGATATGCATATTCTTCATCGTCTTCAGAATCTTCGAAGGGATCGTCTGAAGAGCGCTGACTCTTTAAAAACACCGATGAATCGGGCCCCACAAGGGATTCGGTGCTCAAGTTTTGACAAACCACCGGCAATGCATCAGGGCGAACCTTTTTAACCTGTTGTCGCGAAGGGTGTGAGATCTGAGATTGTCCAGTGATCACATCACCGTTTTGCAGAAGAGCAGATATGTGATGCGTGTGGTTTGTGTTTATGCATGGAATGATACTGGTGCGCTCATCGCAACGGCAAACACGAAGGGCAAGCTCGATGGATGCGTCCAAGGATCCCAAAAACAAGCGAACTCCCGTTAGAAAAAGATTACCCACGCTGGCTTTTTCAAACTGGAAGGGAGCTGAAGTTTTGTGCTTCTTCAGGATCTCCGCCTGCGTGTGGATCAAAAATGATCTACATATTTCCTTTACCTCACTGGCAAACCCCGTCCAAACCTCGTGGGTTCCGTCTACAATGGAATTCCACTCCTGTTTAGCGCTAGTGGTTTCTGTGGAAAGCCGAAATCCCAAAAGTTTGGACAGCTTTTTGTCCTTGATCAGATGTACGATTCTAGAACGTATATCTCCTATTGCAGGACCGCCCAAAACCCGAAGAATCTCACTGGTAGACCCCCCATTGTCAGATATTGGGAGTATGAAGGAAAGTTCATTTGAGAGTGCTTCAAAAGCTGGAAGCAAAGCATTGGCAGCCGTACCACCAGAGAGCACGACCAAGTTCATTCGTTTGAAGTCCAGGTTCAGTAATGCAAATTTTTTTTCTGTGGAAGTTATTGTTTTCTGCAGAGACGAGCAAGTGATTCTTGCAAGGTACTATGTCTGACGTTTGCAAACAAAGTATAAGATCCCTGTATAGATTGGCTGAAAATGACTTTCACAGTCTCTGTTGCTTCAAAATTGTCAGGATACTGCGAGAGTCTCGACCAGTTTCTCTGTTTTCTCTGTTTCAGTTGGCAGAGCTCCTCAGCTATTCGTAAATTCGTTGACGTGTTCCTAAGTGCTTGTAAGTAGATGGCAGCTTATTAAATAGGCAGCTATCGGAGTCTCTATTCACCCACAATCGTACAGATTAGAAACTGATCTATTTTATGCCTTGGCAATTGAGTAAGATGGGGCAGTATGGAAAGGGCACAATGAAGCGTAATTTCTGTTCAAGTTTTGAATATTTTAACCACGAAAAGCGGAAGTATAATACTTGTTTTATTCAAATATATATAATAACAAAAAGACGACAGGCAGGTGAAAGGGGAATTGAATATGAACAACTCAGCATAATCCAACTCGCGGAAGGGAGTAGAGTGGTATTCGACTGACTTGGTCTGTTACAGTTCAGAGTTGGAGGAAATAAATGGAAAGCTGGAAAAGCTTTTTTGAAAAAAACAAGGATGTAAGGCTTTAAGGCTGAATAAACCACGGTTAGACCAGCGTTTGGAACAGAATCAGTACGATTATAGACTTGACTGAGTCAGTCGTTGTCTTGAGGTGGATCAACAACATTGTCAGGTCACGTGATAAATATTTGAAACTGGCTATCTACAAAAATTGCGATTGGACGCAAGACAGAGTGGCATATTTTAGCAAGATGTATGTTGTTGTTTGAGACTAGCAAGCTAGCACCTTGAATTCTATTCGAATGCAGCTGTTCTCAGCGTCAACGTGAGCGGACTGAAATCAGGTGAAAATAAGGTCATTTCAAACGGATGTGACGTTTGATAAATAGTCTTTCAATTCGAAGCTATCCGCTCCATTCCTATTGAGAAATCACTTTATTTTGCTAGATTTAGCACCATCTTTAGGAGCTTTTACTCCAAAAGCCATTTTAAAAAATGGAAAAGCCCCAGGCTTGTGGCTAGAAATATGTCACAGACTTGTAGGACCAAGATTTATTATCTTCTTAATCAAAATTCGCATTACGACTTCAAATGACACAGTGGTAGGTGTGTCTCGACTAGCGTCGAAGTGACTGACTTTGAAGTCCTATATACATATGTAATATACATATCACGTGAATCACGCTGCTAAGACTAATTCACAAAACAAGTGTCACTGTCGTCTAGCATTCACATCAAAGTCGCAATACTACAGTCTTAACGAGAGTATGTGAGCTCGATAGTTTCGTAACTAAAACAGTGCTTATTTGTACTATGATTTTTTTTTCTCACATGTTTGTTAGCTTTCGATATAATCTTAAAACGATGTACAGTTCAGTCAAAGAAAAGTCGTAAGAGGGTTTAGAAAATTGCATTATGCTTCGATAAATTGCTTTAGCTCAGATCAACTGTCAAACTAAGCTTATTCGAACCATGAATTCCACCAGGCTACCGAAATATCTTAAAATGTTATTCAGATCAGTTGATTTTTGTCACGTGCCTGATTTTTCTAGCAACTGGTAACTAGTATAAAAGGTAAAGTTGCTCACACTAGACATACCAGTATACCGACCACTGGTGAATACTTCAATCCTTTGAATTCAGCTCTCTTAAGGACTAATATCACCTTTAACTTCTGGACTTAATCGCACCAGAGGACTGTAGCCGAGTAAAAGCGCATTAGAAATATACAAACGATGGTTAAGGCAGTTATCTTCACCGATTTCGACGGCACCGTTACGTGGCAAGACTCCAACGATTTCCTTACCGACATAAAGGGATTCGGCAAAGAGGAGAGAACCAAGGTGTTCGAGGGTGTTCTGGACGGCACCAAGTCTTTCAGAGACGGTTTCTGGGCCATGTTGGAGTCTGTCAAGACCCCCTTCCCCGAGTGTGTCAAACTTATAGAGCAGAACATCGACTTGGACCCTGGCTTCAAGGACACTTTCGAATGGGCTCAGGAGAACGACGTGCCCATTGTGGTCATTTCCAGTGGTATGCGTCCGCTGATCAAGGCACTATTGACCCGTTTGGTCGGTCCTGAGGCCATCGAGAAGATCGACATTGTCTCTAACGAGGTCGAGATCGACGACGACGAACAGTGGAGAATCGTTTACAAGGACGACTCGCCATTTGGCCACGACAAGTCCAAGAGCATCACAGAGTACAAGAAGAAGTTCGAGGCCTCTGGCGAAAAGCCCACCTACTTCTACTGTGGCGACGGTGTTTCTGACTTGAGTGCGGCCAAGGAGTGCGACTTGTTGTTTGCCAAGAGAGGCAAGGATCTAGTCACCTATTGCAAACGTCAAAACGTGCCATTCCATGAGTTCGACACTTTCGAGGACATCTTAGCCAGCATGAAGGACGTAATGGCCAGCAAGAAGACCGTTGATGAGTTGATGCAGAATTGAGAAGGTTTGGTGAGTTTTGGCTTATAAACCCAGATTTTTGAATAAGGAAAGTCGTGTGTTAAAAACACGGAATGAATTCTTGTCAAAGCTATGGCCAGAAAACAAAAAAAACGATATAGAATAGCTAACTACAAGAATCAGAGCTTAATGACGAACTTAGTCACTCCGAAAGTAAAAAATATCTCACGTAACGTTTACGAGCAGGTGGGTTTGACGCCCGTTTAACGGCTCACCATGTCTAGCTTGATCAGATTTGATATCACTTTTTCATATCGTGTCGCAAAATCGAAAAGAGAGAAAGGTCTCCATTCATCCTTAAGTCCACGACTCCGAGAGAAGGTAAAGGTCAGCAAACAGTTGCCAACTATAAAACAGCTTTATGGGATGGCTAAGAGTATATAAAGCAGCTATTTCATGGGAGTATAATGTTTATCTTGTCAGGCATTCATCGCTCAGCACAGGAAACTTGAGTTCCCCCGTATTTATTAGTTTTGATCGCCGAAGTGCTCGCGGCGTCACTACTACCACTAGAATACTATTTATCTCAGAACACTCTGTAAAATGACGAAAATAAAGGTCGTAACCCCCATTGTGGAGATGGATGGGGACGAACAGACCCGAATTATATGGCATCTGATTCGAGAAAAGCTAATTGTGCCGTTTTTGGACGTAGATTTGAAGTATTACGATCTTTCAATGGAAAACAGAGATGCCACCGACGATCGGGTCACGAAGGAGTCAGCACTAGCGACGCAGAGATTTGGTGTGGCTGTCAAATGCGCGACAATTACGCCAGATGAAGCTCGCGTGAAGGAGTTCAATCTGAAAAAAATGTGGAAATCGCCCAACGGGACGATCCGGAATATTTTGGGCGGGACTGTCTTCCGGGAACCCATTGTCATCCCCAAGATCCCAAGACTTGTTTCTAAATGGTCCAAGCCAATTGTGATAGGCAGACATGCTTACGGGGATCAGTACAAGGCGACTGACGTGGTGATTCCGTGCGAGGGTGAGCTTAAACTGGTGTTCAAGTCCAAAAACGGAGACCAGGACCGAGATCTAAGTGTATTCCAGTTTCCAAAGGCCGGTGGAGTGGCCCTGGCAATGTACAACACTACAGAATCCATCAAGGGGTTCGCACGCGCCAGTTTCGAGCTTGCCTTGCACCGCAAAATGCCGCTGTATTCCACCACCAAGAATACTATCTTGAAAAAATACGACGGCAAGTTTAAAGACATTTTCGAAGAGATGTATGCTGCGGATTACGAGTCCAAATTCGCAGAACTGGGTATTTGGTACGAGCACCGTCTCATCGATGACATGGTGGCGCAGATGCTCAAGTCATCAGGAGGCTTCGTTATTGCCATGAAAAACTATGACGGCGACGTCCAATCAGACATTGTGGCCCAAGGATTTGGCTCTTTGGGTCTGATGACCTCTGTGCTTGTTACACCCGATGGGAAGACGTTTGAAAGTGAAGCTGCGCACGGAACGGTCACAAGGCATTATCGGTTGTACCAGCAGGGTAAAGAGACCTCGACCAATTCCATAGCCTCCATTTTTGCGTGGACTAGGGGTATAATGCAGAGAGGAAAGCTGGACGAAACTCCGGACGTTGTTAAATTCGCTGAAATTTTGGAGAAAGCTACAATCGACACCGTACAGGTGGACAACATAATGACAAAAGATTTGGCCTTGATGCTTGGTCTTTCGGATAGGTCAAGTTATGTTACGACAGAGGAATTCATTGAGGCGGTGGAACGGCGTCTTAGTAGTGGCTTTAAAGCGCAACAGTAAACTATAAGTGGGGAATGGTCTTGTACATCCCATTACGTATGGCAATAAAATTCATTCAGTACTAGCTGCTTAGAGCCTTGATTTGTATCTGAAGGCTATGGATGACAAGCACTGATGAGTATATGATAACCAGCAACTCCCTCATACAAAATCCGCGATAGTTTAGTGGCTAGAATTCGGGCTTGTCGCGCCCGGGACCGGGGTTCAATTCCCCGTCGCGGAGTTTTTTTGGCCGTCAAAATTACGAAATCTGAACCCAAGGACGGTATGACTGAGGTTGGATGATGTCAAGGACTTGTTTTATCGTATAATTATTTCAGTCCTCCCTTACAGATTTCGCTATGAGACATTGTCAATCTATATGCCGCGTCGAAGACTTGACCTTACTCGCGACTGATATCGGCCATTTCATAATCACAATTCTTCATTTGCCAAAAAGGCTTAAACAAACTCTGATAGTTCGATGACTGTATTTTTATATTATTTAACATATTTTTCCTACGGCTCTGCCGCCAAATGAATTTCCCAGCCTTGTTTACTCGGCAAACTCAGGTCTCAAATCGGCACGGCGAGGTGCCACCAAGGGATGCAGTTGCGCTAGATAAGTAAACGCCCACATCAAGAACATCATGGACAAGGACAAAATGACAGTGCTTCTCCAGACCCTAGTGAAAGCAGCTTAGTTAGTAAACGTCGGACTTTGGAACTTTGCGACGGCGCTCGTGGCGCTAATAAAACGTCGGTAGTTAGCTGCCGCTAGCAAACTACGATGAAACATACGTTTGGTTCTCTTTGGGTGCCAAAAACCAAAACACCACGCTAACTAAGGATACGACCAAAAAAGCTGCAACAACAGTATAGCTGGCAAAACAGCAAGTTAGTATAGGAAAGCATGAATTCAATGAAACGATAAGACCTCACCAATTCTACATACAAGCTCATTGAATGGTTTTGCAGTGCTATTCTTTGCAGAAGATGTTCATACAAGATAGATGATAGAGTTTTTGAGAAGGGACTCGTTCGTTATGTGCGTTAATATATATTTATATGAGATAGAGTCCGGTCACGTGCCACCTTTTTTTGACCTGCTGACCAGGCGACGAGTTAGGAGAATTGATCAGGCGTTGTATTTACCGAGACTGCTTTTAGGTATCAGAGCAAGCTCCATGGTTAGTAGGGTCTGATTCTGTTAGCCTCTCCATGACCTTTTCATTTAATTCTGAGTCAGAGTCTGTTTCTCAAGTGTCGAATCAAACTTTCGTGCGAAGCCTAAAACACAATGCTGGCAAAAGCTTATATAAAGTTTACGAACAATGTGATTGAGAAGTGTCTTTCTCTATCCGTCGGGCTACAAATCAACGCCTTTCGAGTCCGCAAAATGGATTTTAGATATATCACTTTGTACTATAATGTCATTTGAAATCGAATTGAATCTTTGCACAGTCGTCAAGACTGCGAGCCATTAGATTCATAACAGCAATAATAGAATCACCGACTTATCTTTCGGTTTTCAAAAGTTGGTCTTTAAAACGAAATATATCGAAAGGTCTAGACAACAGCCCGGGGACTTAGTTAAATTCCCAAAAAAAAAAACCAGGTAATTTTGAAAATGTCTAAATAACAACCGAGTTCTAAGAAACGCAGGTTTGGGGAGCCGACTGATACGCCCAAACCCGGATATCTCGACTCTTAAAATGCTAGTTTTGTAGCTAATTTAGACTTACCGAGAGAACCCGGTCACGTGACTTTGGCGAGAATTAAAGATGCTAAATTACACACCATCGATCAAATACACTCGAATACGATCGACAAGCAGACGCAGATCCACATGGACAGGCTCAATATACCACCTCCGGTGGTGAATTGGCTGTTCAAAATAACTCAATCTGTATGTGACGCTTTTTCATTTGTACTTTTAGGCTTCCTCCCTCGTCAAACGCCATGCTAACCAAAAGTAACAGTACTACGACGCCAGAACGACCTTTAGGGATGCGATGTACACACTGAGTGAGTTTCGCAATCTGAAGCCGAGAACTAAGGTCTACACGGACTCACAGGGGAAACCACAGCTGCTGTTGTGCTTATATGGGCGGTTCGGAAGCGAACACGTCTCTGTGCCTGTGTTGATATGGATTCCAAGGGAGTATCCAATTCTGGCGCCCTACGTTTACGTAGACTTTGACTCGCTTCGAGACGAGGTTCTGGTCCCTGGAAGCACAGTAGACGCGAATGGGCGCTTTCGAGTGCCTATGATGGACACTTGGAGCCCTGAATCCTGGAATTTACGGGAGCTGACCTTTTCGCTTGCTTCCTCGATTATGGAAGACCCACCTCTCGTGGTAGAAACAGCATTTGATCAGAGTCCGCCACTTCCAGAACGCATTGGGATGTTAGTGCAGCCTCCATTGGCCTCACCGTTAAAGCCACCACCTGTGCGAGAAGTGGAACAATTGACCCGCGACATTGGAAGCGCGAAGCTCGAAGATACGGCACCTGTGTTGCCTCCAAAGCCGCCATCTGCTCTCAAATCTGCCTCTCCAATGTCCCAACCTACGCCACCTGCTCGCACACCACAAAGCGTTGAGCAGCAACCAAGTATTATGGACCTAGACGCTGTTGATCAACGAAGTTCTACCTATGACCACGCTCTGAGTAGTTTGTTTCAACTTATCACAACTTTGGCGAAAGAAGATGCACAAAACGTTACAGAAACGCTGCGGACCCGGATGTTTGCGGCGCAAAATGCCACAGCTCAGTTTCGAAACATTTGCGACCAGGAAAGCTCGGCTTTGGAGCAGAGAGAACGTGCCGTTACCGAGAAACGCGACTCACTTGTTAGCGGTATAAAGCTGATTGACGCCCAACTAGACAAGGCCCAGCACTACGTTCAAAACTACGGACCCGAGTGTGACTTGTCGTCGATGCAAACGCCCGACTCTGTGGGTGTGAGTCAACTACGAAACCTCGTGGCGCGAGACCATGCTGTTTCCGATACTATCAACGCGCTGAGTAGGCTTTTTAACCAAAACGCGATCACTTTGGATGTGTTTTTACGGAAAGTGCGAGCATTGGCGCGCGACCAGTTTCTGCTCCGTCTACACATGAACAAGATAGTCGAGGGTGTTCAGGAAAAGGGCAAGACTTGACACACATCTAAAAGCAGAAGCTGATCTTTAAGAGTGGCCACTAGCGCTTGCACACACACTTTGCAGACGTTTCAAGAATCTTGAGACACCATCGTGAGGAGCATGTCGGACCGAGCTTTTTAGCCGCCGAGCTCATGGTCCTCTACACGTGATACCCATCGTTACACGTGACATATTTTGATCACTCTACACGTCAATAATTGCGTTGCTTCCACGTGACCTTGATATCCTTTTTCTTTCCCAAGCTTCATTTTCTCAGGCTGAAAAAAAAGTTTGAAAATTTTCCGATGAGATGCCTTCTTCAAAAAGTTGTAGACAATTGAAGATCATAGAGCTCATCTCTCAAGACTTTGGTATCAGCACTTAACTGTAACCTTTGATCCTCACTCACAATGTCTGACGAGTATATGATCAAGCCCGAAAACGTTGCGCCCACCACGGACGCCAGCGAGTGGCCCTTGCTGCTGAAAAACTATGACAAGCTTTTGGTCAGAAGCGGTCACTACACGCCCATTCCACACGGTTCTTCTCCTCACAAGAGAGATTTGAAGTCGTACATCAGCTCCGGTGTAATCAACCTGGATAAGCCTTCGAATCCTTCGTCGCACGAAGTCGTGGCGTGGGTCAAGCGTATCCTGCGCTGCGAAAAAACTGGTCACTCTGGCACGCTAGATCCTAAGGTCACCGGGTGCTTGATTGTGTGTGTGGACAGAGCCACCAGACTTGTGAAGTCGCAGCAAGGTGCTGGTAAAGAGTACGTGTGTATCGTTAGACTGCACGACGCTCTGAAAGACGAGAAAGACTTGGCCAGAGGTTTAGAGAACCTCACCGGTGCCCTGTTCCAGAGACCTCCTTTGATCTCGGCCGTCAAGCGTCAGCTGCGTGTGCGTACCATCTACGACTCCAATTTGATCGAGTTCGACTCCAACAGAAACTTGGGTGTGTTCTGGGCCTCGTGCGAAGCTGGTACTTACATGCGTACATTGTGTGTGCATTTGGGTATGCTGCTCGGTGTTGGTGGCCACATGCAGGAACTGCGTCGTGTCAGATCGGGAGCTATGTCTGAGAACGACGACCTTGTCACCTTACATGACGTCATGGACGCTCAGTGGGTTTACGACAACACCAGAGACGAAACTTACTTGAGAAAAATCATCAAGCCTTTAGAAACTTTGTTGCTTGGATACAAGAGAATTGTGGTTAAGGACTCTGCCGTCAATGCCGTCTGCTACGGTGCCAAGTTGATGATTCCTGGTCTACTCCGTTACGAAGAAGGTATCGAACTATATGACGAAGTGGTCTTGATGACGACCAAGGGTGAAGCCATTGCAATTGCCATTGCACAGATGTCTACTGTGGACTTGGCTACTTGCGACCACGGTGTGGTGGCCAAAGTCAAGCGTTGCATTATGGAAAGAGATCTTTACCCAAGAAGATGGGGTCTAGGACCCGTTGCTCAGAAGAAGAAGCAAATGAAGGCCGACGGTAAATTGGACAAGTACGGCAGAGCAAACGAGCAAACTCCTGAAGAATGGAAGAAGAGCTACGTATCTCTCGAAACCGAACCAGCCGCTACTCCAGCCGCCACTATGGTCTCAGAGGTCTCTTCAACTGTGACCACCGAAGCTGGCCCTGTTGAAGAAGTCAAAGAAGTCAAAGTCGAAACTGTTGTGAAGGAAGACGACGAAGTCGACGAAGACAAGTCTGAAAAGAAGGACAAGAAGGACAAGAAGGACAAGAAAGAAAAGAAGGACAAGAAGGACAAGAAGGAAAAGAAGGAAAAGAAGAGAAAGGCTGAAGACGAGGAAACTTCTGAAAAGAAGAAGAAGAAGTCGAAGAAATAGAGCCCCCATTCAATACCAGTTGCATTTATCGAAGCTTTTTTTATTTGAAATATATACATACTATCACTTGTAATTCTAATGTTTATTAGCACCCGGACATAGTAAGTCAGCGGGTGCGCAAAGTGCTTCGTTCGGGGTTGGGATGACTTCTTGCAAGAGGCTCCGCCCAGTCAGAAAAGGTTGAATGAATTTGTATACAGTAATATGCAGGCGAAGTATATGGTATGCAGGAGTCATGCTTGGTCGTTATTATGATATGTATATGGTACAAGATTGATTGGTGAATTAAAAGTTCTCCATGATTGCACTTCTCTGAGAAGCGCTTAGAGAGGTAGGATAATCAATCTTGTATTTCACTATTAGGTCTCCGCGCTGACTTGGCGTCTTGGCGATCGGCATACCTTGGCCTGGGTACTTTGACACTTCTGACGGCTGAACCGGTTGTATTCTGGAAATTGGTAGCGTTCTTCCGTCAATGGTTTGTATGGTTTTGTTGAATCCCAGGAGCGACTCTTTGAATGTTAGAGGCAAAGAGTATGTTAGATCATTGCCGTCTCTGGTGAACTTCTCATGAGGTTTCTCCTGAAGGATAAACTGCATGGTTTGTCTGCGTCCAGTTTGTGGATTATAGTCACCCTCATTTTTGTAGGTGATCTTGGTGCCAGCCTTCCAACCAGGTTTCAACTGAATATCAACCTGTTGTTTCTCGGATGTACCACCAGGTCCTTTGCGGGTGATTTTGAACGACTTCTTCTTTCCTTGGAACAAGTCTTCTAAGTTTACTGGAAGGTTGACTTGAACAGTTTTTTCTTCTGGAGGTGGCGAAGAAGCTCCGGATTGGAATCCGCCAGGCATTCCACCTGCGGACCGGAAACTCGTTCCACCGGGAAACCCACTAGAAAATCCGCCATGACCTCCACCAGGGAATCCTCCGCCGCTGCTGAATCCACCGAAAGACTCTTCAGCTCCACCGAAACCACCACCGAAAGGTGAGGCCCCGCCGCCAGAGCCACCGAAGAATTGTGAGAAGATGTTGAAGGCGTCCTCGTTCGAGAAAGCGTGAGCGCCTCCGAATCCAGCGCCAGGGTGACCATCTTGGCCACCAGCACCTCCAAACGCGGGACCACCGTTTCTGGCGGCCTCCAGACCGTAAGTGTCGTAAACCTCACGTTTTTGAGCGTCATTCAAGATTTCAAAAGCCTCCGATATTTCTTTAAATTTCTCAGCATTTCCTGAAGGCTTGTCGGGATGGTATTTCAGAGCAGCCTTACGGTAGCCCTTTTTCAATTCTGTCTCGTTTGCCGAGGGTTGCACGCCTAGCAAATCGTAGAGTTTTGTATCTTTAACCATGGTTTTCTGAAAAAAATGTTTGGGATTTCAAATCTAGTGTAGTCACCTCTGTTCGAAGATTATACCCGCCTGAATAAGATGTTCTCGTGTCGATATTGATCCGTTCCAAGAGAACCGTTTCGTAAATCTGTTGTTTTTTCGAGCCAGCGAGACTTTGAATCAATCAAAGCTAATGATGAAAGATGTTAAGGACAATGTTTCCTTGATCTATAAGCCTTTTTTAAGCTAGTGTAGCCGTAAAGTTAATGTCACTGATCATCAAGCTCAGGTCGGAACGGAACTTTTTGACTCTTTATATACCTTATCATTGAATTCCGTGTCGCTACTATACTAGAATATTCTAGAAATCAAAAAGTGTTGATAGCACTATGTACGAGGGTAAAATTAAAAGCCTTTAATTTTGTTTAAAGATTAGGGAACTTTGAGCCCTTCAAACAAGACAGAGGAAGAACAAGAAGAGAGGCACTGAAAGAGTGTCAAAAGTGCGTGGAAAGACATAAGATTGTGTACTACTGTATATTAGCGTGTATTGATCTGTATATATAGCCGAAATCTCAGCTAGATGTCGGTCATTCTGGCATCTGCGGGTTACGATCATACCATCCGTTTTTGGGAAGCATTGACCGGTGTGTGCTCCAGGACAATCCAGCATGCAGACTCTCAGGTGAACAGGCTTGAAATCTCATCCGACAAGAGATTTCTGGCTGCGGCGGGCCATTTGAACGTCAGGCTTTACGACATCCGCACTACCAACCCGAACCCTGTGGCCTCGTTCGAGGGCCACCGCGGCAACGTGACCTCCATAGCGTTCCAACAGGAAAACAAGTGGATGGTGTCGTCCAGTGAAGACGGCACAATCAAAGTCTGGGACGTACGGGCACCCTCAGTGCAGCGGAACTACAAGCATAACGCCGCTGTTAACGAAGTACAGATCCACCCGAACCAGGGTGAGCTTATCTCGTGCGACCAGGACGGAAATATCAGGATATGGGATTTGGGCGAAAATCAATGCGTCCATCAACTTACGCCAGAAGACGACACTCCTCTACAGTCACTGTCGGTGGCTAGCGATGGTTCCATGCTCGTTGCGGGCAACAACAAGGGCAATTGCTACGTTTGGCAGATGCCTAATCAGACTGATGCTGCCAATCCCAAACCACTCACGAAATTCCGATCCCATGCAAAATACATCACGCGGGTTCTACTGTCCTCAGACGTCAAGCATCTGGCTACTTGCTCTGCCGACCATACTGCTCGGGTCTGGTCCATCGATGATAACTTCCAGCTAGAAACTACACTTGATGGCCATCAGCGTTGGGTATGGGACTGCGCATTTAGCGCTGACTCCGCCTATCTCGTAACAGCATGCTCAGACCATTATGTAAGGCTGTGGGACTTGTCCACGAGAGAAATTGTTAGACAATATGGTGGACATCATAAAGGCGCCATATGCGTTGCTCTAAATGACGTGTAGAGCTCCTCTGTAAAGTATCCTGAAAAATATTATACGCTATAATAAGATAACAGAAGTGTATATAGTTACAACCATCATGGGATGGTTCTTTATGCTTTGGTTATGCTTTTGAGAAATCAGTTGCTAGAAAAAAATCAATACTATGGTACACGCCTTTATCGTCCTACTACCATTTCGGTACCTTGGGCCTCACGACTTTGTGCTTTTGTTCACCGTATAACATCGATAACATCAGTATTTTCCAATAGCTTGAAATGGCTTGTACAGATTGCGAAATCTGTTAAGCCTATATAACTCTTACCGCACTACTCTTCGCAGTTAAGCTTTTTCAGATTGGGGAGTTACATGGGCGACATCATAAATCTGCCAGCCTCATCACACCAATAGAGCCATTCATCTATAAAAGTTTTGATGACCCACCAAGAACCAGCATGCTCGGAACCCATGATGCTAAGTTCCCGTATCACACCCGTGGTGAAGACATTGGCATTAGCCATTATGACTGACACCGGCTGATCTCTAATCTTAGCCAAAAAGGACAAGATTTGCGATGCTAGTTCGATTGCGAAGTTCTCGCAGATCAAATGATCGTCCTGATCGAAGAAAGTATCGATGGCCTGGGAAATGAACGAAGATATCTCTTCCAAGGACGCTTCGTCATTGTTGCAGCAGTAAAGCTCCGATCGACATATATCGCGGACATTGATAAATTTCTTCCAATCCTGATACATTTCTTCCCTTGTAGATGTGGCCTTGTACGTCTTTGCAGCACTCTTTGCAGTTCTAATTACTCTCGTTGTGCGTTTGACTAGTCTCGAAAACTTCTTGGCAATAAGAACTTTGTTCTTTACCATGGGAACCGGTAAGTCGATATTGGCACTGGATATCATATCTGAGTAGGTGTGAGAGAAGTTGATCAGCTTTTCTGAAACTGAAGAAGGAATCGTTAAGAACTCTTTGATGAACTTAGTCAAAGACCTGATCGCAGTCCTATGCGTGACCAGGTCGGCCTGGTTGACCCAATCATATAAATATTCGGAAATGAACAAATTGAACATTTGAGGAGAGATGGAACCGGAGCTAAATGATTCCAGAGTGTTTGTTAGAGCATCAAATTTTGCAAAACTGATGTTTTCCTGGACAGTGTTGCAATAAACTTTATACATGCATTCAAGGGAAGCAGCAATGTCAACGTCAGTGTTTGGCGGCAAATAGGAATTGATGGAGGGAATTTCCAAAGAGACATTAATGTCAACTGTGGAAACATCGCGGAAAAGTTCATCAATAATTTTGAAAGACTCCCACAACACGGTATCACCCCACCTGCCGGTGTGGCCACGGTGATTTTCCTGAAAGATATTTGGGGTGGCAGCCCTCGAAATCGAGACGCCCGGCGCTGGCAATGATTGGTAAAGTGATCCGCTTTCGCTCGCTTGGCCACTCCGGGCGTCATGGAGATCTTGACTGTTCTCTGACTCGCTTTTACTTTGATCTTTGTTGATACCGCTCAATCGCGCTAGGTTAGAATTGACCAAAGGTGAATTTGGAGATGATGACCTCGGTGAACTAATGAGATTCAAACCACAATAGTGATACTTGGACTGACCACGCATACCTAAACGCCTGGTAGTGAGATCAGGAAAAATCGTTCTGATCAATTTACCCAACGTTGCCTGAGAAAGCGGTTTTAGATTGTTCTGCGCACAACATGCCGCATATTGGGCGAAGATGCGACCCCTGGGAACGAAACTATTCTTTTCTTCAACACATGTAGCCATCAGCCACGTTAGAGCGTATACTTGTCTCTCACGTTCGCGGATTTGCTCCGCGGCCTGGATCTCCGACTTGCTATGTGTTGTTGAATCCATATTCAAAACAGCGATTTCTGCTTCGCGAACGGTCAAGGCGCACTCTGTTAGTGGTTTTGACTTGTTCTTTAAAGCCATCTCTCGCAAAATCGCTTCGTTACCATTCTTCTTCGTATTTGACCCTGCGCTACGTTCCTTGGGGACCTCAGTCCGGGAGTCTGCGTATTCCATGAAGCTTCGTTCTTTGTCAGATTCGAACGGCGGCGAGAAGTGCGACTGCGTTGCATGAAACACTGGGAACTGCTGCTGGTAACCACGGTACACATCCAAAGATTTATCGCTCAGCATAGGCTGCGGTATTGGGCTTGGTAGATAGCCCGGGCCTAAAGGCGAATTGTAGCTTGTGCCATACGGTGGCATCGACTGTTGTTTTGCCGCAGCAGCCGTCATAGGTAGGCCATAGTTGGCGGGATATGTCCTCTGAGGTTGCTGGAAAGCAGCAGACATGAAGTTGTGCTGGGCCTGTTGGAAAGGCTGCGGTTGAAAGTGCTGTTGTTGTTGTTGTTGTTGTTGTTGTTGTTGTTGTTGTTGTTGTTGTTGTTGATGTGCTTGATGCTGATGTTGATCGACTTGGTGCTGATGTTGATCGACTTGGTGCTGTTGCTGGAGTTGCTGTTGATACTGTTGCTGCTGTTGTTGTTGCTGTCGAAGCTGCTGCTGCTGTTGTTGTTGTTGTTGTTGTTGTTGTTGTTGTTGTTGTTGTTGTTGTTGTTGTTGTTGTTGTTGTTGTTGTTGTTGTTGTGATTGCTGGTAAAGATGTGGTTGCAGTTGGTGCTGGTGCTGACGTTGATGCAAATGTGGACCGTTTCCCGGTAACGGAACCGTTTCGGAAACCGTTGGCACGCGCAGAGAGCTGCCACTGCTACTGGACTCGTTGCTGCCGTGGCTGACAGTGCCAGAACTTACTCCAGTGTTAGAAGAGCCACTGGTCCCGTCTGCAGCCACAGGCGCTGTCTGGGGTTGCAGAAGCGGTCTCAGAAGCTTGTCGCCCGATCCTGTCGCAATCTGATCGCTCATTTTTGGCAACCTGAGCGAAAATGCGAGCTAACCAGTCCGAATGCTTTTGGTAAACGGCAAGACGAGGCTATGAAATGCAATCGATTTTTTGGAAATAACCCAAAAATCTCCAAAAACCCCGTCGTGAGTCGTATCTTGCTTAAGCTGTACGCAAGAAACCCTAACAATCTTGTCCCAAAATCTCGAACCTTGCGAGCTTGCGCGTTCTTCGAAGACTACCGCTATTATCAACTTTTGAGCTAAACAGACCTCGTAAAAAAGAGCTCTTTTTTTTGTGCGCGATATTGATGTATAACTCAGACTTAACAGGTTCTTAAACCTTGTCTTATACCTTCAATTGCCTGGGATAACGGCCAGTATGGGGTTCGAACAAGTTGTTAGATTCACCTAGTCAGTGTATTTCAGTTATATTTCAGTTTAATCAAAATCTACGCGATGAGAACGGACTGAATCAGCGTCGAAAAATTTTGGGAAAAAAAGAAACATGTGTGATGGCGACTAGAGGTTTGGGTCGATAATCGAGTAGACGACGCTGGAAGTAGGGCGAAGGCATTGAGTGGGACAGCGGCGGGAGTAGCAGGGTACAGAGTGAAGGACTTTGATTCAGTAGGACCAGGCGGCTCGTTAAAAAAAAGAAGACTCGTTTGAGTGTGATTAGCGGTGCTAAAGTTTATGTAAATATGTCTTATTGTGTTAACGGGGATGATGAAGGGGGACCGTGGTTTGAATGGGCAAGTCATTCTCTCTGGGTATGAATTTGATGCACTTTTGAAAGGGACCGAGTTTCCGACCATAATCATGGGATCCCTGATTTTTGTATGCGATTATGTATTTTTGTTATGGTAACGTAGTATTCGATGCGCAGGGCTTTGGGTCGCCATCGGGTCGTAAACTATTTTTACTGAAAGCGATCATGCAAAGGGTAATGAATTTGGGGAAAGTGAGACAGCCGCTGTTGTCTAAACATTGCTCGGGATGTCTGAACAACAACGCGAAATGAACCTTTTATTCTCGAGAACAAAAACAAGAACAATAAGTAAAAAGATCTGAACTCGGAAACGAAAATTCATTTTTGGCTGGCTTGCGAAGCACTCCGACTGTCCTTGGCCTCCCATAATTTGGTATTCTCACTAACGCGGTTGTTTGAGCTATAAAGCTTTCCCTATCCTGTCATAAACTTCGCTGTTCTCGGTCAAGTAATCAATCAGTCGTATGCCAAGGAGCAACAAATGACAGGCGAGTACAAAGCGATAAACAAACCCGAAGGTTTGGATCAAGCAGAGAAATGGAAGGTTTACGGGGCGTGATTCAGGCCCCACTAGGTGGTGGTAAGAAAGCAAAAACAAACCGTTTGCAAGTGGGTTTGGTACCATAGGACACTTAAGAGAAAATCAAGAAGACGACAAGTTGGCTGTCGATCGCGAATAGCCGTTGAGATCTTAAATTTAATACGAGCTCGGTAAGTCCCCCCTCCCCTCATCTCCGCCACACCAAGAACTGACCAAGGTGCAGAATTTTCGATGACCTGGCAATCCTCCTTCCCAATATCATCGATTCTGAAACTATTCTGTCATCTGTCATTTCGTCACATGACATTTATTTTCGCGATCTTTCAATCAATGCTATACACAGAAGACGTCGGTTCTGATTTGTATCGCTTTCTATGGGAAATAAGACTATGGCAATTTCCGCGAAACTTTCCATCTGCTTTGAAACCTTTGGAACTGAATCACATCAAGGGATGTTTTAAAAGCTTGGATTTCAAGCCAAATCAATAAAAAGCGTAACTCCAAGACTTTTAAAGACCTCATGAAAACTTGTGCTTCACAACACCACAAAACCGGCGCCCGCAAGATGTGCCACTAGCTGGTTGGAGATGGTTTCTTGCCGATTAGAATCGATTGCCGTCTTGTCGTAAAGCACTTGTCACTCCAAACGGGAATTATTCATATGAGGGTTTCACGTGACCGGATCGTCAGCTCATCTCTTGGGGCAAACTAGATATTGTCCATTCGACAACAACTACTTCCAACCAGAAGCTCAGGACTGACCTCAGATGGCCAAGTCACAGTTAGTATGGGTCTCACAGAGATAGTTTCGCTCGAAGCCGACTTTTACGTTTCTCAACCTGAGATTTCCTTGTTAAGTGAGGACCCATTGCGGTCCAAATCGGATGCTCCCCCCAGGAGGGCCAAAAAGGCTCTGGAACGCTTCATTGAGGTCTTTAAATGCCGAATAGGTTCAAAATCAAGCATTCACCATTCAAATGCATTCAAATTTGAAAAAGTCGTCGTGGGGCTAGAATATCATACGGTCGATGACCGGCATTTTTTTATTGTTAGCAGTGCATCCAAACCAATCATGAAATGCGATGTGACAGACGTTCGAGAAACAGTAGATCTGCCACTTCAAATCCTGGCGCATAAAGTTTTGGAACAGGATGTAAAACTAAAATCCTTGGCTCTCAAGCCCCGAAATAATGGCCAAAATTCTAGAGTACGCAAAAGGCGCAAAGTGGCACGCTCTGCAGTCACTTCATCAGCATCTCTAGTAGGTAAAATTCAATCAAAATATCGGGAGTTGGATTGCTCACCTGCCCTGCTCACTGTCTGGGACGATTGTGCTCAGTGGCATCTCGAATTCTCTATATCTCTGCGATACGTGGCCGATAGCCCCAACAACTTTTCAGCAGAGACAAATCGTTTTCTAGACACCATTTTCAGCAGCTTTGAACGGTCGCATTTCATAAAGCACGAATTGGCACATTACTACGTTCAGCGGCAGTTCAATCATCAAACCGCTAAGTACACGAAAGAGCTTGCGCTCGATTCTAGCGGAACACTTTCAGATATATCACAGCTGAATGTTCGACTTTTACCGTTCCAGAAGGAATCCGTGCAGTGGATGCTCGGTAAAGAGGGTTACGGTTATTCCAAACGCGAAGACTTGGTTAGTACACCAGGTACAAAGGACTTATGCGAACTTTTAAATGCTCATGTGTCGTTTGGATATGAGACTATGCATCTTCCCAATGATCTCATTATGTTCTGGAACAAGTTTACTGGATACATACTTACTTTTCAAGAAGCCAGATCTATTATAGAATCTTCAGATTTTATGAAAACTCCTCGTGCCAAAGGTGTCTTGTCTGAAGAAATGGGTTTAGGCAAGACGCTGGAGATCTTGGCTCTTATTCTTATAAACAAGCGGAGAGTTCAAGAGGACAGTACAATTACTACGAGAGCAAGCAAAGTGATACGCATGGCTCGTAGCAGTCTCATCGTTTGTCCCGAGAGTATATTGATGCAATGGATTGATGAGATAGACACACATGTTATGAATGGAAGCCCTTCGAATGCCCAGGAACTGGGGGACACTCAATCCACTGCACTTAGGGAAGGCTTGGCAGTGTTTCATTACAAGGGGTTTCAAGAAGTAAAGAGCCATTTCAAGACAGACGACATCGACGTGATCGTTAAACAGCTCACAAAATATGACATCATCATCTGCTCGTACGCGACAGTATCTGCTGAGGTCCACTATGCGGAGTTTAGTGCTGCTGTCAGGTATAGGCGTGGTAATGCTCCAAAATATGACTACTCCTCGCCGCTGTCACTTCTGCAATTTTATCGAATTATCCTAGATGAAGTTCAAATGTTGCGGGGCGAGAGCACTAATGCTGCGAGGTGTACTGGTCTACTACATCGGGTACACACTTGGGGAGTGTCAGGCACACCCATTAATAGTATTTCAGATTTCAAAACGGTTTTGTCATACCTACAATTCCATCCCTTCCAAGATAGCCCTAAAATTGTTGATGCGGTGAGGAAAAATCTTTCCCGAAGGTCCAAAGCCCAGGGACAGGAAGACTGTTCAAATCAGTTGAACCCACAAGACTTGTTGGTCAAAGGGATTCGATTTGATGCAAATGATCTGATGGATATTTTTCCAAGGTTCAACCTGGGCATAAGACACTCTAAAATCGATGTCGCAGATCAAATTCGCATTCCCCAACAGCATAACTATATTGTCCCATTAGCATTTCTCCCAATTGAGCAAGACAACTATTTGAATTTGTGGAATGGTTTCTTGGACGCCTCAGGTTACCAGAGTGACGGTCGTGGCAGAACCTATCTTACTCCAAAAGATCTAAATTACTGGCTCAGTGTGCTTCGAAAGACTTGTTGTCATGCCCTGATGCCAAATGCAATGTTTCGGCAAGAGGGTGATCAAGATCTAGGCACGATACAATCAATGGATGCCATTTTAAAAAATATGATTGAAGAAGTTCATGAGAGGGCAGACAATTTACAAAGGGAAAACTTCACGTTGAGAATTCAGCATGCTCAAGTTTGCATGGAACTGAATGATGAACCTTTAAAAGCTGTGGACCTACTCATGCTCGTACGCGACGAACTGATTCATGAATTGAGCACGGAATTTGGATTAGATATCTCAATTGACAAAATGGACAAAATGAACGATTTTATGGCCAGTGATGCGGAAAATGAACTTCAAAGAGTTAAAGCAAAGCCTCACATGGATCTGCTACATCAGTGTTTTTTCTTTATCGCAACCGCTTACTATTTTTTGGGTTCAAAAAAGCTCGAAGCAATAGACGATGAGAACGAGAAACTCAAAAATAGTGAGCCCCCAGCAGACAGTATTCAAAACAAAGGCCATGAGCGATCTCCACTGGTGTACACAGATGTTTTCTCCGAAGATGAAATGAAAATCATCACCTCATTTCAAAAACTCGAACAAGATAATTACGAGTATGCTGAGATTCTCCGCAAAGCTATATTAGCTGACCGAATCCAAAAGGTAGATCGTGAAATCGAAAATGTTAAAACTTTTCTGCAATCCAAGAAAGCCTCTTCAGCAATCCACTTACGTGAGATTTTGTTCGAAAACGAGAAGGATTACTCTTCCAATATGAACGTTGCACTCTGTTACAAGAAGTTGAGATCGGCCTTTCATGGTTTGAATGGGCAGGCTATCCAGTTCAATAGACTAGTAAACGATCTCCAGGAAATTTCCTACAAACCTCTCATTATCGAGTACGATGAGGAGAACCAAGACCAAAAGGCACGCGACTACGAGAACACAATTGAAAATCAAGACAAAGCTTTCGCAATTTTAGATTGCCTAGAGCGATTGTTAACTAATCGAGAAGAGGCAGCTCTCTCAGACGAGGACTTGAAGTCATCACCCAACTTGTTGAGAAACACGGGTACTTTTTCTAACTACCATATTGGGTTGATTTCGGAGCTGAGTCTTTACGAAGGACCAACATTGAAGATGATTTTTACGGAGCTAAAAAATGTTACGATAGTGAACGGCTTTACAGAAAATACACCTAAAATTAAAGACAGCTTTGACGCATACCTATTAGGGTTTGAATCGGAAATTCCAAGAACCAAAAAAGAGATCAAATGTTTGCGAGAAAATTTGAAGAGGCTCAATGAAATTTATAATACCAAAACGAACTATTTCAGTAATCTTCAAAGAATTTCTGACTCTTTATTATCTTTGATTCAGTTAGACCCTTCGACTAGAGGCTTGATTTTGAAAAACACCACAGACAATATTCAACTTAATGTTAACCTTCACAAGATCAATAATCTGAAATCACGATTGAAGTATCTTGAGACGTTGACGAACCAGAGAGAAGGTTTGAATCTGAGTAAAAAGTTTAATTGCACAATTTGCCTCAGTGAAATATTTGTGGGCTCGATGATAAAGTGTGGACATTTTTTCTGCAAAAGTTGTATTCACAGCTGGCTGAAGAACAAGAGTGCTTGTCCTCTGTGTAAAATGGAAACATCCTCGTCTGAGGTATACACCTTCAAGTTCCAAGATACCCAAGCTGAAGAAAAAGACGATTGTCGTGATGATTCAAATGGACCCAATAAGGTGAAAGATTCCAGTGCAGCAAGCGAGGTCATTTCGCCACACGGCGAATTAGAGATGGAGTATTCGCAAAAATATCACAGTTACCCCAATCTTGAAAAGATTCACCAGCTCACTCTCAAAGAATCCTACGGTTGCAAAATCGATTTTGCCGTGAAATTGGTTCTATACTTACAGATTTGCCACAGAGAGGAAGTTGTGCGCGATCCCGATGCTAGACCACCGCAGATAATCATATACTCACAGTACTCGGATTTCCTAGACATCTTATCAACTGTGTTGGCACAGCACGCAATCAAACACCTCAATACGTCTGGCTCTACAAAGTTTTCAAAAAGCATAGAGAAGTTTAAGAAGAACGCTGACAACACCTGTTTACTTCTGGACGTCAAAAAGCAAGCAACGGGCCTGACTCTTGTCAATGCGACCCACGTCTTTCTTATGGAGCCCATCATCAATGACAGCGCAGAAATTCAAGCTATCAATCGTACTCATAGAATTGGGCAAACGCGCGAGACTTTTGTATGGAATTTCCTTGTGAGAAGCACCGTAGAAGAGAATATTGTGAAGTACAAAGCTATACTAGAGAAGAAAAAGGCAATGGTCAAGAAGCAGCGCCAGCGTCAGGCGTGTCAAGAGCACGTCAAGGTCGAAGACATCCCGGACGACTTAAGTTCCTCGGAAGACGAGGATGAAGAGGAACATTCAATCAATGTGGAAGGGGATGAAAGTGTCTCAGGAAAGCATATCTGGAACTGCTTATTCCATTCTTAGGTATATACTTGGTGGTGTGTAGGGTATATTGTTTGATTTTCTATTTATGATGAAATCCAAAAAAATAGTGGTTGCTAAGAGATTCGAACTCTTGCATCTTACGATACCTGAGGGTTCCACTGTGTAACAGCGTTAAGAGGGATACTCTTGAATCAGGCGCCTTAGACCGCTCGGCCAAACAACCGTAACTATATCCAACAAAAATATTTGTAACATTTTGTAGGCATCAACTAATCCATCGTAAATTCATGTGTCTATCCATAAATGTTAACAGAAACCTTCTGTATTCTTCTTAAACATCTTTTGAGGAGACCCCCCTTGCTTGCCTCCTGTGTGCTTCCTATTGAAAGTTTGTCAATTTTGTGACGCACACGTCTTCGGTAACGATCGCTGGTAAATTGTATTTTGTCAACACCGGTTAAAAAATGGAGCTCTCAAAAACTGGCAAAACAGCTACAAACCATACTAGTTGTTCAAGTCCTAACTTCTCTGCATGATAACCGAATCTGCGACTTTCAAATAAATAAAAAATTCAAAAAGATGCCACTTCCTAGAATCGAACCAGGGTTTCATCGGCCACAACGATGTGTACTAACCACTATACTAAAATGGCTTAATCATAGTGGATGAACACTTGATAGCATTATGTGCAGTTAGAAGTCCCCTACCACTCGGATGAAGAGTGGTAGCCAAAATTACAGCAAAGCGTCTATACTCAAGACTCGGTGCTCTACCCAGCGACAGAAACTTCAGATCTGAGAAGCCCATCAATAATGCTCAAAACTGTTGCAAGACCTTCCAAGCTATCTCTGAATGCTCTAAGGTTAGCTACTGTAAGACACTTTCATGTCGCGACTCCTTCTCTGGGATACAAGAAATGGGCAGATCTGAATTTAAAGGACAAACAGGCATTTATCAATCAGTATATCGATCTGTACAAGGAAAAGCACCCTTGCAGTCCCAGTAATACCATGCATCGGACTTTGGTGGGTGAAATGGAAGAATTCGACGATGCGCCCTACGTTTTTGGCATAGTCTATAATGAGATTAGATCGGTAGCTCAAGGCGAGTCGCTTCACAACGTCAAAGGAAGAGGAGCCTTAGGAGACCCAGATTTCGAGAAGCTTTTGTTCAACGGACAATGATAGCATTGACTCTAAATAAATGAAATCACAATTTTAATATTCGTACTTATGGCATGGAAGTTGATGATGCAGGGGGATGACGGTGGAAAAGCCGTTTCTGGCAGACAGTGTCTGGCAGAAAGTATCTGCTAGCTAAGGACTTGGTCCAAATTGTCGCTGGTTTCGAGTGCGTCCATGGACGCCACCGTCTTGAGGATATTAGTTTTGCTCGTTTCGGTCATTGAGCCGTCACATATCAGAACCTCATTCAGTATTTCGTACGCTTTGGAGAAATTGAAAATAATGTCCAATTCGCACACATTGTCAAAATAGCTGTCCATGGCCTCAACGTAACGGTGGATAATTTCTAGGGTCAAGAGCTCATTGCTGCTCTCTGAACTGATTCCACACACGAAATAGAGACTAGCGTACCTTCTGTAAACGACTTTATGATCCTGGTACTCTAAAATGTTACACATTTTTGCTTTACGCGCTAGCACGGTGGTACTGAGCTCTCTGCAGATTTTGGTTTTGTCGTTAGAGGTGTAGGCTCCAAACCATCGCATCAGCCGTACCTTTCCTTGTCTGGAAATCAGAAGTAGGTACTTTATTTGCACCATTTTATGAATGCTATGTTAATATACAACCCACGACAAAGGACGCTTCTATAGTGAGCTTCTATAGTGAGCTTCTAAGCCAAGAGCGGATGACTACTGAGCTGTTCGAGATGTCGTTCCATCCGGACTGAATCTACCATATAATTCGAAATATTGAACAAAAGATCACTATATACGCGCACGTCTTCCAGCCTGTAGTAAGTCGTCCTGGGCAAGTTGTGATAGTACTGATCGATACTGAGCTCGTCAAGGAGAATCGATAGATGAGGATTCAACAAGGTGCTCAAAACAGCAAACAAATATGCACGAATTGAGAAGTTTTCTGTAATTTTTCTTAAATTATTCGGGGAAATAACATCAAAGAAGCTCCATATAGATTGAAGACTGCACTCACGAGAAGTAAAGTGTTCTATTGGCCACCATAATTTGATTCTACTCAAATCTGTCCTTGACTTCATCCCAGCAATACACACTTTCCAAGTGCTGGGTCAATACCAACCAAAAATTGTGTCACGTGAACTGACACCAAATGGCTACTTAGTATAGGAAGTCTAGAAGTCCTGGTCCTCGGAAGGTGGCACCCAAGGCGCCGGTTTGAAGTATTCCTGATCTTGGATCACCGCTTGTCTGAAGGCGTCTTTGCTTTCAGCAAACTCCAGCAGATATTCGATCTCCAGCTCATGGCACTGTCTACCCAGGATTACCAAAGAGTGCAAGGGCTCGCCTGAATCGTACTGAGAAAGCTCCTCAATTGTGCCAGACTTGAAAGTCTGGTTTGCAGAACCGAGTCTACTGATAGCCACAGCCGGGGTGTTGGGCGTATAAGCTTTCGTGCCTCTGTTTTCCTCAATTTCCAGCAGTTGTTCGCAGCACTGTGAGATGGACATGTATCTGGGAGGCTCATAGATTAGTCGACCACGGGCCATGTTTTCGATACTTTGCTCTTTGACCTTGATATCAAGCAGAACAAGGGTGTGGAGGCCGATCTTACGGTTTTCCCAGATCTTGTCGTACCACGAGTCTGGTCTCCAGCTGTCGGTGAAAAAGACCATCGACACAGTCTGCCCAAAGTTGTAGAGTTGAAGACCACAGGACCCGACTGCGTTCATGACAGAGGCGTTGTGAATCACCTCCACGGGCAGCTGTTGTTTTTTAGCTCTTAAAACCAGATCGGTATGAGTGGTAGCGCCAAAAGGATCACCTACCACCAAAAACGCAACATCTTCTTTGTCTGCGTCGCGTAGAATCTCTTCACAACCACTTTCAACCATTTCACGGTCCGCTAGTGAGACTTTTTTACCGTAAAACTCCTCGAGCTCTTCCAAAGACGCTGCCATTAGAATGCTGGTGTAATGCTCCAGGTAAACGCGACTGCATTTTTTAATGGCCTCTAGACCACGCACAGTGATATCTGAGGTATATGAAAGACCCAAACCAATCAAGTAAAGCATCTTGGATGACTGCTAAAGACGCTATGGGACCCTTTCTGTTGGTATCTTGGCTATTTTTCTGCATGCGATGAGCATCGTCTTTTTTCAACATTGTCGAATGTCTAATAAATCCGTTGAAAAGGATATCTGATACCATTTAGACCAATTCAAGGTAGGATTATGCTTTAAAAGCAGTTTATCTGGGATATCGGACCCAACCGTGCACGTCCTTTAATTTAATTAGCTGTGCCAAGGAAGATATAAAATTGGGATTGTTTGGTACTATGTGTGGTCCGCTAAAAATTAATAATTTTGAACAGAAAACTAGTGTGTTGCGTATTGTGTTTCGACGTCTTTATTGAAAGTACAAAATGCTAGGTTCTTTGAGCTATACGAAGTAAATAATCCCGTTGATGCGGTAAAGCGAGTACTCTGGGATTTCAAAATGAAAACAGGATTCTTTCATTAACGAACAATAATACTAATTTTTTATTTCATGCTTTGATAACACCGTTTGGATAAAAGTGGCGAAGTAATCGCTCTTCGTTTTGCTTTGTGTGCCGACATCTTCCACTACGCCAAGCTTCCGCTTGGAGCAGCTTCGTCAAGCTGTCACCTTAACACGTGACCCTCAGAAACTTGACACCCGATGAATTCAACAGCGTCTCTCCCCTGATCTTCTAACAACTATTACATTGAGGCCATATCACAAAATCCAAACCCATCACCTAGAAGACTCTCACTCCAAGAGAGCTCCAAAAGTTTTAAATATAACTCACAAAGCTCAAAATTCGTTTCTTCGATTTTGGAAATTTGAGAGCTCCAAGACTTATCATTGTATCTTCAAAAACCGAACTGAATCTCACGGTACAGAACTCTATGCACAATCCAGCCCTTTTTCTGGAGATGTTTCAAAAGTCAGTGCTTCTTCTGTGTCTGATCATGCTCCCAATATAATGAAATGTAACTCCGCACGAAGTGCTAATTATCACTTATTTGATGGGATAGGCGACGAGCTTCATCACAGGAAACCCAAACCCCCAGACGGCAATCAACTTGAGTCCCAGTAGTATCGATTAGATCCTTTTCTGTTACGGCAGTGAGTAGTTCTGTGTTTAAGATGTCAGCTCACGTTGAAGCGGAGGATTTGGAGCAACAGCCACTACAAACAGGAAATTCGACAAATTACGGGGCAAGTTTGAGCCAGCCTCAGGAAAATGATATTAAACACCCGTCTCTACGAGTACGGCGTAATTTAATTGCCATCACAGTTATTTGTTTGATCCTTGGCGCTGTCGGATTATATGTCTCGAGGTTTATACCGTCGACAGACATTATTCAGGCATATTACGACGATGCTACCAAAATAAAGATCCACAGCATCTCCTATGAGGGCTGGGACTCTGAGCCCCAAGAGGTCCATTCTATTAAAAAAGGTGTTTTTGCATTAAAGGAAGGCGACTCTTACAAATATTTGAAATTGCGAGCGAAAGTAGGCGTGCAATTCGATCACGACCAAGCTTTGGCCATATCGAACTCTTCGACCGATGCACGCCGTAAGAAAGCTTTCCTCAAGTTTTCTAGCCAGTCCTTGGTAAGGACACTTTGTTTTGATCTCAACAACATGAAAGCTTATAATGACAATGCAACGGCAAGCCTGGGTCTGGGCTCCGTTCGCATCCCTCAAACGGTGTGTGTCGATTTGAGAGCAAATAAAACGACAGAGTTGGATCTTCCGATTGTCGTGTATCCCGATACCGAAAATATCGCTTCGGTGATCATAAAGATTTGGAAACGCAAATTTCACGAGCTCAACCTCTGGTCAAGTTTTGATGTCACCTTGTCCAAGTGGGGACTTCCCATAGGAAGAGTACTGATACCTAGATTAGACTGGAATGAACTTTTTGACTGGCGCCAAGTACAGTCTTATGTCGACGAAATGCAGGACATTCTGAAAGAACCCATCAAAGTTGACGATTTGGAGATTACTGACAGTGATGAAGCTGTGAATTTTCATATTGCCACCTCATATACCTGTCCTGAGCGATTCAAAGATATTCTGACAGCTCAGAAAAACTCTGTGATTCCGCCAATGTCGTGGAAGGTCCGTATGCCTGGTTGTGATGGAAGCGAGCCAATATTTCTTCAGAACGCCGATTTTCAGACACCTTCAATACCCGTAAAGGTCCTCTTTTCACCAGGTCCAACTGCCATTAATATAACAGGACAAATTTATGGTCCGCTTCCTGATGAGTTACTATATCAAGTTTGCGATTCAGATGAGGAAAATGTTGTAACGCCAATAAACCTGTTTCTGAAAAACGTCTTCAATTCCACGGAGAGTGTAAAATTTGATATCAGCGGTCACCACGCAGACCGCACCAATAATAGCATTGTGCCCAAATGCTTCTTGGACGAGATTTTGCCGTCAATTTTACAAGAAATACATGCAAATCTAACACTTAATTCGGATCAGTTGGTGGAGCAGGTTTCAATTGATGGAATGAAGCTAAAATGGGTTCAAAGGGGATGGGACGAAAAAAATCTTGAGGTGAAGGGGAAAGTTAACATCTTGGTCAATCTCCCGTATTATAGCGCAGCTCATTCTAAGGGACAGGAAACAGTTTCTATTAAAAAGATTAAAGGTCTCACTAAGGTATTTCACAATGACGTACACTTCGTTTCAGTTCCCATGGATGTTTGGCTAAATGCAGAATCGGAGATTGTAAAGTCTGAAGAACAAATTCAGCTTCGAGTTTCGTTTGATATTGCTGGTCAAAATGTTGTGGTGGAAGACAAAATCGAGCTCACAAAATGTTTGAACGAAATACTCGTCAAAGGTCAAGCACAGGTGTATGTGGAGGGAAAGCTGGATTTGATGATGGATACAAAGTTAGGATCCATTGTCTTACTTGGTTTGAAAGGTGATGGCAATACGGTGATTAGAACATGAGCTCAACGAGATTCGTCAAACTCGTTACAACAATATGAACTGGACGCGCGAGGCAGGCCTCGCTGAGATAACAGTATGTGAAAGGATATGTAGTATTTCTTCCATTCCACAAATTAAAAGAAAGTCGTCATTCTCTTGAAGCTTCATCCATTCTATTAGTCTTCAGTTCCAAGATTACTCGTTGCCGTCTCCTTTGCACAAAGTTTGGGGCAAGCAATATCTCGAAAGACGAGTATTCTTACACCATGGTTGCGTTACTATGCATAATATTGTTATGTATGTCAGTGTTATACAAAAAATTGTGGCAAATGTTCTGTCTGGTGCTTGGAGGACACTCTCTTTTGTAAATGTTCAGAAGATGAAAGGTAATAGATGTTTTTATTATTCATGTTGCAGAGTTTTGGTTATAGGGAGAAAGACTTCTTAGCCGATCACCCACGTCTGTTCTGTTATGACGCTTGACACCGAGTGTAGAGATGTACACCGGTGCCGTTTGTTATATTGCAGAGACTGCAAGAGGAAGAACTGGTGACAGCGACCCTTCCCTTGGACAATGTCCAGTGCATGCTTTTTTATTTGAAATGCAAGCCGGCCCAGGTAAAATAAAATTGATAATGAGTTACTAGGACCGGCGAACAGTGAAAGTTAATTCGTTGACTCTCAATGCTCTTATGATGCAATAGTTTGTTCTTTTTGAGATTTTTTATTTTCGTCGATGCAAGAAGCTGGCAAGCGGTTGATGGGGCGGACTTCCCAACTGGATGCGTACTTTGTCAATCGAACTTTTTGGTGGTTTCGTTTCGATCTTCATATCGTATAATCGAGCTCAAATCGTCGTTACTGCCTCAAAAGCCAAGTTCTTCCTCGTAAAGCTCGAGTTCGGCAGTTAGAGGTCTTTCTTTGAAATCAATAACACACAATTTGGCAACACCGGAGAAGTACTTCAAGTCTTCCTTCAGCTTTTGAGTCTTAAATCTCATAAAGTCTCTAAACTTAAGCTTAGAAAGTGCAGGGTACATCTCGTCATAAGTTGGTTTTCTTCTTTCTGGTTTTTTGGGACGCGTAAGCGCCAGAGTAGTTCCAGAAAGCGGTGACACAAGGTTTTTCACTTTGTCTGTGAAACGTAGACTTTTTTCTCTAAAAGGTCTCTTGATGACTAAATCTGGCTCTCCACGAGAATCAAGCGAAGGAACCCAGGTGTAGTGCTGGTAGTCTGGATCATGAGGATCAAGCCTAATGGAAGGGGGTCGCACAAGTACCCCGTTTGCCGCAACAAAAGGAGGCAGTGGTAGATCGCGAGTTACACCCTGGCGATCATGCAAACCATTGGCACGTTTACTCAAATGAGTGTTAACCGCTGCATCAATTTGAGAGGAAATTGGGGACCACAATGAGGCTCCTGAATACCATGAAGAAGCACTATCTTCCAGATCATGAGACCTGATATTATCACCCGAATCCGTGTCATGATAGTAATTACCGTTTTTTAAGTTTTGATCCAGGGAAGAGAGTTCACAGGATTTGATAGCGTCGCGACTGTCGTAGCAAAATTCGTCTCCTTCATTTAGCATCTCTAGCGCGTCAGAGTGAAAGACAGATTCCTGCGAATACGATGTGGATTTTTCAGTCGGTGCGTGCTTGCCGGATTTTTTTCTAGTTTCCCTGGTCTTACTCAATTCTTGCGACTTCGGGCTTACATCACAGTTGGCGCCAGTGGGAAACAAATGACTCGAAATTATCACTGACTGCTCGTCGTCGTCGTCGTCGTCGTAGCTCTCACTTTCAGAAAACTGGTTCGTCATCATCTTATGGTGGTAAATACCGGAGATGTAATGGTCCTGTTTTCCTGTGTTTTTGAAACTCTTAAGCCTCGTGTTATCATTTTGAGTGACAGAAGTGGAGCCTGAGTTTGCGCTGTTCAAATATTGTTGCACTTCATGGCGGCCGAAAATCCCAGAAAGCTGCTCACCTCCTTCGTTTGCCTCATGATAAAACTTCGCCTGATGTAGAGCATTGTTGTCTCTCAAGTCCTGACACATTAGTCTCTTACCTGCTTGTTGGTAATGAAATGCGCTCGCATTAGGACTATACTGTTGAAGGGCGGTGGGGCCCTTTCTCGGCAATAGCTGGGGTGGCCCATCATGAAACGGATTACGGCAATTCTCTTTGAGACTGCAGTGGCATTTGTGCGCTACTGCGGCAGAAGGACTGGCAGTGGAAGCACCAGGTCGTCGACCGTACATGGGCGTGTAGTTAATTCGCCTGAAGAATTCCTTGAACTCCTCATTGTTGCCTCGCGATGGAAGAGAATCAGAATCGGATTCACCTGTTTGCTCTTCGTGCTTTTTCCTTTGCTTTGAGGAAATAAGAACAAGACCTCGACCTGCTGTCTCAATTGATAAATTTGTGTTGGTTTGAGCTATGGAACTTGCAGAAGGTAGCTTCTCGGACCGAGTGATCTTTTTGTGCTTTCGAGCTAAATCAATCATATTTTGACCTTCAGCTGGTCTTCTGCGTCGTGCACCTTTCTTGGCTACTTCGGGTGACGTTGCATGAGATGAATCTTCCATTTGTGTTTCTGCAGTTCTTTCAGAACAGTGGCCGACAGCATCTGCTGCTTGGTTGGCACGGCTTCTTCGGCCCTTAGTACGCTTGGGGGATTTAGTTAAATTCGGGGAAGGAATTATGGGAACTTTGACAATGGAACGCTTGTCAAAATCATCAAATTCAAATGAGCCCGAAGGCTCGTCGCGTTGGTTCTGTCTATGAGTTTCCTGTGGAGGTTGGAGAAGGGAAGAGCTCTTGGACTGATGCGATGAATTTACACAGCCTTGGTCTATAGCCACAGTATTTATGACGTTAGGCTCGACTTTTAAGTGTTGTTCTGGATCTAGAGTTTTCCGTTGTCGGGTTCCGGGGGCATGTATTCCATCGAGGGACGTGAGATCGGCCGATTTGGCTATACAGAGCTCGTCCTTCACTTGAACGTCTGACACATTCGAAGTTCCGCTTTGTGATCGGTTTCCCATCACATTTGCGTCAATGCCCAAAACTAGTCGTGTGACAGAGCTAGCCCGTCGCATTAGTCTAGGCACTGACTCGGAATCTATCGCTTCATCTCTCTCTGGGTTTGCCACCACAATCATTGTAGCACGTTCAATAGTGGCAACGATATCTTTAACTGGTCGCATTTTTCTAGGCGCACCAGAGTTTTTTGAATTGGCCTGCGGAGTTTGCATTGCAGCCAGTTTCAGCTGCCTGTCAATAATACCATCGCGAGAATTTGGCGGCTCAACTTTGTTAGTTGAGAATAAGACATCTTGTTCATGCTCCAAAAGTTCTATTCTCATCTTCTGGAAATTCCTGGCCTTTTCAGCTCTGAGATCGGCCGGGACTTCAGCTGGAGGAGACACAATATCAGCATGTTCTTTTTCGTAACGTCTTTTTTCTAACAAGGCCATGATGTCTCGCTCGATCTCATTCAGTTCGAGCTCGATACCATCTATGAGCATCGTTTGCTGGTGTTCTAGTGAAGAACGGAGAGACCCCTCGTTATGATTATTTCTCTCAACCGAAATTGCACTGCTGTTGCGCGCAGACCCTTGGCTTTCCCTACTAGCAGCATGATTAACGGCAGGATCAGCAACATGATTGTTAATCGAGGCATATCTGAGAGCAGAAATTTCGTTCTCTTCGTCATCCTGGTCGGGAGATGGCGGCATACGCTCTGTGGCCGAATTTGAGTGTGTCTTCGAGCTTGTCTTAGTGGTGACTTGAGAAACAGAACTTACATCCAAAATTTTGACTGTGTCCAAAGGCGATGACAGAGCGGGGCAAGTGGCCTCAGGAAGATTGGTCAACTTTTGGGGTCGATCACTAGGATCATCGTCCGGTTCAGAGAACCCATCCGCACATGATTTTCCGACCACAACATCAAGAGCGGGATCCAAACTTCTCGAGCAGTTTGAATTTCGCTCCTTCGTGTTTGGCAAAGAAAATTCGTCAGCTAATGAGTTCTTACCCTGTTCTCCCACTGAGTCAACATCTTTCACACAGCTGTTTTCGGCTTTAACCCCTTCCCTCTCATAACTTGAAGCACTCGAAGAATCGAGTGACAGTACTTTTCCGAGCCGAGTGACCTTATCATTTCGTTTTTCGGCTCGAATTTCAATCTCTTTCATAATGATAGTGGTCTCATTACCGTCTTGTTTGGTAAAAGAGAGTTTACCCATCTTTAGTAATTGAGAGTAATGCTCAAACATTTGTTCCGGTTTTCCAGTATTCCAAATAGAAACAATTCTGTTCTCGATCAAAGACGGACGTACCTCCTCCCTTTTGAGTTTGAACAGGCTACCGCCAGTTTTTAAACCGGTCCATTTGTGAAAGCGTAACTTAATCGCTGATTTGGGTCGGCCATTGTCTCCAATAACTTCTTTGAATGAAGCTGGAAATTTAATTGGCATCATTAAAAGTCCTGCGTGCGTCTTGAAAGAACCACTGGACTTTGGGTAAAGCTCTTGATACAGAACCTTTTGAAGATAATCGAACTGGCTGAAGGGAAACTTCTCAAGTGGTCTAGAAGAGATGAAATGCGATTGCAAGGATTCTATGACTTTATCGCACGGTTGTAAGAAGTCTAGGTAGGCGCTTTTGATTGCATTTTTCAGGCGGTCCTCTTTTATTCCATTTTCTTCCTTCTCGTAGAAAGCTTCCTCGGGTGAGCATCCGTCCAAGGAAAACTCAACCATGTATAGCGTTGAACATTTGAGCAGCAAGCTCATCCTGTCCACTATTTGTTCTCGGGATAAAATAATCCCGTGAATATAAGTCAGCCAACCATAATTTCCTTGCAGATCCTTCAATTCAAGATCCTGAATTGCTGGGAGATGTTTGGCTCTCGACTTGATGTAGTCTAAGCGGAACTGAGGTTCATCCAATCGCTCAATGTACAGGATCTCGATGTATTTCTCAGCAAATGAAGAGTTTATGTCAGCGAACTCGTCGCGACTTGAATAGTCCAAATACATCTCCTAAGGTTGCTCGAAACCTTTGTTTTTTCAGTTATGCAGTACTAGTGCGAATTTTAGAAGGAGCTTTAACTTTCTAGGAGATAAATAGCCTCGAGAGACTTTTCAAATGATTTGAGTAAGCCTTGGCGGCCAAGTCCGTGGATGTCTTAATCTAGCCAGAAGTAAGTAGGTTAGCTGATCGGGTTAGAGGATTCCTGAGCCTTTCTTTCGGCGATGTCTCGATTTTCTGTATAGACTGGCGGACGCGGTGTGAGTTTGTGTTCTTTGTCTTCGTGTAGAAACTTGACCTTTTGTGTCACAAACTAGAGGTGGATTTTCTGTCGCCGTTAAAAGCCTTGAACTTGGTCTTTCTGATTTTTCTGTGTTGTATGGATGGCCAGGGCGTGACAGAGGACCCCGTCGAATAAAGTTGTTGTTCTGAAGGAAGCCTTTAAAGAGCTCTGTGAAGGGTGTTTCTTAGCAAAAGCAAGGTCGTGACACCCAGAAATGTCTTTAATGGAAAATGTCTTTCGTGAGTTGAGTGAGTGAAAGAAGTGTGATGAGTCTCTTTTAGAGACCAAAATTTATTCTTTGTTGACTCGCTAGCTCTTTTAGTGAAATTGGGATGGTTTTTGTGTCTCTAGGGCGAACGACTGTAAAATAGTATTACTGTGACGCCTTTTCGAACTTTTGTGTCAAAAGTTACTGGAAGTTTTGGGATGGATCGATAGTCTGGTCAGATGCTTAGCTGATAATTTGACTTTCTTCTTCGACTTGCCCTACTGGTGAAACGACTTAAATATAATGACTTTTGTGTCTCCCAAAGTAGAATGAGCACAAACACAAAAATATGGTTCAAAAGTGCGGTTGAGGAGCCTGATGTCTGGACAAACGTAGCAAAACTTGGAGACTGTTTTCTGAAAGGAGTTCGGTGCTCCGATCTTGAGATACTTGCAAATAATAATAGCTTCTTTCTTAGCGAACTTGGGAGCCTCTTGGGACTTTGTCGATAATTAAAAGCTTTTACTCTTGCAAATCGGTTGGGATAAGCTGTTTGGAATTCGATTCGTAAAGCAAATGGTCGGAATACGCGACTACTGGCTTCAAACTTGTAATTCTTATGGTGGATTAAAAAAGAAGGACCAAAAAGAATATGGTAAGATGCAAGAAGCAGAAAGACAAGATCGCTTCAGAAGCCCGCCTTTTATACTTTTTTCTCCCCGCTTAGTTTTTCGACCGCTGATTTTGACACAAAGATCGGAAACGTACACACGGCATCTCATCCAGTGCCGTAGACGATCCAGGCCTATTCGAACAGGGTCTCGCCCGCCATAAGTGCTAGCCATTTTGCCAAGTTTCCTTCCACAAAAACAAATTGGCATTTGCGTCGCCACTTGGTGCCGGAATTTTATAGGATAACGACAATACTTGGTAGATCTCAGGGTCCAGAATCCTTCATGCGCCGCATCGCAGGTTTTCGAATTGTGACGCTGACGCTGCTCTTTTTATCACTATTCACATTTCCTGTCGTTGATGCGAGTTTGGCTCTTTCAACATGACTCAAATGAATCATGTTAGTCATTTGGAACGCAGTTCCAACGTTAACGTATCTGTTACAGGGTACGCTTGACGATAACAGAAGATCGCTATGGTCATAGAACGAAGGCCATCAACGCGAAGAAGTTTTCACGGACCATATAAAAGACCAAGCAGTCGAGCATTCTTTCGGGCTTCTTTCCTTTCTCTTCTTCTTTATTTGTCACGAAAACCAGTCAGAGTTTTTTAACACACCTTTCTCGCACGTAACCTAGCTTTCCTCCAGACAACATGTCTTCGTTTCTGAACTTCTACGCTGCTTCGCTTAAGAAAAACCCTAAGACCACCAATGCTATCATGACGGGGTCTCTGTTTGGTGTGGGTGACGCTATCGCACAAATATGTTTCCCCAGTCCTACAGCGAAGTCCACCACGAAAAACGGGAAAACGGTGTCCGGAGGTTACGACATCGCGAGAACGGTGCGTGCAGTGACCTATGGGTCTCTCATATTCTCCTTCATTGGCGATAAGTGGTTCAAAACCCTGAACGGTAAGGTCAAATTCGCTAGCAAACCGGCAAACCATTGGTCGAACCTCGCGCTGCGTGTGGGAGTTGACCAGCTCCTGTTTGCCCCAACCTGTATTCCGTTCTACTTCGGTGTTCTGACGCTCATGGAGGGCAAGTCACTGCAACACGCAGACCAAAAGATACGTGCAGTGTGGTGGGATATTCTGAAGACCAACTGGATGGTGTGGCCCGCGTTCCAGCTTGTCAATTTCTCACTAGTTCCAGTGCAGCACCGGCTGCTGGCAGTAAACGTGCTGGCAATTTTCTGGAACACATTCCTGTCTTTTAGAAACTCCGAAGCGAGCAACAAAGACCATCTGTTGCCCGTTGAGTACCCGCCTGTTCCTGAGTAAAGTTACATATTTAACAGTCGTAGACGACTTTTTAAAATTTAGCTTGAGGTATCCATATCAAGAATAGGATAACAAGGTGTTTTCGCTGAAGTCCAGACATTTCTCGGACGGAGAGACATCGCTTCACTGTGTTGGAAAGGGTTGAAGTGGTGAGGGTTTTATACCTTTTTAAGCCATTACTCTGGAGAAAAGAAGACAACACTCGCAAACGTGATTAATGATGATTCATGATTCATGATGATGAGCTCCAAGTGAGTAGATCAAGTTCAATCCATGATTGTTCATAAACCTTAGTTTTGAGTCCAGTTTCTGGGCTTTTCTCTTTACATAATTAACAGCTAGATGCTAGACTTGTGGATCATTTTATTTGGGCGTGTAGTAATCGTAGTTGTCGAGAGGAGCGTCGTCCTTGATCGTCTCCCAAATCTCGTCAATCTCCTTGGCAATCTGAGGGTCCAAAGCACCTTGCTTAATTGCCTCTAGGTTCTGAGCCATCGACTCAGCGGACCTAGCGCCTAGAATGATGGCGTCGCCGGACTCGGCTTTGAGAGGCGAATTGTGGGCCACCCACCGATACGCCAGAGCTGCGTTGGTGATTCCGGCCTTTTCCGCGATTTTGTTCCACTTTTCCAAGCCTTTCATGAGGGAAGGTCTGTTGTAGAGCCCGTTGTACAGGTCACCAACGGGGCCATTTTGCTTGAAACGGCCCACTCCTTCGGTCACTTGCTGGGGCGTCTTGGCTAGAAAACCGCCTGCGATTGGAGAGTAGGCGTAGAACGAGACATTGAGTTCTTTCAAAAGTGGGAACAACGTTTGCTCAACTCTTCTGGCAAACGCGTTGTAATTGCCTTGGAAGACCGAGGGGAGAACATGGCCCTTGGCCTTGCAGTAGTCGTAGATTTTTTGCACGTCTTCGGGACTGTAGTTGGAGATACCGAATCTTTTGAACTTCCCTTGCTTGTACAAATATCCAATGGTGTCTAGAGTCTCCTCCAGAGGACTTGCGGGGTCGGGACAGTGCAGATAGAAAATGTCCACGCTGTCGACCTTGAGAAGACGGAACGACTCGTCGATGGACTCAATGATCGAGTCTCTGCGCAAACTGTTTGGAGTAAATCCAAGTGCCTTAGTGTCGATCACGAAACTCTTGGGGAGATCATTGTTTCCCAGACATTCCTCACTGCCTGGGTAGATACGTGCCGTGTCGAGTTCAGTGACGCTATATTTCTTCAAAGTCTCGACATACTTGTCTAGCTCAGGAGCGGAGAGTAAGGACAATTGGAAGGCTCCGCATACAGTTTTCACAGACATTTTGTGTGGATGGATAGTTAATGAGTTATTTGTTTGGTGTGTTTTTTCTAGACCATGAGAAGATAGTTCAAGCTCGGTCTTATAAACCATTTAAATCTTGATCTTAAAGGGCGGTTCTATTTGTAAGCTAGAAGATGCCAAGTGATTATATGGCAGTTTTAAAAATGGTACTGTGAGGACGTCGGAACTAGGGATATTGAGACTAAGAGGTGAATCCTTGATTTCAATATTCCACGGAACGCTGTCAACGGGAGCCTACAACGACCTAAACGGCTTGGTAAACATACATTCGTAGAGCTACGAAGCACAGGGCGCAACCTAGAGACAAACTTATCGTATATCTCTTGCTTAATTGAACGAGTCATTTGTAATCACCTTCAACAGAGAGATGAAGGGTTTTCGGGGTTCAACAGTAGTTACGGGACGATAGTCAATGGCTATCGTGTAAACCATTCCTGTGGAAAGGTAATGTGACAATTCAGTAAGCAGGGGAACAAGAAGGCGGAGACAGCAGAGACAATCTACATGGCACGTAGAAGTTGCGAACGAACTCGAACACGTAAAGCACTCGAACAATCGTATCAGCTATCAAGAGTGAATGTGTAGGAATCTTGATTTTATTGAACTGCAAACGCGTAGGATGAATTTTGTCAAATGGCTATAAGCACTTCTAAAGAATTGATCGCTGAAGCGTTCATTTGTGAAAAATCTTGGCGTTACAGAGCAGTTGAGCGCGATTGCGAGCAGTTGTTACTGAAAAGAGAGCTCGTAGTTTTCATAACGTCAGCGATCTATTGTGAATTGAGTGAAAAGCCAAGTAGTATTAGTGATGAGTACGAGTACAAGTACTATCGCGAGTACGAGTACAAGAATGTCCGCGAACGAGGTTACAAGCATTAATGAACAACTTTGAGCGTCAGTGCCGGAACGTGAATGAGAAAGTATTGGGAAGACGTTTGTACAACTGTTTGCTTCAGCGATTGATTGTGAATACTTAGAATAGCTAGTTAATTCCTGACGCTCTCGGTTGTGAATACGTAGAGGGCTATACACAGTATTGAAAGGTTGATCGATGGCGATGACTTCAAGCACGACTAAAAAATTACACTACAGAGTTTTAAGCAAGAATTGGATCGCACTGCCCTCGCGTGGTGCTTCTCGGTTACGCAAGTCTCTTCGGCTTGCCTATTATTATCACTTTTTCATTTCCTGTCGCTGGGCTCAGATCTTGGTCACGTGAACAAACAGTCACGTGAATCTTTCAAAAAGACCAAGAAAGGCTTCACACTACACTACAGCACAATCGAAACCAAGTGAACCTAAATCTGTAAGCTACAAACTACAAACTACAATATCATCTACCAGGCTCCTCTCCGGAGTCCAACGATACTTGGTTTTGAAATTCAGTATATCTCAGTTTCAGTCACGTGCTCCATCGGTTTCTCCCGTAAATATCCATACTCTTAGCACATTCAGCATTGGACAGTTGAGTATACCACTCACTTTCACTCGAGTTAACCACTTTCAAGGCGTTTAAAAGGCCTTTTATCACTCTTTTTAGAGCCATGTTCTCAACTTACTCACGGCTAGCGTTCAGAGGCTCGCTACGACGGCTTTCCACCGCGTCTGGACCCTCAGCACAGTCAAAGCCAAAATATATCACCAAGAGAAGAGTGTTCCTAGCAGCAGGAGTTTTCACTGCAGCTTACGTTTCTACGGACCAGACATCGCAGGAAGTACTCAGACATGTGGGTATGACGTCCAAGCGCGTGGGTATCGCTACACAAGCGACGATTCGATGTCTTTACAACTACCAACGAGTGTTGCACCGCGATTACAATTCGGAAGAACAGCGTCGTGAGGCTCTGGGCCAGTGTCACCAGCTGTGTGCAGACATCACGCTCAAGGCGTTGGAAGCAAACGGCGGAATTTTCATAAAACTCGGACAGCACATCGCTGCAATGACTTACTTGTTGCCTTCAGAATGGACGGAAACTATGATTCCCCTGCAGGACAAGTGTCCTGAGTCAACGCATGAAGAGATTGTCGCATTGTTCAAACAGGATCTGAAATTGGACATGGACGAGATTTTCGCGGAGTTTGACCCACAGCCGATCGGCGTCGCATCGCTAGCACAGGTGCACACGGCGAGGCTCAAAGCAGGAAGCCAAAAAGTCGCAGTGAAAATTCAACACCCCTCGCTCAAGGAATTCGTGCCCATAGACGTGCTGTTGACACAGACAGTGTTCAACATCGTCGATTTCGCATTCCCAGAGTACCCTCTTGGGTGGCTAGCAGATGAACTTCAAAACTCGATTTATGTGGAGTTGGATTTTACAAAAGAGGCCAGCAATGCCCGTCGAACGGCCGAGTATTTTGCAGACTACATTCCCGAGACCGCTCTGCGGATTCCCAAAGTTATCAGCGCAAACAAGCGTGTTCTGATTATGGAGTATATTGGCGGTCACAGGTTGGACGATCTGGAATATATCGATCATAATCACATAAATCGCGGCGAGGTCTCATCATGCCTATCTCACATTTTCAATAACATGATATTCACCCCCAACGTAGGAATCCATTGTGATCCGCATGGTGGGAACTTGGCGATCAGACACATTGATCGTCCCCGTGGATACCACAGTTTCGAAATCATACTATATGATCACGGGCTGTACAGGCATCCAACGACAGAAATGAGAAGAGACTATGCCAAATTCTGGCTGGCACTTTTAGACAAAGACGAAGCCAATATGAAGAAATACGCCATGAAATTCGCGAACATCAACGAAACTCAATTCCCGTTATTTGCTGCGGCAATAACCGGCCGAAGCATAGATGCCGCTCGGAGCTCTGATCTTTTGAAGCCCAGATCGGATGAAGAAATCAAGGTTATGGCCAAAGCACTCACGGAGGGTACACTTTTGGGTGATTTGATGAGCATTTTGTGTCGCGTCCCTAAGGTGGTACTACTCATTTTGAAAACCAATGACTTAACACGGCATTTGGACGAGTGCTTGCAAAATCCGCTCAGCGTTGAACGCACGTTCTTGATCATGACCCAGTACTGCGCGCGAACAGTTTACGACGAAGCGCGCCAGAACATAAACTTATCCTACCACCGCTGGTCGTTTACATGGATTGTCCGGGAGTTGAAAGCTTGGTGGGAATACGAAAAACGGAAGAAGCAACTAGTGGTTTATGACTTTGGATTTTGGTTCAGAAATAAGTTTTTGAGCGCTCGCTAGGCATTAAATAGACATCTACAGACAAGAAAAGCATCCATATTCACTTGTGCCGTGTGGTCGCTACCACACTCGTGCTGCTGAGGTATGTAGCTCGAAGGGCTGCTGAAGTTTTGTGAGACGACAGTCGCAGCGAGGATTGGTTGGTGCTTACTTTGAAAACATCGCAATTGTTAGGGCTCTTTGATGTTCTCGGTAGTTCCTCTTCGATGTCTGCAGCTTCGTGCAGATTAGGTTGTCTCTCTGAATATTTTTTATTAGTTTCATCAACCGCAGATTGTCGCAAACATCGCAGATCTGTCAATTCATGCTCGAGAAGTACGTTTTGTTCCACCAACCTGTCATTTTCTGCCTTGGACTCCTTCAACTGACTTCTCAATATTCGATTTTCGGCCTCGAGCTCATCTGCTTGGATCTCCAGAGTCGTAATCTGCTCGTTGGCATCTTTTCGCGCTTCTCCCCGTTGCATACGTAGTATCTTGTCGTCTTTTTCTATCAATTCAGATTCCAATTTTTGAATAACTTCCTCTAGTTCTTGTTCATATTCGTGGCTGGTTTTTCCAAGCTCGTCTAGCTGCTTCTGAAGTATCGCTATCAAGTTGTGTGCATCCTCCAAACCCAACTCAGCTGTCGTCATCGCCAATGTTTTTGACGATGTGAACTCATCTTTGATTTCCATGATAGCTGACATTTTATATTGTATATTGTATATTATATATGCGTATATATAATGACATCAGTTAACTGATGGCAGACGCTGTGAGCGATGGGGAGAAGGTCAAATAGCGTCCCAGCTATTAATGCTGGGTGAAAGCTAGATGGCAAATTGCTAGATTTAAAAGACAACGTGCAATGCGTAAATTCTATTTGATTTTGATGGACTTTGTCTTTTTTGAGTCAAACCTGGCACAAGGCACTGGTAACGCCGCAATGTCAATGACAATAATATCAATGGTATCGATATTGACCACCCTGGGATTTGATTAATATTTGCGGTCTTCTTAGGTTTTGAATTTCAACGAATACTTCCAGATGGAAAATGCTATTTAATAACAAATATAGAAATATGACACCAAAACTAGTGTGTTGAACCCTTTTAGATTGCAAAATCTTTTTTTAAGGAATCTTCCAATTTATGTTGATTGGGCGTAGAGTGATTGCTACATGATTCGACTCCATATTTGCACCTCCCCAATATGAATATTGATAATTTCAATGTTGGGTATTTCCAAAAGCTTTGCATAGTTGATGCAGACAATGATGATTGGAAGAAACATCTTATGCGCCATAAACTAAGTGTTTCATACTTCCTTAAAAAATAAAATAACTCTTCAAAGCTGCAAAACTATTGAAACTGCAGCTCACGGTAATTTTTTAATTATCCTAGACAACTTGGAAGACGACAGTGATCTCAGTGAAAGATAGTGGCCATCTACAAGCTCTTGGCCAACCTCTTTTTTGTTTGTCACATTTTCCCAAGGTGACATTTCGTGACAGTATACTAATAATAATCTCGAAAATAAGATGTCAGAAACTGCCTTCGACAATTCGAAAACAAAACACACCCATATTCTTCCGTTAAGCACCTACTACAGAGACAATTGATGGTCTTCCCTTGAATCATGACCGCGAGATATATATAGGGGGTGCTATTGACATTTCTGAGCTCTCCTGGAACAACTCAAATTTCAAAGGTACTCCATATTCGTTATATGAACGTAACGAGCGTCAAGTCTTCTTCCCTGCCCAAAAATATATCTTCTTTAAGCTTTTGCTAACGCTATTGACTGGTTTCTCACCCATTGAGCGATGCTTGAGGGCAAAAAACGCGTTCCTACTATTTATCATGAGTTTTACCTCTGAGCTATTGAATTACAGCACGGGGAAATATAAACCTTGATTACGAAATTCACACGCGACGTGGAACGGAAAGTCCACCATTACGCGTTGGACTGCCACCTTTTTTTCTTTCGTTTAGTCTCACCCAATATTCTCCAGATGCATTAGTTCACTACGAAACCCAACAGAACTACGCCCGAAAGTCTCTCGTCCTTCCATGAATTCGGTCTCGTAAAAGGGTCAAACTAAAGCATGAATCTGCAGATGACATTCGGGTACTTCGCCATCGGTGGCAGAATCCCATTAAGCTCAGCACCAGAGAGACTATGCTGGTTAGAACTCGTTCCCGTGTGGTATGACCCTTCTCTTCGAATTGAGCGATGGCTTGATCGGGTGACATTAAAATAAACCCAACGAACGACGAGCAGGAGGGTTAAACGACATGATCAGCGCGTTAATGTTGAAGCTATCTAGACGGCTTCAAGAAAGTGAAGGTGCTATAAGAATAAGTTGGTTATTGGCCGTTGAGAGTTTGGTGCGCTTCGGTGGGAAACTCGCATTTCAATCGATACACTGGTGCTAGGTTCATCTTAGCTACAATAGACAAGTTTGGGAAGAGTTTGGCGATCTCAGTTTGCGAAAAAAGAGCAGTTGGTTGAATCTATCGTAGCGGAGTCTTTATAAGTTCAAAAAAGCTCGCTGTGGTTTGAAAACGAGAATAGATTCTAAAAATCGTAAATTTTGGTGCTCCACGAGTGTTAAAAAGGTTTTACAACACGCTAGAATAGTTAGCAAAAGATGGCAGAAGGAAATAAGAGGAACCGAAATAGAGTGCCTCTGAGTTGTACTATATGTCGAAAACGAAAGGTTAAATGCGACAAAACCAGACCTCACTGCACTCAGTGTGTGAAGGCTGGAGTGGCACATTTGTGTCATTACATGGAGCAGACGTGGGCTGAAGAGGCAGAGAAAGAGTTATCCAAAGATGCAGAGCTCAAGCAATTGCGAGAACGCATAAAAGCCCTCGAGAAAACGCTTTCCAAAATGCATGCTTCCAGCAGTGGAACGCCAGACAGCGCAGCTGCGGGACTCGAAGAAGCTCCAGTCTCGCAAGGCCCAAATATTTCCAGCCAGGAGCCGAAACTACTGGATAGTAGCAAGTACGACAGTGACGAGCTTGATCTAACTCGGCAATTTGATATGTTGCACTTAAAAAATAATGGAACCGTTCATCTGGGCGCCACTCACTGGCTAGCGATAATGAAAGGCGACCCTTACCTCAAGCTTCTGTGGGGTCATATTTTCATGTTGCGAGAAAAGATGTCGGACTGGGTCTTAAGCAAGAGAAAAGGCCGATCCGCAAACGCTACAGACAACAGAGATACGCATAATATCAAGGGCAGGTGCCCGGTGATACATCAACCTTCTTCTTCAACTTGTCCTGTGTCTGGTATGTCGCGGTCTAATTACCCCCGCGACGGTAAATGTCCGGTGGATCATCGAGCATTTTCCCCGGTAATAAATAAAGAAGGCATCAAGGAACACTCTGAGAGCCCTGTGTTGACCGCAAACTCTCAGGTCTCCGATGGATCTGTTGCCAAGTGTCCCGTTGCTCACAAGTCGGACGCTACAGCCCAGACGGCAACTTGCCCGGTGATGCACAAACCACTACAGGCTAATCGACTTTCCGGGTCTGAATCTCCATCTTCAATTCCACAGCCTGTCACTTTGCCGTCCTTCGACAAACTCACATCAAAATGCCCAGTAATTCACGACACTTCACCGCCTCCGCCAGCCGGAAGTGCTACCCATCCTGATAATAAGACGCAAGATCAGGCAATTGCAGAGTTGTGTAAAATGCTGCCGCCCAAAAGAGTTATCGCATCAATTGTTGAGAAGTTTTTCAAGCACATTTATCCCGTCATTCCTATCCTGGATGAACGTAGCTTTAAGCATCAAATTAATCAAATTATCCAAGTTAAAGATGAAGGCATTACGTTGCAGCTCTCCAAGCCTTCTGATTGCTGTACGCTTGGGATTCTGATCATTATACTAAGAATAACATGGCTGTCCCTTCCGCAAAATGCCTGTGACGTCGATCTCGGCCCTCAGTGTGGGGCGCTTTTCATTCCAAGAGTCTCGACCGCTACCGTTCTACAGTCGCGGGAAGACCAGTTCTTAATGAGTTATGAAACGTCAGCCAAAGCAATTCACCTTGTGCGCAAATACTTGATTCGACTAGATGAGCTCACCAGCTTTTCGAACAGCAATGTCAACCTCACGACTGTACAGTTTGCGATTTTCTACAAGCTTTATCTGATGTGCTGTACAGAGAAAACAATCGACACACAACTCAACACATTCACTTCTACGAGTCAGGACAATGAGGCACACCAGATGCTATTGTCCAGTATTGTTCAAATGGCTTTCAGTTGCGGGCTCCATAGAGATCCTGACAACTTTCCCCAACTTACAGCTTCCACGAACGGGAAGCTCAACAAAGAAGCCGTTTCCAACGCCGAAAGGCTCAAGCACACATGGCGGAAGACTTGGTATGCGATTGTGTCTCTTGACGTGCAACAATCAACGTCTCTGGGCTCGCCTCGGCTTTTGCGTAATTTGAGAGACTTTAGTGATACAAAACTCCCATGCTCGTCAAAAATAGATTATGTTCGCGACATCAAGGAGCTTATCGTTGTCAAAAACTATACTCTCTTCTTCCAAATCGATCTATGCATAGCGGCTGTACTCAACCACATTCTCAACGTCTCCATGGCCAAGACTGTCAGAAAGTTCGAGCTCGATTCGCTAATCAAAATATTGAAAAACCTGTGTTTTGGGGACGGTAACGTTAGCGATGCTTTGACAAAACTGGTCAACAAGGGTCTTTTGTTCACTACAGAGGGTAGCGTTGTTGACCAGTCTCTGGATGAGTTTTATCCTCTACCCCCTCTGGAAGAAGTGCTCTCGCCCCTACCTTCCTCTGACTCTGACAAGGAGAAGAAAGGAGCTCTTCCACACGAAAGGACAACGCGTGCCTTGTTCTTTTCGAAGCATATCATGTTGCGAATGCTTCTCTACCTGCTCAACTACATCTTGTTCACTTTCTATGAGCCAAAGGGGACATCTGATCCGGGAACACGGCCTTTGGCAAAAGAGTACGCTCAAGAAGCTCTCAATCACGCAATGGATGGTTTCAGGAACTGTCTCATGTTTTTCAGTAACGCAAAAGCTAGCGAGAATGGCAACGGGTCTATTTTCAATCATATGGAGGTCGTATTGGCACCTTACTGTCTAGATGTCGGCCACAGAGCTCTCCAATTCATGGTTTGTCTGATCTTGCGAGCCCGGTGCGGCCCTCTCACCGGTATGAATGAAAGTCCTATTTTGAACAGTGCAGCGAATACCAGTAGCGAAGAAGAGACAGACAATGGACAAGCACCCGCACAGAAGAAAGAGTGCGCCGCTGATACTAACGACCTGGCGAAAGATATTGACCTAGACGTTGGGGAAGACCTCGCTGAGATCTTGATGACGCGCATGACTTTGTTCCATAAACTGACAAAGCAGCTGTCAGTAAAATTCTACTATGCTAAACGAATGATGAAATCCACAGGGTTTTTTATCACTCTTCTTAAAGTACCTTCTGGAAAGCCAATCTCTGGAGAAGGTGACTCGAGAAATCCTCATGGATCTTCAGGTATCGCCAAAATGTCGAGATTCTTTAAGAACGTGCCATCTTTGGTTATGTCTGCCAGCGGCGATCAAATCAAGAGATGTCCAGTTTACCAAGACGCGATCGGATTTCTGCCGGCAGCTAATACGGGAGGGTCTGGGCAGCGAACATCGTTCGAAAGCTCTGGACAACAATTACCCCCTTTGTTTCCTGCCTATCAGCCTATTACTTACACAAGCAATGATTTGCGCCGCACATCTGACGTCCGAGACTCGGACGCTAAGAGAAGGAAGCTGTCTGCAGGCAACAGCCGACCCGTCTCGCCTGGTGCGACATCTTTTAAAAACGATAACTGGAAGCTCTTGTCACCACCTATAGTTGGTTTAGGGGCTTCACCAGGCCATTCGCCACTCCCACCAACGTTCAATAGCGAGCAACCACCATTGGCGCAGAACCATAAAAATGCAATCAACTCAACGCAGCAAGAAAAGCAGGGATTTGCATTACCATCGGGACCGTTGATGAGTTTTTCACCCGCCGCCCTGTCAGAAAATTCCTCGTCTGCAGACTACGCTCCAGACTTCGAAGACTTTTTGATGCAGAATTCCAATTTTAACGGCTTAATGATCAACCCTTCGTCGATCGTTGAAGCAGTTGGTTTTGCTGCGCATAGTAATTCGGGCAGAAGCGGTAGTCTTGGGGTTCCTGTCGACTTTTTGCCTATCGACAACTCTGAAATCGATGGCTTGGGTGACCTTACGCCAGCAAATCCAGGATTTCCGATCTGGGATTGATCAGAACACGCTTGATTGATGCAAGATAATAGGAGATTTCCAAACCTTGGTCGATGTTTTATGTTTCACTGAGTTTTGTTGAGAGGAGGAAGCATGCTTGAATCCGTCAATGAAGTCACGAAATGACAAAAGTCGTGGAGCAGTTCCGATAAATTCAGGGACATGTGAACTTAATCCACCTGGCAACGCATCGTGGCTGATCTGTCTGACGTTTGAATATTTATAAATATTGAGGCCTACTTTTCGTACGTCCGTAGCTATCCTAACCTCCTCCTTACCGCATTTACTTATATCTTGACCATCCAGATCGAAGGAAGACCGTTCTCATTACCTTGACCAACCTTCATTTAATACCGTGAGCTGACTGTACAACCTTGACTGTGTAAACCTTTCTTAATGGTACGAAATGGCTCGAAACTATTGGTAAGTTTTCCGCTGAAAAATTAGCCCAGGTGTCAGTCTTGACTTGACTTAAAAGCTTGCATATGGTGATCACAATGCGTAGGTCTCAGAAGCTAAATTGATTTTATTCTGGTATGCAAACTCTCTTCCTGCGTCGTTAAGTCCCTTGGGTCCGCAAGTGACGAGCCAGGTGGTCTCCAACGAATCCTCCTCGACCAATTGAGCCAAGTCGGCAGCCCAGTCTAATCTTTTGCCAAGGTAAACGTTAGTAGCGACGCCAGTCAAAACTAAATCGATCCCGCTCGACTGCTTTAGGGCCCCATTTTGCTCGACCTCATCGCCGAGACTTTCCAATTCGAACTCGAGATCCTCATGACCAAGCACCGGACCCGGTTGGACCACATTGGAACTAGACCGGTAATTGTCTGTATCATCCTTGGGAGTCGATCCTGTGATAAAAACGTGGAACTCAGCTGTGTCTCCAGGTAAGTGCTTCAAGTTTTTCAACACAGAAAGGTCATCTTTCTCTCTTACAAGCCATATAAGCTTCAAATGTTTTATCTGATCTTTTTTCTCAATGGATGCGAGAAACTGGAATATCGGGAGTCCGTATGAGATACCGCTACCACCACACACCAAGGCGACCCGCTCCGCGCTATCAAGGCACTTTTGAGACAAGGAAGAATAATGATTTTGGATGGTGTATCTAAGACCTGTCTGCAAGCGGAAACCCTTTGGATGCTCTCTTATTATGAGACTTACGTTGGGGTCGCTAGGAAGGGAAGAAACAGTGTAGGGATGCGACGGCAGAAGATAGTATAACGGATTTAAGCGTCCATATGGGGAAATGCGTAGATGAGATCCAGGTGAGAAGGACTCTGGCATAGCTTTGCGAGGAAGAGTTATTTGAACCAGCCTGGATAACCCTTCGTTGTCCTCGTGGTTTGAGAGAAGAAGCTCAACTGGTCGGGCAAAAGCGGTTTTGGAAATGACGTGAAGTGCAAGCAGCCCTGAATTTATCAAAATGTAGGGAAGAGCGACACCGGGCCGTGCATGTAGTCCTGTAACAAAAATGAATGTCCACGACGCAATGGAATGGGTAAAGTAAAAAGTGCGGTAACTTATCTTACGCATGACTCTCACTGACACCAGCACCAAAAGGGTCAAAAGTACCAGTACAACCACACCTAGAAAATTCCAAACGTTATGAAAAACCTTGTCTATGACGGAAGATTCAGGTGTGGTGGCCCACCATGCTAAAAAGCCAACACCATGCAACAACGCCAAGAGGAAAATCGACCTTGAAATCCATTTATGAAGCGGGATAAGATCCAAATAAACGAACCTAGGGAGTAGCAGATTGGGTCGAAGAGTAAGGAACAGGTTCAATGTGGCAAGCACGTAGCTAAGTCTACCCAAACGCTTCAAATAGAGTGTCACGTGATCTGAAATACTGTAATGTTTGACAAATGGGATGAGCAGTGCCATGTACAGTACCAGTAGTCCCAGCGCGGGCGACGCATTATACCATTTGCGACCTAGCACGCCTCCAAAATGGCTGTTGGAGTTGAGTCGACTGCCAACAACGAACCTGCCCGCAATTGTGAGCAAAACGAATCCAAAACTTACCAAAAGAGCATAGTAACCATACGGAATATTTGCGAAGTGTGTACTGCCATGGCGTGGCAGCAGTTCGTTCATGTTGGCAATTTTATAAGGCTTCGAGATTGGATCTGTGTGAGATAATAAAGTTAAGCATTTCGAGCTACCTTTTTTGTCATTTAATCGATAATTTCATTCGCAGGAGAAGATTATTGAGTAGATGGTCGAGTCCATGTTCGACTCGATAATCGACTCGCTGGCACACATCAAGGTTCACAGGCCATAGTGCATGATGGATGCGCGCGCTGGAGGCTCATTTTAAATATCAGTGAGTACTATGGACGGTTAGCAGGGTGGATCGATGCGACCCGCGCTGGTGGCTCGAAGGTCGAAAAAAACGGTAAAATGATTTAAAGTTTTACCATGCTGGATGGACAGAGACGTTGCGAGCAAATGCACATAAATTTGTGTGTTGAGGGTGTCAGCAACGATCTCGATGTGAAAAAATAGTTGCAGCTTGGATTGCTCATTTGGTCTCAATTTGCACAAGGGCACACACACACACACCTACACACACACACTTCTCTCCTTAATCGGCATTTTTCTCAATCCACTTTTTCAGGTCGAGCCAGTTCACAGGTTTGTCGCCGTCTCTGACATAGGAGTCGACCAAAAAAGTCTTCCGCACGGCGACCAGGGTGGGAACGTGTTTGACGCCGTATCTGAGCATAGAGCTGCGCACTTCCATGTAGTCGGTTTCGACGTCTGCGATATTCACTTTTTTGTCGGTCTCGAGCAGCACTATCCTGTTCAAAGCACCTGTGAGCTCGTTACACTTGGAATCGCCTCTTACCGTGAAATTGAAAATCAAAGGCGTTCTGTTGTTGGCTCTTAGCGTATCTTCGAGCTCCTCGTCGCTCCGAATTGGTAGAAAACACTGGTTACCGTTGGCACTGGAGGGCTTGTAGGAGTCGGTAATCGACTGGCCAGGACTGGAAAACGGATATATCAATTTGGAAAACCAGCTGGATTTCCTAACGAATGGGGTGGTGGCCATGGTGCTTACTGCAGATGGCCTCACAGCACTGAGTATTAGAGTGGAATAAATGTGTGGTGTTAAAAGGTTGGCGCACATGGGTGGGATGGAGAGGAGTTGAATGGTTTCTGAAGTGATCTGGTGAAGAAGATTTCTGGCAAAAAGTTGATGATATGTAGAGTTCAACCCTTATTGTTCAGTATTATGACAAAAATACCAATTTAAGAGCTAGAGTTGGAGCTCGGGCATAATCTTTATAAACGGCAAGAGGAGGAAAGCGTAATGTGCCGGGATAGAGAGAGCGGTACCGTCGCCATCCGATGGTGATCTTTAAAGGGAGGGGTTCAATACTCTCACTTGACAGTTGACGCCTTGGTCGCTTGGTAGTCCGACTGAAGTTGACACCGTTTGTATCACGTGACCCGTCTTGTTTTGTTTTGAGTCTATATATACACTCAATGCTTTGCCGACTTACTGCTACCCACCAGCAACCTGAATTCTGAGTTTATGACACGCATTGATTTACGACTCTACTACTTCGAAACCGACGAGTTTGTCACAACGTGATCGACGAGTTTGCATCTCTTCGTGGTCACTTACAAACAGTATACCCTCAAGTCCTTACCAATTTCTGTCACTTTCACCAAAAAGCGCAAGTGGTTTAGTGGTAAAATCCAACGTTGCCATCGTTGGGCCCCCGGTTCGATTCCGGGCTTGCGCAATTTACACAACCTTCTTCGTAAGATGACGTGTCCAAATTTTTTGGCCCCCAAACGTACGCTTAGCATGCACCAGTTTTATCGACAACGTGAAGCGCGGCCCCATTCGAAATCGCCGCTCTATTTATTAATCTTTCCCAGTTTTAGTTGTGTTGTTTTATTGATAACGACTGAGCCTTAATCAACGAATACAACTTACTGAAAAAAAACTCGCATACCATCAGCGCACGCTTGAACGAAAGGGCCACAACAATCATCAACGCAGGGTTTGGCCGCTCGTATATATTCACAAGAGTCCTCTCATCCACGGTGTGTCAATTGATATTCTTCAGGAAGTGAACCGAACTCGTACTTAACTGTTGATAGCTACCCTAAAGGAACGAAATCTAACTTGGCATTGCAAGACATTGAAACGTTGGTTGCTGCTATAAAACAGGAAAAAAGCCCCGTCAAAATCAGTACAATATGGGCTTGGAAAGGGAGTCAAGCACTCCGTCGCTTGTGGGATTCTCTGTGAGAGGCATCGATGACTCTAACAACCCGGATTTCTGCGACGATAGACGTCCTACTGTGGCAGACGCACGTTCGTCACCACAACTGCTGGAGAAAATCCACTCGTCGTCGCAGCTCAACAAGCTCGAGGGACCCTACACCTCTGTTGAAGAGCTGAACCGTGAGGGTGCGCTGCTGACAGACGACAACGAGGTGGACCTCGATTCTGTAGTTCACGGCAAACTGGGCGACGCAGAAGACTTGAAAAAGTCGCTGCTCAGAAAGAAGAAGAAACAGCAGCAGCACCACCATAACCACCACCAGCACCAGCACCACGGTCTACAAGTTCCCCGTGGCGTCTCGTCGTCCTCGTCGTCGTCCATGTCGCCGTCTGCTTCGTCTTCACACTCACCATCGCAGACACGTAGCTCGTCGCTAGTGACATCCACGGATCCCGTCCACCATTCTCACGCCGGTGGGGGCGCTGGCGCGCGCGCCACGGGCAATTTCGCACTCAACGACGACGACGAACAGATCCGTAATTCGTATGGTGAGTTTATCGCCAACCGGTCCCACCGTCCACATTTGGCCGGTGGTGAGTCGTACCAAAGCACCAACAGCTACGAAAGCGAGGATTCCTCGCGCGAGCGCTCTGGTCGCTCTGCTCGCAAAGAAGAGGCTTCCAGGGACTATCTCAGATCGCTTTCACGCTCTTTGAGTCGTGATCCTAGGAAATCCATCGAACACGAACTGTCACGTGTCCATCTGAAGCCCGACGTCGAGGCTTCGTCGCATGTGATAACTGAGGAAATCGAAGAGAGTAATGAACAGGCCGGACAAGATCAAGAAGATCAAGGTGCGCTCTTGAACGATGAACGCGACGAAGACTACAGTGTGGAGCTTCAACAAGCAGCGAACCACGAGGAGGATAAGCTGCCCGAACAGTAGTAGTGGCACAATGGCGGTGAAATCGAAAACAGGAGCGCTCAGCCAGCTCGACAACCTGATGGACGGGATCGAAGAGTTTATTGGAAACAACGCTGTCGAGGACGAAGCGGCAGAGTCGCACAGGCCTGCACGCGACACCGCAGACGCTCATTTGTATAGTGATTCAAACAGCGAGAATTTAATGTCAAGTACCTTAAGCACCACCGCAACTGCGACTCCCACTGTTGAAGAAGGGGGCGTGAGCGTCCCTGAGCAGCTCGGCCGCGAAAATGCAGGTTCGAACGCCACGTCTGAAGAGGATGGGAGCAAGAGTGCCGAGGGCGTGGAGAGCGTGGATAGCCGTAAGATTCGCAACTCCCAGGCTTTACCTGCGACGGCTGCTTCAGACAAACCATCCGAAATTGAAGCCAGAGAAACTGAACCATTGCCAATCGAAAATACTAATAAAAAAAGCTGTACGGTTCAAACAAACACGGGGGAAGCTGAAGATCGCGGGAAACCGGTTGTTGAGCTGTCAGAGAATGAACCTGCCAACAAGCAAAGTGAGAAAGTTTCAACCCCCATACTGAAAAAGACTGAAACTGCCATGGGTTCTGGCGATTCTGAAACGGTGGCGACTCAATCACCCACCGCTGAAACTATAGAGATTAAGACCCCAACAATTGAGCCTAGTGGAAGTGAAATTTTGGACGACACAAACCACACGAGCCCAACACTCACAACTGAGAACACTGAAGCTGATAGCAGTGTGACACCCGATACGAATACAACTAGCACAAAAGAGTTGTCCATGGCCTCGCGAGACAAACCAGGCCTCATTAGCCTGAAGACCCTGACCGAAACTGGTACTCTACCCGGAAAAGAAGCAAGTTCGAGAGCAGAGAGACAGGGACTGTTCAGCCTTGCCGAATTATCCAAGTCGAAGAAGTCCTCCCGCGATTTTGACGATACACAGGAGCATGCTAAGGTAACCGAGTCACCCGTTGTCACTCAGGAGTCTGTAGATACCTCGCAAGATGACAATCAGTTCGAGGAAGAGATCTCGTCCCCAAAGAGCGACGAGTCGAAGACCTTTCCTGTGGAGCGCGGTTCTCTATTAACTCTCGACGATCTTAAGTCAGGTGCTATGCCAAAGTCGTTAATAGACGCGGGCTTCAAGGACTTTATCTCCTCAGATGGCAACGGTTCTTTGGTGACGTTGAAACACTTGGCAGAGATGACGTCTGAGCCGCTTCGCCAAGATGTTTCGGAAGAGTCCAAAACGGTGGAGACCGTTGCACCAGAGGCTGAAACTGCCGCACGCCAGGCTGAACCACCAGCCAAGTCCACTGCAGCCACGGTGGCAGCAGAAATCGAGGATCTGCTGCGTGAAATGCAAGACGAGGAACCGTCAAAGCCGTTACAGGGCTCACCGTTCATACAGACGACACGCGAATCTTCGGCGACTAAGGAACTTCGTGCCTTGCTCAAAGATGAACCCGTATACGTGTACACATCTCTGGCCGGAGGAGGCTACCAGATGCCTTCACGGACTAACCGGTTGGCCCACATTCTGAGCGCGAACGAGGTCAAATTCACGTACCGCGATTTGGGCACTGATGATGAGGCCCGTCAGGTCTGGAAACGGTACGGTCGCGGGCGTAGCTTGCCGGGCGTGGTTCGTGGTCGCGACGATATCATCGGTAATTGGGAAGAAATGGACGAAGCCAACGAAGAACATCGGGTGCGAGAATTGATCTACGAAACCCTGTGAGGGACATTTTTGAGATTCTCGAGAACCATGTGGCAGTACTCAGGACTGTTCAACGGTGCTTTTTCCAAGTGTACAGGGCAGAAGCGTGCCTTCCCTGTTCTGCTGCTGGTCCGCATCCATGAGGGAATGAACAGATGGAATGCTCTTGGCATGCATTTTTTTCGCATAATCGAGACGCAACGCAAGAGTTTCTGACAATGGCGAGAAACGGTTCAGGGAACTCACGTATGTGTGTCGCATAACAATGAAATGGCCTTGCACGATTACGTAAGCCTTTCCACACTCAAATTTTTGAGATTCGGTCTTCGAGAGCTGCTCGCTGACGTCACCTACGAAATTTACAGTTACTATTGTATTTGCCAAGAATGTTTTGCACCGTGAAAGGGCGAAATAAGGCACCTGTGTGCTACTGACAACGCGAACGTATCGCTGTTGGGTTTTGCATGCTCAAATGGTGATCTCATCATATTTCATACTTTCTGAGAATGCGACAGATCGTGCTAGCGGGCGTCAAGTCTGCTTATACCGGTGCCTTTTTTGGTTTCCGTGGCACTGTGTGTTCAACCGGTGATCTCATTGTGAGTTCTCTCTTCCCATATTTTTAGCCAGCTACGAAGACCCGCATGTGAAGGGAAATCCTTTCGCGCTATGTAGTGGTGGTGGTGGGCACGAGTACGAGTACGAGTAGTAAACCGTGTTTAGCAGAGAGCCTGAAAGGCTTGATAAAGTGTCATTGAGATCGTGATTCACATTCTGGGAAAGGATTCCCTGAGTCGTGGGAAAGACATGGCAAGACATGGCAAGACGTGGTTATGTCCCAGACGTGGTCCAGTGTTGTGCAGGAACCACGAATCCACCGTGTGTAGTGATCAGATATACAAGAATCTGGCACGAATTTATCCAGTCAATGATGAACATCGTCTGTCGGAGCAGGGTCTCTGGAATGCTTGACGTGCTGTTAAAGGCGTTAGCCTAATTCACTGACAGAAAATTGCATATTCTATGAGAGACTATACACGCTAACAAAAGAAGAAGCTTAAAGCTAGGTGAACTCTGTTCATCAATTCATCAATGTAACGCGTACGTGTAGAGCGGCTTTTTCAGTCGCGAATCCAGGCGCCAAAGCCTTGAAGCATTGATGATTCGGTCAAACAGAAGGAAATCAATGCTAATTGCAGCGCGAATTGGAAATAGCTCTGGAACTCCATTCTGTAAACCCACAATCACACAATCTTTAGCAAGCTCGAGGGATCAAAATCATACCGTTCAACAACGCGTACTAACCGAGTGGTTGTTGGGCGTTCCAGAGGCTTCAGAGAGCCCATGCTTTAACAGAAGATATTGATTATTGAACATAGGGGTTCGTGCTGGGCCGACATTTTCAATAGTTCAATTGTGCTAGTAGCCATCCTGTCATCTGTCGCTTTCAATTGTTCAGTGGTACTATGTGTTTTCTAATTATTGACAATTGATCGCTATCCCAATTGTTCTAAAACACTATGAGTTATTTTCTTATTGACAATTGATCGCCAACGCTCTCAGTTGTTCAACTGAGCTACGAGTTCTCTAGATCATTCACAGTTGATCGCTGACCCTCTCAATTGTTCAGTAGTACTACGAGTTCTCTAGATTGTTCCACTGAACCACGAGTTCTCTAGATTGTTCAACTAAATACGAGTTCTCTAGATTGTTCCACTGAACCACGAGTTCTCTAGATTGTTCAACTAAATACGAGTTCTCTAGATTTTCCAACTGCACAAGGAGTCCTCTAGATTATTCACAATTGATCGCTGACGCTCTCGATCGTTCAGTTGTGCTTGTAGCCTCGTTCGCCAACACTCTCATTCATTCAGAAGTGCTTGTAGCCCTTGCTATGGCTCTATATTATTCAACTGAACTACGAGTTCTCTAGATTATTCACAATTGATCATTATCGCTCAATTGTTCAAAAGTACTTGTAGCCTCCCACCCCGCCCAAAAATAAAAGCCCTGTAGGGGGCTCGAACCCCTAACCTTATGATTAAGAGTCATACGCGCTACCGATTGCGCCAACAAGGCTCTTGTATGAAAACGCAAACGACAAAACACCTGCTATTCCCCCTCCACTCCCACCTGCACTGCTGCTTTTTTTTGTGCCTGTTTGTCTTTTCCCTTAGGTAAGCATACTCAGGGGAGCCAGCGCGCACTGCATGAAAACCGCCCAGAAGACTCCGAGAGGAAAACACGGCCCAAACCAGGTTTCCAACACTCTTCCGGCCTAGAAAGCGCCCTGTAGTAGACCGAGCGCGAGAGAAAGATGATGACAGCACTTGTTCATGGAGAGCGAGATAGACAGATAGAGAGAGGAAATCGGGCCAGCAAGAGAAAGTGTAGCTAGAGAAAGAGAAAGTGTAGCTAGAGAAAGAGAAAAGCAGGCCAATTGTCCAGTGTTTATCACTCAAACTCTCTTATCCTCTGTTTACCGCCTTTGTCCGCTTATTCGCGTGTCTTCTTTTCCACATGTAGGTTTTTCCCCTCAATTTGGCTAATTTCAGGTATATATTGAGTTTTTCCGTCCAAAAAATGGTAGACAAGGTCACTATGGACGAGATGGAGATTACAATTTGTGGAATGTTCTACTAAAAAAGCCAAAATTAAAGGTCTGGAGCTCGTTGAAAAGAGTAAAGAGGTTGATGATCGAGTTAGGCGGGTCTTAATGTAAATTTTGAGACCCCTTAAGGCCTCTTTTGCGTCGTTTTACAGCTTCAAAATCGGCTTTTCCCCTGCGCGCTTGCTGGCGATTATTGACTGAAATTGAGATTTTCATAACGCGGGTTACCCGGTCCGCACCGTTTGTATATAAACAAGACACATTTTTCTCCCAAAGGACACACTAGAAAGTAAAGGATGCCTGTTCTGAAAGGGTTTGAGCGTGTGTTGAAGTCATCACGGTTCAAATAACGGCGCACAACGGTGTACAACGGTGAGCAGCGGTTCATTCACGGTGTATCGTTGACTAGGTTCGCATATCAGGGGTCTTAGCAGCGGTTAAGAACAAAACTAAAGTGTCAAGCACCGCGAAGCTTGATTGAAGGTCTTCGTCTTCGTCTTAGTCCTCGTCTCCCCCTTCCCCACTCAGTACTTCGCCAATGCCCATCAAGGAGGTGGCCCTGGACCTCACGAACTTCGTGCTGTCCAATGTGAACGACGCCATCTCTTTCAAACCACAGCTGTGCTACGAGGTGCCCGCCCAGGACTACCCAGAGCTCCGCGAACGGTACATCGCATTCACGGGCACGTCCATGCGTAAAAACAAGTCCCGTCTCTACTTCCTGCCGACCAACATCTCGGACGAGCTCCAGCAGCTCAACCCGTCTGTGCCAGAGTCGGCGAAGCACGTGCCGCGCGACGGTCACGTGTACTACAAAAACCGGCTCATAACCGAGCTGGACTACGAAAACGTCAAGCGTGTGGAGCTGGCGTGCGCCTACATCGCGTACGCCATCATCAACAAGGCCGCGGGCATCGAAGTGGAGCCCAACGAGCACGGCGACCACAGTGAGCGCAGCGAGTCCAACCAGTCGGTCATTTCCAACGACCGCAGCGATTCCTCCACCTCGTTTGTCGATCTGGGGGGCCCCAAAGACGATTCCCTTACGGCCCTCACGGGCCCCGATGCTTCGCCCACGGCGCCCACGGCGGCCACCGACTCCTCCAAGATCTCTCCGGCAGAGACCACGGCCCAAGCGCTGCGGCGTGGCGGTCTTATCGGTTTCCGTGAGCTCGGCTACCTGGTCAATATAACGCCTTGGCATTTCCATAGGGTCTTCAAAGTCATCACTGGACTCACTATCCGCGAGTACGGCCAGCTTTGTAGCGAGTTTGCCAAAAAAAACCGAGATATCATGAACGCCTGCAACAAGCGCATTCAAGAGCTCAAAGCTGAGGGCCACGTATACCAATGTTTTTCAGACCCTAATTTCTTGAAAGAGGAAACTTTGCACTACGAACCTACAAGGAACGTGGTGTTGCTGCCGCAGTATTTCATCGATCCCAATAAGTCCAAGGAACACAAGAAAATGCAAAAAGAGAGTAAAATCACAGACGGCAAATGTACTCAGCGCGTCGAAGCCCGAAAGCGTAGAAGTTCCATCATGTCCGGTCGTATCAGAGCAGCTTCGATATCAAGTGTGACTTCCAATTCTTCTATTCAGGATGTACTACAGGTGGAGCCGGCTTTCCCCTGTACTCCTCAAGTGAGTCCCACAGATATGCATCATTCTTTATCTGCGTCACCTGCTCTTGCAGGTACCTCCGAATTAAACAGTCTCGATTCATCGCTTTTGAAATCCACCATTGCAAAATCTAGGAAGAATAGTCTGGTGGGAGGAGCAGCAGCAAGTCTGCTTCAACCCACTGTGGGTAAAATCGGAAAGCCCAAGGCTTCGGCTAGCAACTCAAGTGTCGCACACCTTCGCCATATGAGTGATGCCTCTATAGCCCTGAACGCCCGGGAGCTGAACAACATACCACTCAACAGTTCGGGCGAATACAATGTCTCGAATGGCGTTTCCGGGCGGGGTACCTCCTCAGTATTCAATGCTACATCTCCCAGCGTTGATTTCAAGTTTGACATTTTCGGTAGTGAGAACACGCCAACGCAACGGCAACAGCAGCAGCAGCAGCAACAACAACAACAACAACAACAACAACAACAACAACAACAACAACAACAACAACAGCAGCAGCAGCAGCAGCAGCTAGATGAACAACATCCACAATCACACACAAATTTGATCAAAAACAATGACAACTTTAATTACAGTTTCGACGAGATGAACCCTAGGGCCGTATCGAACCTAACGAACAATTTCAGTAACGGTGATTTTCAACTGGACTTTAATGATGAGATATCCAGTAATGTTTTGAATGCTTCAGACAACGGAGTGTACTCGATTGGAACTTCGCCCTCCAATAACGTCCCGGCAACATCGATACAAGGAAATTCCGGATCTATTGATACATTGCCACGGGGCTCCACCAATAACTGGCTGAGAGGAGAACTTTCAGCCGGTGATCTGGACGAAAACTCTCAACTCTTATTAGATTTGGATACCTTTCAAGACGGTGAGATCTTGAACCAATCGCTCGGCATGTTCGATTCAAAATTGACAGGTGGCCATGACCTCCACGGTGCCAATAGCTTTACGAACTTGCCCGAACTCGTTACATCTTATTCCCAGCGCGATCAGCTGTTATCCCCGAGACACAATGGTGGTCATGGTTCTGTGGAACGAATTTCGGGAGCAAATCAGTTGAACCAAGCGGGTCAGCCACAAGACGGAGGTTTGAGTATGGGCAACGCATCGGGGGATTCGAGAAATCGACTCAATTCAGTCGCTGCGACCCAAATGGATGATTTTAATCGCATGTTTTTGGCAGACTGCCCAACTATGACGCCCAACATTGCTGAACAGATTGATTTTCAAAACGGCAACGCGCAAGAGCATATGATTCAGCCCGCTTTTGTCTCTCAGCCCTCGACTAGAGACAACACTATGGGATCCACTGTCACACCCGATACGATGGCCACGGCCGATACCATGGCGTCGGCAAGAGATTTCGATGCCAAGGGCTCGCTGGCGGCATTTACAAGTCTGGGATTCGAAAACTTGAGTCCCGGGGCATCTCCATCCACTTTGGACGCGGGACTGCCTTTTTTCAACGGCAACATCAACAGAGAGGCTGCCAATGGCGATCAAGTGTCGATAGAGGCCGTGATGTCTGCTGGTAAAGACAATACAGTGGACAGATTTTGACGAAATGCAGTAGCAGCGGCCAAAGGCCGTATGCATACGTGGTTACTGATGGTGGTGCTACAATATCATCTACTTAAAATCACATGAACATAAACATCAATGAGATTGCTTCCCTGGTGGAAACATCACTGTCCGCTGATTGTGCTGTGCGCCCTTCTTTCCAAACTTCATTATCCCGATTACTTCAATTATCATCTCTTATACTTCTGAATGCGACTTCTCTACAGTGTAGACCAAGGGCATTTTTGCAACTCAGGTAAACAGACAACTAATGATCAAAAACTAATGAACGACGTTAAGCTTTTATTTCTCTATTTTCTTAGACTATTTTTCCGGATTTTGATAGATTGGCATGTAGCAGGATATGTGTATAGGTGTAATGTAAGATATATTAGCCAGGATTCAAGAAACGAAAAGGGGAGCCATGCATGGAGGCTTATTGCGTCTCGATGCTGACTTTATCTCTCCTAAGAAGCCATAGGGTTGTTTTTCCAAGAAGTGTATACTAAAAGAGCTCGAATTGAGCGTTTCAAACAGCCATTTTGTCCCGCTGCCATCACTCGAATGTCTGCGTATGATTTGAGTCAACTCAAAGCAAAGATAACACCCCGCCACCACGCACCCGCAATGGTCACATCGGCTCCCTTGACATCCCAACTACCAGAAACCGTACCCTAAGTATTCGCGACAGATCTCTTTTACCTAAGTGTCATCACAACGATTCCCAGATTTATTTTTTTTGAAGTGTGGTTCGGCTGGTCTGAACAATGCCAACGCTTGGCGTTTCAGGCCTGGTCAGGTCCCGCGTCTGCCAGAACAATTCTCCGGTTGATAAACTTTCAGGGTTGCCGAATTAATTCTAGCCTCATACAAGCCGCTTTCCCCCCCCCAGCAGGTGTGTTTCGGTCGTCCTCACGTCCGAACATTCTCCTCACCTGCAACTTAATTCAAGTGTTACCTGTGTTACCTGTGATACCTGTGATACCTGTGATACCTGTGATACAATTTCAACAATAAATTACCTCAAACGAGTCTCCGGAAACCAGCATCAAACAAATTTAGATGCTCGCAAATATGGTAGTAGAAAAATCCAAAAAGCCAATAGTCTCCAAGTTGTCAACCAAACATAACTCAACCGTCCCATCCCGTCCAATGCTTGTAATCTCCTGTCGTAGCTTATCTGGAGCCCGTTCGCTCGACTTTGAGATTTAGACATCACCATCGACGAATTTCTACAAATTGAAATTAAAATTAATTTATGACTACGTAACAAGGAAATACTGTCGCTTCTCACGATAAGGGGCCGCGGGCGAGCTCGAAACATTGGGGTTTGTTGTTGTCCACGGAAGCTCCCCTTAACCCCCTAAAAAATTGGTGTATATAAGGCTCAAGGTTTGTTTCAGGTTGGGCGGTAAAATCTGGTTTTACCAACACCACTTTTCAAGATCGAGAAGAAAACATCTAAGGACTACTTTCGGGCATTTGACCGCGGAACCAGGGCCAGTGAATACAATACGCACTGAATTGTGTCCCTTGGGGTTTTTGGCACTGTGAACGTGGCTCGTTATCAGTCTTTCAGAGAGGCCAAAAAGCCAAAAAACCAAGGAAAAAAGATCGCACCAAAACAGATCTAACACACTAGCACACTAGCACACTAGCACACTAGCACACACTCGCTGACACCATGCCCAGAGACATTCAGAACCACCTGCTGTTCGAAATCGCCACGGAGGTGGCGAATCGCGTGGGCGGCATTTACTCAGTGCTGAAATCCAAGGCGCCGATCACGTGCTCGCGGTACCGTGACAACTACACTCTGTTGGGGCCGTTGAACCGTGCCACCTACCAGACGGAGGTGGAGCCCATGGACTGGACCGACCCGCAGACGTTCGAGTCGCGGGGCTCGCACACGCCGGAAATTCGCATCGCGCTCGAAAACATGCAAAAACGTGGGGTTGTCTTCGTGTACGGACGCTGGCTGATCGAGGGCGCCCCTCGCGTGCTCTTGTTCGACCTGGAGTCCGTGCGATGCTATTTGAACGAGTGGAAGGCGGACCTCTGGGATATCGCCGGAATTCCGTCCACAGAGAGCGACTCAGAGACCAACGACGCCATTTTGTTCGGCTACTCGGTGGCCTGGTTTCTCGGAGAGCTCGCACATTTGGATCAGCGCCACGCCATTGTGGCCCACTTCCACGAGTGGCTCGCAGGTGTGGCCTTACCCCTATGTCGTAAACGTCGGATCGACGTGGTGACCATCTTCACCACACATGCCACACTCTTGGGCCGTTATCTCTGTGCCGGAAATGTAGACTTTTACAACAACCTTGACAAGTTCGATGTTGACGCAGAAGCTGGCAAAAGAGGTATCTACCATCGGTACTGTGTAGAGCGTGCAGCAGCACACACTGCTGACGTGTTCACCACTGTGTCACAAATTACTGCATACGAGTCTGAGTTTTTGTTAAAGCGGAAGCCAGACGGAATTCTGCCCAACGGAATCAATGTGGTAAAGTTCCAAGCGGTCCACGAATTCCAAAACTTGCACGCATTGAAAAAGGAAAAGATCGACGACTTTGTCAGGGGTCATTTCCATGGACATTACGATTTCAATCTGGACAATACGCTGTATTTCTTCATCGCTGGAAGATATGAATACAGAAACAAGGGTGCCGATATGTTTATCGAAGCACTTGCGCGCTTAAATTACCGCCTGAAAATGGCGGGTTCCAAGATGACTGTTGTGGCATTTATCATCATGCCTGCTAAGAACAAGTCCTACACTGTAGACGCACTCAAGGGACAAGCCGTTGTTAAATCGTTGGAAAACACGGTGCACGATGTTTCAAGCCTGATCGAGAAACGGTTGTTCGAGTATGCAATGCGCAGCCCCAATGGGGTCGGGGCAGAAATTCCTACCGAGCTAGACCAGTTACTAAAACCTTCCGACAAAGTGCTTTTGAAACGAAGAGTGCTGGCGCTCAGACGACCAGAAGGTTCTTTGCCGCCTGTGGTTACCCATAACATGGTGGACGATTCTCACGATCCCGTTCTCAACCAAATAAGAAGAGTTCAATTGTTTAACAACTCCAATGATCGAGTCAAAGTTATTTTTCACCCTGAGTTTTTGAATGCCAACAATCCTATCCTTTCCCTAGATTACGACGAGTTTGTTCGTGGTTGCCATTTGGGTGTTTTCCCATCATATTATGAACCATGGGGGTATACGCCTGCAGAGTGTACCGTTATGGGCATTCCTTCGGTCACGACTAACCTGTCGGGATTTGGTGCATACATGGAAGATCTCATTGAGCAAGATCAAGCCAAGGATTACGGTATTTACATTGTAGACCGCCGTTTCAAAAGTGCAGATGAGTCTGTGGAACAACTTGTGGACTACATGGAGAGCTTCACACAAAAGACCCGCAGACAGCGCATCAATCAAAGAAACAGAACCGAAAGACTTTGCGACTTGCTCGACTGGAAACGCATGGGCCTGGAGTACGGCAAAGCCCGGCAGTTGGCACTTCGCAGGGCGTACCCAGACCTGTTCAAAGCTGCGGTAGGCGAAGAGATCAGCGACGTCAGCATGAACTCGCTTGCAGGCGGCAAAAAGATCAGAGTATCGCGGCCGCTCAGCGTCCCAGGGTCCCCACGTGACCCTCGCGCTGAAAGTCTTGGCGGCACTGTTCTCATGACGCCCGGTGACCTGGGCACTCTACAGGACGCCAACAACGCCGACGATTACTTTTATCTCAGCATGGGTGTAGAGGACGAGGAGGAAGAAGAGGTGAACTATATGGCGGCCACACAATAAATCCCGAACGCGCCTGATGGATGCACTACATAAAAAAGTATCAATCTGTAATCGAATGTAAAACAAAACTGTACTTTACCCCCAATACTTGATTGGAATGGGCTGGGAAGCACTGAACGGGATGGGACGATCGGACTGACTAAATAATATTTTTTTAATTTATTTTGAAGTTAAAGCTTGGCCAAGACGAATGAACACTGAATATCGAGCCTGTTTGAGAAACAATCGATTCATTCAAAAGAATTCTGATCGCGCCTCGTGTGCTAACTCATCGCTGCTCAGAATTTATGAACGTTGCGAGGAAAAACGTCAGAATAGTACGAAATGATATGGAAGTAAGTACATTAACCATCTCTCTTCTTCAGCAGCGCGTCGCGAGGATTTTCTCAAACACCAAAACCACAACCTGTCATCACCAATTTTATGATCTCAGTCAAATTACATTCTCATTTGCTCTCAAAGCGTCTGTTATTCATGCATGATACCTAGTTTACTTTATTTTATAAATTACGTAGATTTATATATACACACTGACATCTTTAATTAATGGAAAAAGCCCCGAAAGTTGAAGAAGTTCAATTACTACAACTTCCCCTTCTTTTATACCAGAGAAGAAGTTGTTTCTGTAGCTATAAAAACATCAGTGTAGTTGTCTCTCAATACTGTTGTGAACTTTAAAGCTTAGAGGACATAAAGGCTTCAATTCAATCTTTTAAGTAACGATTCTTCAAGATCTTAAACAATCATGGGAGGAGACCAGAAAACAGTGTTACAGGGAAAGCCACAAGAGCCTGAGCAGGTGGAGGGACATGCTATTAAGAAAATTTTGAATAAGATTAGCGGAAATCCCAATTCGTATATCAACAAAGTTGACTACATATTCGGACGGACTTTGGGAGCAGGTTCTTTCGGAGTGGTCAGACAGGCAAGAAAGCTTTCCACCGGGGAAAACGTTGCAGTCAAGATTTTGCTGAAGAAGGCGCTCAACGGAAATGAAGTCCAGATGCGAATGCTTTACGATGAGCTTTCGATACTGCAAAAATTGGACCATCCAAATATCGTTAAATTTAAGGATTGGTTCGAGTCCAAGGACAAATTCTACATCGTAATCCAGCTCGCTACCGGTGGTGAGTTGTTTGACCGAATTCTAGAGAAGGGAAAATTTACGGAGGGCGATGCAGTGAAAATCGTTTACCAGATCTTGAAGGCTGTGAAATACTTGCATTCCCGCAATATTGTGCACCGGGACTTGAAGCCCGAAAACTTACTGTACTTGACGAAAGATCCCGAATCGCCGTTGGTTTTGGGTGATTTTGGAATTGCCAAAGAAGTGAAGAACGACGATGACCTGATACACAAGGCTGCAGGCTCCATGGGCTACGTTGCACCCGAAGTGGTTACAACTGAAGGACATGGTAAGCCCTGCGACGTTTGGTCGTTGGGAGTCGTCACCTATACTCTGCTATGTGGATATTCCCCATTTGTCGCCGAAAGTGTGGAAGGATTTCTAGAAGAATGCACCAGCGGGAGATACCCTGTGACGTTCCACAAGCCATATTGGTCTAGCATATCGTATGAAGCACAGGACTTCATTCTTCAAGCCCTCACAGTCGATCCACATAGCAGGCCGACGGCTACGGAACTGCTGCAACATGCGTGGATCGCCAGCAAGACCTCTAAGACCGACAATCTATTGCCTGGTATCAGAAAAGAATTCGACGCTCGCCGTAAATTCCGTGAAGCCGTGGAGATTGTGAAATTGAACAATAGAATCAAGAAGCTAAAGCAATTGTACTCCACTGGCGAGGAGGATTCTGATTTTGAAGAGAACTCCCCCAACAGCAGCTTACTGAACTCCATGTCGAAACTTGCTTTGGATGGTAATGAGTCAAAGGGTGACTCCGAGGAAAACCGCCGGTTGAAGTCCAGCTTGACTCAGAATGCTTTTGCACAAATTGTTAAAGCTGCGACCCAAAATAGAGACCGAATCAAGAACTACAAAGACCAGGAATCTGAGATTGAGGGCGCAGGCGCAGGCGAAGGCGAAGGCGAGAGCGGTGCTGATAATAAAATTTAATTACTAGGGAATCAAGTGAGTCGAATGACGACCGCGTTATGAGCAGCGTTCTGTTTTGTATGAGAAATTGACTTTTTCACCTAGAGTAGCTTCCATTCATTGTTGCACATTCATGTAATAGCTAGTATGGTCACTTAGATGAGTTCTAGTTTTTTGTCGACACGATTGCCTTCAGCGGTACAGGGTACTTCTATTATTGTTTCAACACGAGATCTCCCCACCTCACGTCAAGCTAGGCTTGGGGGCGGCGTCACCGTGATAAACTTGATGGTTGATTAGATTGTATACACTTTAGGTGGAAACCCTAAATAGAAGAAATATGTAGGGTAAAAACAACTGCGCGCTTGATTCGATGTGGGATTTGTCTTTAGGTTTTCCTGATTTAGAATTTCAACAAGTGTGGCTTGTCACCGCTCTTCAAGGAGAAAGAAGAGGCCAAGTATTGCTTCAACAATGGGGTCTTCTTGATCTGGGCCAAAAGAGCCTTGTCGACAACCTTCTGGTCTTCAACACGGTTGGCGGAAACTTCCTTCTTGGCTTGGTCCTCACCAAAGAAACCAGCTTCGGCCTTTTGCTTTCTGGTGACCTTTTCTCTGGCAAAGTACTCAACGTTGTACTTCTCGACGTCGACACCTTCCAAAGCGAGCTTGGTGGAGGTGGCGATGACGTAACGAGAGTTGACTCTTCTCAATGGGACACCGTTGACCTTGAAAGGACCGGAAACCAACAAAGTGTTGTCTTCCAAGTGCTTCAAGTAGACGACTCTCTTACCTCTGAAGCGGCCGGCCAACAAGATTAGAACGGTACCTGGGACGAGAGAGGCACGCAACTTCTGTGGGCGGTTAGCCTTTCTGGTCTGCTTGGCGACTGGAACGTCTTCGGCTGGATACCACTTTGGAACCTGAATTGGGGGATGATGGTTAGTATTGCTGGGCCTTGGACAAATGCACGTCAAAATAAAATGGTGATAAAACGGCGACAAAAAGGCGATAAAAAGGGCGAGCTGAGCTAAAAACCTCAGGCCGGTTATTCAAAAACCAGGTGTACCATTGAACCCGACTTCTCATGTCGATCTCCTACCACTGCTACATTGGATCAAAATAACTTTCTCAAATTCCCACTTTTATTCCCAGTTTCCTCGTTTCTGGTCAGCTTTTCGCCGGCTCTTCGGGACCCACTACCACCGCATAATCGCCTATTCTGAATTCAGTGCTGTTGTGCTCTAAACATACTTTTTGGGCAGTCATTTCGCTTGGATGTTTCGCTGAGTATATCGTCTCTTCCAGGTGAATCCAGTTCACTTATTTGTCAAATTTCAACTTTTTTCCAGCTTACTAGTTTGGCTGGGGCCAGAGGAAGTCTGTGCTGGCTCCGTCAGTGAGTGACGTCGCCGGCCACGGCGAGCCTAGAGCAGTGGGGTGTGAGTCGGGCCTTAGGCAGAGGCTCTGCTTGGAGCGCTAGGCAGACCGTGAGCCTGGAGAGGCTGGTGCTAGAGGGAGCGGGCAGGGAGTTCCTGCCTAGAAATGGGAAGGCGCTAGGCAGAGGCTAGGCAGAGCCCAGCGTAGGCGTGGGCGGAGCGTGGGCAAAGTGAGTGGGTGACTCAGGGGATTGGGTTTTCGTGTCGACCCACGCAAAATAAGTTTTTAAAAAATGAGATTTCGAGAGTGATTTTGTGGGTGTATGGGTGTGTAAATAAGCAGTCACAAATGGGGAGATGGATTACGTAAGAGACTGCTACAAACACTATTTAACAATTGAGAGCGTCAGCGAACTCCGAGCACCATTGCCAGCGATCCATTGTGAACATAGATAGGGCTACAAACAATTGTGTGATCAATTGTTCAACTGTACAACAGTTTCTCGGCCTATTCACAATCGATTGCTGATGCTCTCACTTTGTTCAAATTGTACCACGAGCTCTCGGCTGTAAATAAATAGAGAACCCTTTATTCTGCTGAACTAGTCAGAGTCAGCGATCGATTGTTTAAATGTAGAGGACTACGAGTACGAGTACGAGAGCTCGTAGTACTAATGAACAACTGAGAGCGTCGAGAGAATCTAGAGAGCCAGCGACAATTTTGAATACGTAGAATGACCATAAGCACTACATAGCAATTGAGAGCATACCGCCCAATTGTGAATGAATAGAGAACTTTCGGTATTATTGAGAGTCAGCCATGTTCTGTTAATGAAGAGAGGGCTCGTAATATGACTAAACAATTGAGAGCGTCAGCGAAGGTTACTACAAACACTATTGAATAATTGAGTATTTTCGACAGTCAACTGTGAATTTTTAGACAAATCTTGATTTTACTGAACAATTGAGAGCGTAGAGGAAGAGGCCACAAGCACGATTGGACAGTGGAGAACGATAGCGGTCGATTGTGAATAGATTGAGCACTTTTAGTACCATTGAACAATTAATAGCATCATTGACCACTTGCAATAAAAAAACTAGTATCAGCGATAAATTGTAAATAAACGGAGAGCTCAGAGCACTGCGGAAAACTGAGAGCGTCTGCAGCCAATTGTGAACAAGTTTATAGCTCGCGGCTGTACTATTGAGTACTGTAGCGATCAAATATGAATGAAGAAGGGACTCGAAGCAATAGTAAACAATTGAGAGCGTCAGTGGTCAACCGTGAATAAATGGAGAACTCTCTTTATTATTGAAGAACTGAGAGCGTCAGTGATCAATTGTTAATGACGATGAATGGCCACAACATGCACCACTGAACAATCGAGAGCATCAGCTTTGAACTGTGAACACGAAGAATGACCATAAGCACTCCTGAACAACTGAGAGTTTTAACGAGCAATTTTGAAAACGAAGCATTTCAAGCACTCGGAGTTAAAAAGGTTGTAATACAATCAAGCAACTAAGAGAGCTCGTAGTACAACTACCACTGAGAGATTGTAGTCCGGCCAAACAGTCGATCGCCAAGACTGATGCAAGCACAGTCAAATAACTGAGAGCTTTAGGGAGCTCACAACCTTACGATACAATTGTGAATGAGTGGAGGTCTAGTAGTACCGTTGAACACTCAAGAGCGTGCGTGATCAATTGTGAAATATGCAAAATGGCTTCAAGCACTTCTGAACAATTGAGTACTTTAGCGATACGCACGACAGCTTCAAGCCCAATTGATCAATTTTAATTACGCCAGGAGACTACCAGCTCAACTGGACAGTTAAATAACGTTGAGAGCTAAGGATCGTGGTTGCTAGTAGGACAAAGTTTTCGAGCACTGGTGAATAATCAATCGTTAGTGGTGTTAATCGTGAAGCATCACGACGATAAAAAAACCTGATTCAAATAAGTCCAACTTTCAACGTAGCAAACTAAAAAAAATACTCAAAAACCAGGTACTTTTGCCTTTTTGATCTGCTTCCACTTATCTGTTCCCCGTCCGTTTGGTAAGATTCTTAAAATTGTGAATTTCATAAATATCGAAATCCATCCAAAATCTCTGTCGCGAAAGCACTTCCACTATACTCGAAATACTACCAGCTGTTGAAACTGAATACCAGGCACATTGTTAAAGCCTAATGTCATGCACTTTCGCTATAGTAAAGTTCGCTCAAATCGTGTCGTAATTCTCAACACGTGACTAAATGACAGATGACAGATGACAAGCCGATACAAGGTGATAAAGTGAAAGACTTGGACGAGAGTTCAAGATCTTCCAAAGCAAGTGCAATTGCATCTCCACATAGCTCAAAGGTGAGCAGAAACAAGCGCTTGCAAATGCTCTGTCAATGGTCCAAAAGTGTGCGAAAAACGCACTGCATGTAAGCTTGTGACAATTCCATGAAGTTTCAAAATAAATGGAATTTGCGCAACATTAAAGACACAGGTTTACTTCAAGGACCCAAACCCTACCGCAATGCGACAAATTTATATACACACTTTTTGTATGAGTATCCCGAACAAAAGAGTTTTGCATTTGAAGAGACTGATATTGCCATGCAACATTTTTGTTTGCTTAGACCTAGAACTGAGTCGAACAAACGATTTCAAACACCCATGCTCTATAAACCAGTTCCCCTTAAAAGCTTATTTGTGTGATACAGAGACTATGGGCAAGATTACGAAAGTGATAATAATAATACCAAAACCCTATTAGGTTTTTGATCACCGACCTCATAACTCTCGAAAACGTTCATTTCCATGCGTACAGCAGTGATTTCATTGCAACTGCCCGAGTGACCTTCAAATATGATGAACAGTATATATGAGAGACTCCGCAAATGAAGGCACAGCGATAATCGACTATTCAACAGTAATTATAAATTCAAAAATCGGTGTCAATAGTAAGCAAGAGTGATCGTCATAATAAAATCGTGAATACAATAATCGCGCATTTATTGTTTCAGTTTGAGCAGGAAACGGCTGTCGATTCGATCTCTGATGGTTTTAGCTACCCGCTTGAACCCCAAAATATTGGATTTGAAAATAATATCAATTACTGTTGGCAGACCACTTTTATAGGAAGTATATTTAGGCATGAACGCAACATAGTGAGAGGCCACTCCTGTGTTTTCAAAAATGAATACCGAACATGATTTTGAAATCTATCACGGCTCAAGACTTTTGACAGCTTCAAGTTTGTATAAAAAGTGCATTGTCAATTGAATTTATTAGTGTCGTAACACTTAAAAATATAAGTTGGTCGCGACTTGAAGTAGATATCTTAACTTTCAAACTGGTATCTAGTAGCACTTTTACATCTTTAGCTTGATCTGTACATGCCCACTTCAGAGAGATAAGGTGTGACATGAACTCCGTTCAATAGCTTGAACATAAAGTATGAAAGATCACCTTGCAGTTTCTGTCGTACTTGTGTGGCACACGCATTGTTTCAAAACCATATGAACGATCCAATATTGTGGCCATTTCGTATTAAATCTTTCAACGGCCCTGATATAAAGAAAAGCTATTACGATCATAATGATTTACAACTTGAATTTAATTATTGTATTCTGACGGAATAGCAGGAACGGGCGGAACGTCGCTATCACCATATTCAATCCTCAGGAGCAAGTTTCCTTTTCCAAGCTTCAACGCTAAAATTCCATCTTGTTGAATTTGAGCGTCCCCCAGATGAACTTGAGCTACGCCGAGCTCTATGTCTTTGCCGAAGCGGTGTGTTGCAACACCGCCAAAAACTAAATTAGCATCCGGAGAAGCTTTGAATTCGCAACTCTCGTTGAACTCTACGCGACCCTCAGAGTTGGTCTTGCGGCTTTCAGTGCGGTACATGTGCTTCATACGCCCACCCTGTGCCAATGAGACGCGCAATTGAAGTGATGCTTTGCCCATCTCCTGAGCACCAATTACAGTTACTTTACCTTTGTAAGTACCGTTTGGCGCCAGGGTACGGGCAAAACTGCTCGCCGTAGAAGAGGAACGTTTGTGGATTGGGCCGGGTGCGCCAACGACGCTCGACCCTTCCCCGTTTTTTGGTGAGGTGGCAGCTGTTTCTTGACCAGGACCGTTCCCACTGCGCACTTCTGCGTAACTTGTGTTAGGTTTTGTGACATCGTAGTCCATAGAAAGCTTGGGAGCCTTTTGCGCGTCGATGCCGTCACGTTCTTCGGTGTCCTGGGAAATTCTATGGGCTTGAGTGTCTTTTTTGGATTTTTTACTCCCGAACCCTTTCAAAAATTTCCCGCCCTTCTGGACAGTACCGAAACCGGCACTGGCCACATTTTGAGCTGTTCCTAAGCCTGCTCCTGCAACACCGACACCCATAGTGGCAACGCCACCAAGAGCCTTGAATGGCTTTACAGCCAAGCCCCCCTTTGCAGGATCCAAAGCTGGGAATAAGTATTCGGGTGTAAAAGTCGCCTCCACTTTGATAGTTCCTTGTGGGTCCAAGTTGAAGTTCAAGTCATGGGTTTTACCTGGAGCGAGCATTTTAGCATCTATAGCGGTGGAGCACAGCAAGTCATTAGAACCTGTTCTATCCCAGTCGTAAACTTCCAATTGAACATCGCATCTAGACCTTGAGGGCACAGGTATTTCAAGAATTTCATTCCATACTGGAGACAAAGTCTTCTTGATGACTTCTGTTTTTTCCACCTTCTTTCCGTCCACTTTAACGACCACGAAAGGATCTGATTTGTTATTTCTGTCGTGTGAAGGCAAATCGTCCGCCGATATTACTTTCAGCTTCAAAGAACCTGTATCCTCGATAGATTCATTGAGCGGTAAGTCAGTTTCTGCTGGCGTATACAAAAAGCGCACCTCGATTTCGGATCCATGGGCTTTGATTGCGATGGGCTCTTTGATCCCTTTCTTCAAAAGCTCTTTGACCGAGAATGATTGCTCTCCAAGAACGTCGTCCAGGTTTTTCGGCTCATGATTCTTGGTTAGCCTAAAAGTGATACGGCTATGATTTAGATCACGAATGAAACAAGATCCGCTGTCTGGCACAACTTCACCAGCTTTAGACTTCATTGAAGTGGAAGCGGGAGTTGCTATGTCGTCAAACAGAACCTGCAGATGCGCAGACTGCCTTGACAGCTTACCCCTTAGAACTTGATAATCCAAAACACCTGAATTGACGCTCAAGATTTTTTCAACGGGCCACTTTTCCTTTTTCTTGATAGACTTGCTACTTTCGTCTTCGACTTCCATCTCGACCACTTCATATTGATCTGGGTGAGCTTCCATCTCCTGTCTTAGCTTTTCTTGCTCTTTAGCAAACTTGTCCTCCCTCTCTTTGATCTTAGCCTCGAGCTGCTCAACTTTAACAAGCTCGTCCGGACTATAAACTTGAGTCACAGGCAGGAAGGACATCTCGACATTGATGAAGCTCTTCGTCAAATTCATTTTTTTACCAAGCAATCTGCATTGCGATGTTTCGGGCTTTTTAATCGGAACATACTTGTTCGTCTTAGGATCCTTTTGCATAACCTTGTCCACTGGTATTGTGTAAGATCCAATGTTTCGGTCTTTACCAACTTTTTGATAATCCATCACATTTAGAAGAACTGACTGACTCTCGGATGTTATGGGAACGTATACGACATTGTTGAAGTGAGGCTCGCGATTGTCTGAAAAATAATTGGTCTTGTATGTGACCTGTTTGTTCAGTGACACAGTGACGTATGGATCAATATCGCCCACGCCAGAAAGATTTTCGTCAATCATGGCGTCTTTGATGTGTAGCCTTACCACACCCAAGGGGTCGCGGACAGCATTTGCCGGTGCGAATGCTCCTGACATGGCAATGGGCTTCCAAACGGCAGAGAAGTAAAGTTCACCCTGGGGTGAAGCCTTCAGCATTCTTTGCCCTGCTTCGGCAACAGCCAGAATGTCCGCCATCGAGGAAGAGTACTCGCATAGAAGCTCTTTGCCGGCCATGCCGTCGTCAAAGACTTTAACCAATAAAGTAGAGTTTTTCTTAGATGGAACAAGCACTTCAACACACTCTTCCCAAGAAGGCTCATTGATACGACGTAAAGTTCTGTATTTCTTTACGACCTTCCCATCAATCGATAGTTCTGCGCTAGGACTCAAAGCACCTTGTAGAGTTTTAGAAGCTTTCAGGAACTTGGCCTTGTGGAAAGTGGCTTTCAAAATACCGACGTCAGATTCCGACTGAAAAGCTTCCCCGTCGTCTTCTTCCTGTTCTTCGTTTTCCAACCCTTCTTCCTCCTTTTTGTCTTCCTTTCGTGGACCACTGCTTACCTCTTCGTTCACAACAGGCAACCAGTGAAGATCGTAGTTGAGTATTCCTCTTGAGCCTCCACCTGAGACTAGTTTGGCACTCTGTCCTGTTACTGCAGCTGTTTGGAACAGTTGACTCAACTTGTACTCAGCCTTCCCAATCAGGGAATCCTTGCGAGTACTGTTGAAATCATAACAGCTGAAGAACAGCTTTTGGTCGAGACTGTTAACAAGGACGTATTTCGTCTCATTCCAGCGGGGCGACTTGGTATCGGACTTGACTGAGGTTCTGATGGTGGTTTCGCCAATGTTTCCTTTCTCGGCGGTAAGAGCAACGTAGGGATCAATGGTGTTTCCGAGAAAGTCAGAGCCTTTTAGATCATCTGCAGAATGAATGGTGACCGCTACAACACCAATTGCATCTTTGGATTGAGCGGCAACAATTTCCTCGACGTCAATATCCAATTTGTGAGGATTATACAACATGGGACCCACATTAGAGTTGATCATAGTCTTGACAAATGTCTTAAGGCCAGGCAAGAAGGACATGATATCCAGGCCCAACGTGTCACCACCAACCGGCTTCAATGCAAAGTCAATGAATGGAGGCTCCAGCAAAGAGAGTGAGACAATCTTGATATTGGGGAAGGCAGGCCCCAATTTGATGGTGAAACGCATTCTACCTTTGCAGTTGATGTCCTCAACAAGAACAGGAAGAGACTTGGAGACAAATCCTTTTCCCACCGTGACGCCAAGCGCGATTTTGGGGTTGATCTTCTCCTTTGCCTCCTTTGGAGTCATGCTGGATACATCGTTGGGGGTAAAAGAGAACTCCCAGTCCATCTCCACGGTGTCTTTGCCCTTCTTGGTGTACGAGGTAATGCCGTCAATCGTGGGTGCTTTTGTACCCAGTGTGAATTCATCCAGAGACAGGGCGTCAATTCCGTAGCCCGGGGCCACGCCGGCCAATTGTGGGTTGGCAATGTCTTTCACTTGTTGCGACAGCACGGGCATGTAGATGACCCAAAATTTGGACAAAAACGAATTCAGCCACAGGGTTGATTCCTTACGGTCCGAGAGGGTCTCCTCCACCACGATTCTGGTCAAGTCGTCGCGGATGTTACGGTTGAAACGGCGAAACTCCGTCCTATAGACGGACGCCGCGCAAAAAAACACCACGAACAACGCCAGCCACGAAAAACGCCAGTATGCCAACAGCCACGAGAAGTAGCACGTCCCGACAATGCCTGCCATGTTATAGTACAGGTCGTTATAGAACTTTTCAGTGATATAAGCTTTCACAGCACCACTGTCTGCGTTGGACGGCCCGCGACCGCTACCGAAAAACGCACCAATCGATTTCCACGGATACGCACTGTCTGATTTGCCCGTTTTCAAGGCTTCCTCTATTTTTTTGATGCTACGCTCGCGTTCTTCGTACGCAGCTCTGTCGATACTCGTGTCGTGCAGATTGATGTCTCTGGACGGTGCTGTTCTAAACTGTTTAGGGTCCGTAATTTCCAGCGGTGCAGGGCCCACAGTGCCGAAATCATTGGGTACAGGCAGTTTCATCACACCTTGCGCATTGGAAGCCACCAAAATCTCCTTGTTTGACCCGGAATTGGACACATTCGAGTGTCTTTTTTCGGCTTTGGTCCCAGCCATCTCGGAATACGCCTTGTGCGCCAGGTTTCCGCCAGCTTTGGCCTCTTTGGACTCCACATTTGAGTCCACGGGCAAAGTCGACACGTTTTTAGCCATTGTTGATGCTCCAATGGAAGTTTTCCTGTGTCAGTTTGATCCGTTTGGGTTTGATAGTGGGAGGGTAGAAGCATCGAATTCTTGCAATTTTGGTGATTTTTATAAATCTATTATGGGCGGACAAAAAGGGTGTTTGAGACGTGTGTGGCGATATCAACACCCACGTGACTCAAAGTAGTCTCGTGATTTAGTGTTATGTGACCCAATTTGGTGACAGTTTGGGAAAAAGTGATATTGTAATGACAGTGACTACGTATCCTAGTGTAGGACAGCATAGAACACCTCAGGACAGTGATCGATATGACTAGCCGGCTAGTAGTATTTGTTGGCTAGTTCACGGCGTTTTTCCATCGCAGCGTTAAGGTCTGTCGGAGAGACCAACTGCGACTCGTGGATTTTTTTGATGAAAAGATGGTGGTAATTGGGATTACAGTCGGCCAATCGGAACGAGCAGTAGACTAATTGCAGACACACCGAGACCGAAAGCGAGTCTTTATACTGTTTTAGAGCCTCTATCAGTGAATCACAGCATTTTTGCACGTATAGTAACGTCAGTGGGTTGGTAGCAACCGGTTTTTTGGATTCTTGCAAAAGCGGAATGCCTACTTTGACGTTGTGGTGTTTGGTATTAAACAGTTCGGACTGGGACTGCAAAATCGCGAGCGCATTGTAGACATGCTCTCGAAACGCTTCGATTTTGCGTTTCACCAGCAGCTCGCGCATGGTGTCGTTGGCCAGCTCTGTGATCTCGAAAGAATCCATCTCTGCGCAAACAAATTTGTAGCGCATCGTAAGAAAGACCTGGGTCAGCGCTTGTGGATTGGCCGAAAAGGGCGGGATGGATGCAAGGTACGTCAGAATTTTTTTCATAGCGTTCGCGCCCAGGTTTTGCTGCAGCATTTTCACCAAACCCTGCAACATTGTGGTGGTAATTTCTTGTGAGATTGAGTCCGAAATATGGCGCACGATTGTAGTATTTGGAAATCTATTCACCAGACCCCTGGCGTGTTCGTGACATAGCAGAGCCTCCTGGTAATGGCCTGTTTTGATGCAGGTGCTGGTTAGACTGGGCAGCTCCAAAAGCTCGCTTATTGGTTTCCATTGTGCCAGGACAAGCGCCAAATTGTCGTGTGCGCTGCCAGACACACCGAGACCTTCATTGGCACGCACTGTGAGTTTATGCAGGGCTGCGTGAAACTCGTCCAACTCGTCCCCAGGTTTTTGTAGCTGCTGTGGTTCTTCTTCTTCCTCCTCCTCCTCCTCCTCCAGATCTACCGCCAGCGGATCGTAAAGTGACGCCAGGGTATCTCGATGCTGTCCCGATGATTGCTCGGAATTTTCCACCGTCTCTGGCTTCTCTAGCTCCCACAATTGGTCGATTTGAGCAAGCATCGCTGTCAATTGCGGTTCTACTTGACCGTTGCATAGCGAGTCGCACAATGATTCTTTATTTTCCACAAGTACACTTCGCAGTTTGCGTTCCTGTGCTGAAATTTGTGCCTCGATTTCTGCAATGTCTTCCACGATGCTGCCCGGCAGCGGCATGGAGCTGAAATAGGCATCGTAGGAGTCCTTGGCTTGTAGTTGTTGCGCGAGAAAGGTCTCAACTTCGCGCGGATCGTGATTTTTGATGTCGAAGTCGCCAAGAAGCACACTAAGGGCGTCCATTGTGCTGATAGAATTGAATAATTAGGCTAAAGAGAGGGCGAATAGTCTCTGGAAGAGACGAGAATTCAAAAGGTCTGCGATCTGGAGGTTGTTGTACATTTATCTAACTATGCTAGTGAAAGCGGGTTTATTAAAGGTTTTAGAAAACCCCAGGAGGCATGTGATTCTATCGTGTAGTATGATGTTAATTTGGCACGTGTGTGTCTGATTATGTAATTTGAGGTTCTATCTCGTGACACTTGGGTCACGTGCTTTTTATATAATAATGATATATTATTATATAATCAATTAGTTGATGTAACTTCGCACGAGCCCTTTTCTATATCACCTGTTTTGTATATAGGGTAATTTCTAAATCTCAAGAGCCAAAAAGCCGTATACTAGAAATCTACAACTTTTACAACTGTTCATTCAATCGAAAACATTCTAAGGGAAGGCCTACACGATCCTTGGACCAAAAACTTTCATACCCATTATAGCTTTGATCAGCTGTTTCCCGCGGTATTCCTGGTTTTTCCCCTGAGTTTCTAGCTATCCTAGTTCGTTCAGTATCACCGCATCTCGTTCCACGGACTTGACGCTACTGTTTTACTGCCCTCTTTCCTGTACCGGCACTAGTTACAATACAATGGAAGGAATCTTCTTCAACGTCGACAACGGCTTCATCGAGGCTGTCGTCAGAGGCTACAGAAACGGACTTCTCACGGGCAATCAGTACATCAATTTGACGCAATGCGACACCCTGGAGGATCTCAAATTGCAACTTTCTGCAAGTGATTACGGCAACTTTCTAGGGTCGATCGCATCCGATGCGCTCACCACGTCGATTATTCAGGAAAAAGCATCTGCGAAACTGTACCAGGAGTTCCAATACATACGGAACCAAACCAGTTCCGTGACCAGAAAATTTCTCGACTACATCACGTACGGCTACATGATCGACAACGTGGCACTCATGATCACCGGAACCATCCACGACCGTGATAAAGCCGAGATCTTGCCCCGTTGCCACCCGCTTGGTTGGTTCGACACTTTGCCCACGTTGACCGTGGCCACGGACCTTGAGTCGCTCTACGAAACTGTCCTCATCGATACGCCCCTTGCCCCTTACTTCAGAGACTGCTTTGATGCTGCAGACGAGCTCGACGACCTCAACATCGAGATCATCAGAAACAAGCTGTACAAGGCGTATTTGTCGGACTTTTACGAGTTTGTGTCAACTGAGATTGACGAGCCATCCCGCGAAATTATGCAGGCCCTGCTAAGTTTTGAAGCTGATAGAAGAGCCATCAACATTTCCCTGAACTCCTTGCAGAGCGGTGATTTGATTACTCCTGACATGAAGCGTGACTTGCTGCCAGACTTCGGAAAACTCTACCCCATCGGGTCTCACCAGCTGGCTACCACCGGTTCCGACTTCGAGTCCGTGAAGTCTGTTGTGGACAACGTTTATGAGTATCGGGGAATTTTTGAAAACGGTAATCTGGAGGACCATTTTTACAGGATGGAAATGGATTTGTGCCGCGACGCTTTTACTCAACAGTTCACTGTCAGCACCATCTGGGCATGGATGAAGTCTAAGGAGCAGGAGGTTAGAAACATCACCTGGATCGCAGAATGTATTGCACAGAATCAAAGAGAGAAAATCAACAATTACATTTCCGTGTACTGATCTTCTGAGAAAATAAAATATATCGTCTACGGCAAAAGATAATACTCACTTAAACGTCAATGTTCGAAATATCTAAAAAATACTAATACAATTTGTTCGGACCTATTAGCATGCGAATCACTCTGATCGCATTCCTACCCTTGTAGCCCTTTTATCATTACATTTATGGAGTAGCCGGTTCATCAAATCACTACTTCAACACACCTTTCTTTGTTTTCCTCCGTTTTCAAGAACACACTCTTGGACTTACCCACCGGCTCGAATTTTGTAGCTTCAATGCCACCTTGGTACATATGTGCGTTTTTGCATTGGGATATGTCAATATAAGTGAGGGAAGTAAAACCTCCAAGTAGAGAGTCCAAACCAGATCTCGTCACTCTCTGGCATCCCTTGAGTATTATTCTCTGCAACTTCCTTAAATGCATCGATATACCCAATAATGAGACATCACTAACGGCCCTGCCGCAAAAGCTTAGGTCCAAAACTTCTAAGTTCGGACAACCAAGGCACAACGTCTCGAGTGAAGCGTCAGTAAGTGAGCAGCAAAACGACAAATAAAGCTCACGCAGTCTGCCCGTACAATTCGCTATTGATCTGATCGAATCGTCTGTCAAAAAAATACACTCACTCAAGACCAGCTTTTCGAGATTCGCAAAGCTTTCATATCCCCAGTACAAAAAACCCACATCAGTGATACCTGTACACCGAGTAAGGTCCAATTGTTTCAAATTGTGACGAGCGTATAGTGCAATATGGCGAAGAGTAGAGTCCGTTAGCGATTTACAATGCCTCAGAGTTAAAATCTTCAAATTGGGACAACCCACATTCAAAGAAGTCTTGTTGCCGCCATCGAACATTTCCATTCCTGCAACAGGCTCGTCTAGCGGATAAATCCAATTGTTTTGGTCATTGGTCGAAGTCGGGAATACAGCAGCGAGTGTCCGTCTACTGTCATTAGTTCCTAAAAGCCGCTGAATCACATCATCTTTGACCTTTCTGCAGTTGGTCAGATCAATTTCCTCCACGCATTTACCAATGTGTGGTGCTCCAATATCCATGATTGCCATCGCACTTATTTCCCAGCAGCTTCTCATCTTGATGACGCGTATTTGGCCCTCTATGGCGATCTCATTTATCATATATGAAAATCCTTCATCAGTTACATGAAAACAACTCGAAAGGTCAATCAGTTTCGGTCTAGAGCCAACAAAATTCGTGATCTCAATCAGTGCATCATCATTGATGGAATTGTTCCACGGCGTCAAGTCTAAGGTGTCGAAGAGACCAGGAGCAACATATAGGAGCTGCCTCCATCTGCGACAGACTAGACGAAGCTTCATGAGGTCAGGGAGCTGAAGAAAGTGGAAGCATCTAAGCAGTAATCGATCTGGCAAAGGACCAACACTCAAAACCGAGTTTTTTCTCCGTTTTGGGCCTCCACCCAAGTTAAGCAGCCTTGTCCGCTTTCTGTGGGACATATAGTTCAATGGGGCAGGGTGTTGAATTTTGAAAGAGTCGCCTGAGCTTACTGCTGCATTCATGGGTGGTGAGTTCAATTCCAGTAACTGCGTAGGCCCAGTGGCCGGGGAAACCGATCTAGAAGGAACAATTTTTGACGTCTTTGGATGTGCAATTTGAGCTGCACTATCCTCTAGTGTCAGCTTTGTCGGGGATGGGTCAATTTGATGAGACATGCTACTACTTTGAACTTCTTCCTGAGTGCCGAATTTGAATTTTGGATTCAAGGGAAATGACGATGGAGTGGCAAATGTGGACGAATTGGAATCCCCTGTGGCTATTGAAGGACTAGCATCTGCAACAACATAGTTCTTGCTGGTAAAGTCGCGCTTGGGCCTTTTTTTTTTTGGATTATGCGGATCAGGCACCAGCTTGGAACCAGAATATGTACGAGCAGCCGAATTCTCCTTACGTTTACTGGTTAAGTTTCGGTTGGCACGATCATCTGCGGTTTTGATTATCTCTCGCTTCACAATGGGATAGCTTTCGCAGAAATGCTTTAGGGTTTCTCCCGTCAACACAAGCAAAGTGCTGGAGGAAACCGATCTCACATCTGCTGACCTTATAGATTTGGCGCTATCGTCGCTAATTGAACCTAAAAACCCCATTTCTCCGAAGTATTGACCAGGACCCAATCTTGCCAACAGCTTTTCAGAGCGTTTGACGCACCCATTGGAACTAGTTGTTTGAGCTTCTCGCGTCAGGACCTCTACTTCGCCACTGACGATGAAGTAAATGTTGGTGCCGCGATCACCCGAGTGAAATATGTATTCGTAAGGTTTTGCTTGTTCTATTTCGACACAAAGTGCAATTCTGTGGGCAATCTCTGCCGGCAAAGTGGTGAAAAGTGGCAAGCTCTTCAAAAACTGACGAATGGATATTGAGTCATCGACCACCTCTGTAGATATCAAATGAGAGGAAAACTGGAGCGTAGATTCTGGAGTGACGGGACGTTTGATGTCTTTTGAAGAAGACGCGGTGTGCTGGACATTGCCACTATTCCAGGCAATATTGGCGGTAAGAAGGCTTGTGACGCCCGATCTTTTTTTCTTGTCCTGCATGGCTAGCCTTTCTTGGGCTTCGTCGCGAATTTGACGCTCAACTTGTGGAAAATTAGGCAAGATTTGGTTGAAATTGTCCGCGGTGAGGACACCTACCAGAACTTTTGTCTTGGCCACAATAGTCGCCGTTCTCGAGCGGTTGAAAAGGATGCCAATCTCACCGAAATAGCTGCCTTCTAGCAGTTGTGCATGCACAGTCTCACCATCTGGTGACGTAACGTTCACACAGCCTCTGAGAATCCAGTACATTGCTTTGGCCGACTCGCCTGCCTTTACGATGTGATCTTGGGTGTGATACGTCATGAGTGTAAGCTTCCGGGCTATTTCGATGAAAAAAGTGTGCGGGGCGTTTCGAAACAGGGTGAAATCCATTAGCCTTTCCAGCACTCGTTTTGGCATGGAATTGACAAGATTGTCTGGCTCGGACGAATACTCGAAGCCAGATGAGTCTGAGCAATCTGTTGAGCAATCTGTGGCATTTTTATTGGTCTTGTCTCGGGGGCTTATTGAAGCACCAATCGAGGTTCGCCCGATTTTGTTTGCAAGAGCTTTGTTGCCCACACTGTCTGTGTCCTCGATAGAGTTCGCCTCTCCCAAATTCTCGGGCGAAATCTGCCGCGAGAGGTTCGACTTTCGTCTCGAACTGCGACGCCTGGCCTTGAAGGCCCTCATTTTCGACACGCAGTAGTTACCTTGAGGTCGTACTTGCACAGATCTTCCGACTCCCCAGAGCTCAACTGGATTGAGATAACTAGCTTTCCCGGTGTTCTCGTCACAAATTTATGAAAAAGCTCGGATTTTTTGACAGATACAACTACACACGCAGCTGGAAACGTGTGTAGCAGCGGTCTCGAAAGATACAAGGTTCGCTGATCCTTTGGAAGATGGTTTGAACAAGTTGTGGAGTTGAACGTTGAGCTTTATGTCGAGAACATCTAAACCCTTAGAGGTCATGGTGCACGAGATCTCGAGGGGAAATCGACTGGAGGAGAGACTGTATAAATGGGTAGATGGCCGGTTGGTGGTGAGCTGGAAATACAATTTGAGTAGTGGAAGGAAGCCCTTTGAAGCTTGAAGGGACACGCATTGTACTTGTGTTCACCTCTCCGTTTGAGATCTAGGAGTGAGTGCTTTTCATTCGGAGTAAGTATTTTGTCAAATGGTGTTGCCAAATTATGTGGTCAATGTGGCCTTCGAAAGCGTATCATTGGACTTGATTTACGGTACGAGGTGACAAAATAAATATACAGTCGATTTGTGATTGATGTTGAGTCTTTTGAGGCCGCGCTCGTCGTGAGCTTCTTGTAGTTTCATTTTTATTGTCACTTTGTAGTCATTCTATACTATAGTGACACTGGCGTTTTTCTGAGAATCTTCAGCGGTTTGGCTAGCATATTGGAAAAGAGTCAACTTTGTTGGGTGTTTTACGGGCCAAAAGTCGTACTTCTGAGCTCCACCAAGGCAATCCACCGTCATTAGATTCGCGCGGTGTCCTTTTTAGTCCTATAAGCACCATAAATAATCTCATTTCCTAAGACCGAACTGCTGAAGTCCATCGTTTAGGTTCATCTTTATCCTAGTTTTATCAAAACTGATAGATACGAAAATACACGGAGCGGTATAACGGAGTGGTTAATTTAGTTTGAACACCGGAGGGAGGTTCCGACACTCTCATTTAGCTCAGGTTAGGTTAGCTTTTTGCCATGCTTAGGGAACGGAGAAAGGCCGATCGCAGCGCGAAGACACGCCCAGAACCGGAGTCGCTAGACGAAGACGATCGTAATGCAAGAACCCATTTCACCCTGTTGGATGTGTTGCGTATGGTTGGCGGACTAGTCATACTTGGGCTCTTAACCGGGAAATTCATGACCGGATCAGTGACTTGGGATTACTGGACAAAATCCAGTCCTGTCGGAGATTTGACGATCCCATCTGCTTACTGGAGCGGCCAGGAACTGCCGCTGGCGTTTTCCCTGGAGCAACTGCACGAATTCGACGGATCGAGGCCAAAAACTCCAGTTCTGCTTGCCATTCAAGGCCAGGTTTTCGACGTCAGTCGCAAAAGCGGTTTGTATGGGCCCCGGGGTCCGTATCATCGTCTGGCTGCCACAGACTGCTCTCGCGCCTTCAGCTACCGTTTGTGGAGCATGCAGGGCCTCCGGGAGCCCTGTAGTAGTGATTTGAACGGGCTGTCAGACAGCGCTCGTCAACGGGTAGCTGAATGGACAGAGTTTTTTCAAACGCGATATCCATGTGTTGGATATCTCACGGGCTCTGAACCTTGAGTCGCAGCAACACGTCTTGAGACAAGTCTTGTTCGTTTATCAGTTGCCGTACTATTCACACATTTTCACTCCTGTTGAGATTATCAGAGCTTATCAGAATTTTGGCGATCTCAAGAGAGGACCAAAGCGGTATGAAGATTCTGCGACGGACATTTAGGCCCTATGAACAATCCTGCTAATTGCAACTTCTTCCTGCTTGCAGTTTCCCATGAGGAAGCCAAAAAACGATGGTGTTAGCGCAAAGTCGTCCCCCAAAGGTGTTGAGCCGGGAAAGCAACTGTCAAATACCGCAAATTGCCTCAGCGCATTCTCTCCAGAATATATCACCAGCGTGGTCCAAATGCCAAGGCGTAAATTAAACATGGAAGGACAAAGATGCAGTTATTCGACAATCATAAATCAAAAAACCAGTACAACATTAGCACAGCACCGGAGCTAGGCTTGGCCGCTAATTTTCCAACGTCAAGCTGCGTAGTGTGTCGCCCCAAGAGCTGCTGCTCACCAGAACAATTCGCGTTGTCCCATCATACTTCATCTGATCTGTCCTGGCAACGACGGCTCGATTATCTCGGTGAAGCCCGCCAAGCTTATGCGTGTGTCGCTGCGACATCCTTATCTTCTCTCTTGTATAGTTACCGGCTTTAAGATCCCTTATCTTTCGACATATTAAAAGACCTCGAGCTTATCGAAAGCTTATCATGTCCCGATTAGGCCTATCTCGATATCTTCAAAAGTAGACCTCGACGGCCTAAACCCATCGAAAGCTTGATCCCAGCTCTGCTCACTCCTCTTTAATGCATGGCAAACTGCGGCATTGTAGCTTGACTAGGATCATTGTCTGTGCTGTGTGTCGTATTCGTTAAGCCATTCGTTTTCTTGCGCTACGTTGTCCAGCATTTCGGTGTCTTTGAAGCATGTTGACCTTTTTAACGACAAAACTCACGGCACTTATTGCCACCGAGCTTCGACTTCTTCCAGCCGTACGGCAAACTTAAACCAAATCATAGCAAAGTGTAGGCCTCGTAGTTTCTGGCTCAACCTTATTCTCGATATCGCCATAGTTGTACGTAAGTTGTGTCTGACGACTTGTTGCAGTGGTCAACGCATGCTGGGGTGTGGTGATACTAGCCGAACGAGCTAGGGAAAGGGATGGGAAGAAGACATGGCAGCTTTAAACGTGTTATCTCTTGAAAGACGTAGATGACTCGAGAATGTGTCGCAGGCGAACAGAGAATCTGGTAAATGTCGTTTTGCAAAAGTAGCGTGGCTCAACTTTAACGAAATGTCTTGATAGCGCACGGCGAGACGGTTGTGTGAGCGGTGAGGTCTCGATGTCTTGACCCTCTCCCTGCGTTCAAAGGGCCCGATACTGTGGAAATGTATCTTATCTTGCAATCGTTGGTGTCGCACCACACTAGATAGATGTCTAGGTTGCCTCGTGTTCTCGATGGACCAGAGTGCTCCAGGTCGACCCTTGCGACTTGGTACTGTATAAAAGGGCCTCTTATGTGTGGTCATAGCCAGGTCAACGGTCAAGGGTCTTTTAATCAGCTCTCACAGAAGCAAGCAAGTTGTCCCGGAAGCTACTTCTATCATTTTTCCCACCATGCCTTCTGAAAAACTCTCGGGTATAGAGAAAAACCCAGTGGACATCACTGAGGTCTCTGACCATTCTGACCATTCTGAACATTCGTTCGATGACTTCACACCATTCCCGGAGCCTACAGCCGAGGAAAAGACCAAACTTCGTAGAATCATAGGCTATCCCAAATGGCACGTCTACTTCATCTGTTTGATCGAATTCTCTGAAAGAGCAGCTTACTACGGCACCGGTGGTGTGCTGTCGAATTTCATCCAGCAGCCGCTCCCCGAAGGTGGCAACGGTGCTGGCGCTCCACCCAGGGACTCGGGACTCACTGCTGGCGCGCTGGGCATGGGTCTGCAGACCGCAACAGCACTCAATCTTCTGCTTACCTTTTTGGCTTACTGCTTCCCGCTCGTCACTGGCTACATTGCCGACCGCTACTGGAGCAGGATGAGAATGTTGTGGATTGGTGTATACATTGGTGTTATCTCACATATTCTCTTTGTTATTGGTGCTGTTCCTTCTGTTCTGGGCCAGGGCAAGCCCGCTTTGGCGCCCTGCTTTCTTGGAATTGTGACCCTGGCCATTGCCACCGCCTTTGTCAAACCCATCCTGTTGCCCACACTGCTGTCTCAGTATCCGCATGCATCTGATGTTGTCAAAACCTTGGAATCTGGCGAAAGGGTCATTCTCGACCGTGACGCCAGTCTACAGAGAATGACCATGACATTCTACTGGAGTATTAACGTTGGCGCTTTTTTGGCTGTCGCCACAGCTTATGCTGCCAGAGACGTGGGCTACTGGCTAGCGTTCTTGATTCCTCTCATCTTGTACTTGATCATGCCCGTTGTATTAATTCTGCTAAAACGGCACATCAAGGACGAGCCTCCCACCGGCAAATCAATGGTCGCAGATTGTATGAAAGTACTCAAAGTCTGTTTCGAGGGAAATTGGTGGAGAAGGTACAGATCCAATCAATTTTGGGACTATGCTAAACCTTCCAATTTGAGAATGATGGGTAGAGATGGCTGGAGAAAGAAGAAGCCTGGCTTTTACCCTGAAGCCTTGGTTCAGGATACTCGTATCACCATCGGTGCCTGCACTATTTTTCTCTACTATGTGATTTACAACATCAACGATAATGGTATTTCCTCGATGTTAAACTCTCAAACTGCCACTATGACCTCTAAGGGTGTTCCTAATGATTTAATCAGCAACTTCAATCCATTGTGCATCATTATCTTCATGCCAATCTTGGACTGGGTGGTATACCCACTTCTGCGTAAGATGAAAATCAACTTCAAACCAGTGTACAGAATCTTTGTTGGGTTCATCATTGCTGCTTTGTCTCAAGTTGCAGGAGCTATCATCCAAAAAGCGGTCTATAACACATCGCCATGCGGTAACTATGCTACAACCTGTGAAGAGAAATCACCAATATCCATGTGGGTTGTGGCTGTCGAGTACGCAATGACCGGTCTCAGTGAGTGTCTAGCCATGACAACTGGTTACGAAATTGCCTTTGAGAGATCTCCACCTCAAATGAAAAGTTTTGTGATGGCATTGTTTTTGTTCACCACTGCCTTGTCTGCTGCTTTGGCCGAAATCGTCACACCCTCACTGGTCGACCCTCACTTGGTCATTCCTTTCGCCGTCTTGGCTGTCCTAGGTGTTCTTTTCGCCGTGGCCTTTTTATGGAGATACTGGAACTTGGACAAGGTGATGGAAGAGGAAAGAATCGAGAGACTCAGACTCACAGCCTTGGAGGATGCAACTGGTATCACCAACGCTTACGCTGAGGGTCACATCGAGTTTCCCGAGGAAGGAGAGGTAAGTGTGGGTCCAAGCTCATCGACCACTTCGCTTCACCACGTCAACAATAAATGATTGCTCGGGACCATAAATGTTATAATTCGAGCGACGCTACCGCTGGTTGGGAATCTAAACTTTTGAATTGTACCACTTTATCGGAGGGCAAAAAATGCTGTCCATTGCGCGCTAATAGATCTGTAGTTGTAATTCAGCACTGTTATCGAAACACAATTACTATTCGTAAGCCTTCAAGAAACTTGGTATTAGGTTTGGCAGAGCAATGCGTTGACATGAGCACCAATCAAGTTGCTGTGTTCTAGAAACTCAAGCTCGATGACGCCGTTGCTGAATTTGTGGACTAAGCTCTTGTAAAGGGCACAGTTTTTCAGAAATGAACCCGCGTATCCAAGGCGAGCGTTTTTGTTGGTATCTTCCCCGACAAACCTTATTATGCTGAGCAAGGCCCCTGTAGCGTAAAATGCTGCTCTATCGATGAGCATAGTCGCTGCGGCCGCGATATCCGTTTGGGCTGCCCCGAACGTTTTAGCGGTCGAGCCAGCCAGTATGTCGCAGACCAGCTTCCCATCGAATTCGATGTGCTCGACACTTTCAGGAAGTAAATTGTAGCTCTTAACAATCTTGTAAAGGGTCAGTGGGATCCATTTTCCTGCCGTAACGTATTCCAAAGGCATGAAAAGAGCTTCATTTTTTGGGTCGAACTCTGACAGCTTCACATAATACTGGCCTAAAAATCCGATCTCCGAGTTGATCAAGAGAGCGGCGGAATCCGAAACAGTGCTACCCGAGTATTTTCTTTCTGGAACTCTCTCTGTGGGAAGCGAGAAGCACGCATTGATCCCCGTCCCAAGAATTAGCGATATGTCGTTTCCCCTCTTGGTCGCGGCGTTTGCCAGAAAAACAGCAACGCTGTCATTGATAACTCCACGAACATACACACTAAATTTATAGCTTTCTGCCACCGTAACCTCGCAAAATAGCTGCTGCATGAGTTCGGTCATTTTCACACCTCTTACTTCATGACTCATCTGGTAGCCTTTGCCCATATCAGTAATTTCTCCATGAGGAGTGAGGGGGAAACCAAATGTCATACCTAGCTCGAAAGTAATCGTAGAAGTGTCAATGCCTCGTTCGCAAAGGAACTGGTTGGCTTGACGACATATCCACTCGACAATTACGCGGAAAAACTGCGTGTTGGCTAACGCTGGCCGTATTGGCAGACTTTCGCACTTCAAGACATTCAAATTCGTGACATCGAGAAGGCCGACCTTGACAAAACTTCCGCCCAGATCCACAGCTATTTGTAACCTGCTAGATGTCTCGGTAATTTCAAAGTTGGGCAAATCTGCGGTCCCACCGCTTAGCATAGAGATGTCGCTTTCATTCAGTCTTTTTTCAAGCTCCAGGCATCCATTTTCGATCAAACTCTCCATAGTCATATCAGGGGCTAGCACCTTCTTTAAATGATCAAACATTTCATGTTTAGCACTCATCACACCTTGCTTTGTGGGCCAGGTTCGCCGGATTTTATTGTTAAGATGATGTCCGATGAGCTAGCTCTTTCTTGAAATTAATATTCCACTGAACAATCAGGTAGGTATATATAGAAAGAACATCAAGCAAAACAACTAGCAAACGGTGTTGCATCAATTGATTCAAGATCAGCAGTTGAGCTTACCGAAGTGTATCAAGGTTGAGGTCGTTAGGATTAGCAACTAGTCTTTTGAATAAGTAAATTTAGGGAAGTAATGGGTACGCAGATTTATATAGAATGTCCGGTGTCGAAAATGGCAGTGGAAGAAATGCGGCACGGCATATCGCCCTTGAAGCATGTTATACATCTCAAGGGAGTGCTTTCTACGATCCTGTTCCACCGAACTAGTGGGTCTATAGTACCAGGCATGGACTGCGAAGACGCCCATTGCCGGTTTCCGGTGGTGCAGAGAGTAGAAAATAGCGACAGCCAGCAGGCCTCAGTGACGATGAACCAAAAGGTAGAAGAGTGCATCAAAGAGCTGAGCTTTTGGTTTGCGCAATTTGACGAGCGTCGACTAGACCAGCTTTCGCCTTCGCCGTCGCGAGAACAAACACCACCGGGCAGCCCCCTCCGAAGTTCAAATCCGGGTTCCGCATCGACAATCACGCTCAAACTCACTCAGGGCAACAACGATAGCTTGGAACCGTGGGAAACGTGGACAATTGCTTCCCAGATGACAAACAGCTACAGAATAGCGACTGAAAACGGGTCGTCCAGCAAGGAGTATGGGCATTCGAGCCATTTTGAGCAGTTTCTCATCAGTCTAGCGGCCTTCTGCTACGAATTGGGTATCCAAAATCCGCCACATCAACTGGCCCCTCCCCACATAGACATGTACGTGGGGACTCCGGACCATAGCGAGGCTGGCAACGAGTTTGACCGCTGGAAACGCTTTATCAAAAAAATGCTTCAGCCAGGGTGTGAGCGCGGCGGTGAAGTCGGTTGAACTAACGAAAATAGGGCTCTTACGAGGAGTTCAGCGGTAGCTCGCTTTTGGCGAAGTAAGAATCGCCCTTTACCAGCACACAATCGTTGATGACTTTGGATTTATCGATATGCAGCTTTTGTTCGGCGCACTCGATGCATTTCAAATCCCACGAGCCCGGTTGGAACCAAACGCTTTGCACAGAGAATGGTGCAGTTTGGAGCTGCTCTAAAATAGACAGTGTGATTGGCGGAGGGGTCACAAAGCATACACTGATGCCGTCGATGGCCTTTTTAGCAGGGTATTGAGACAGTCCAGCTGCAATTGATTCGAAAACACTCAACTTTGGTAATTCGGTTACTGTCTGAGTGAAACTATCGGTGGTCAAATCGACCTGACCGCCTGTTGGCGTCACTGGCATCACTGGCAACTTGTGTTGCACAAACCAATGGACCACCTTGTTAGCGTACGACAAATCCTTGTATACTTTGCCGCATACAAAATAAAGACGACGGGGTCCAAAAAACGCACCAAGCTCCTGTTTGACCATTGCAACAGGCGGGCACCAAGCTGAGAAAGACTGGAGGAAGAAGTAGGGAAACGTACACTTGGAACGAAGCTTACTTATGTGAATTATGACTTAATGGCTAACATAGTATACTCTTCAACGATGATTTTTTCAAAAAACACTCACGGTGGGGGTCGAACCCACAATCTTCTGATTAGAAGTCAGACGCGTTGCCATTACGCCACGCAAGCGATGTTGAATTACAAGGCTGTATCTGAGCAATATATACCAGTCCAATAACCACGTTTTTGAAGACATGGAGTTGTTAAGCCTGAACATTGAGCTTGCTGAGGCTATAGAGGATTGCGTAGACTTAAAATTAAGACTTTAAGACTAAGATTCATGCAATTGAGGTTTTCTGAGGTCAAATACTTTTTCGTATCTTTGTTTTTTAATGATTTGTAGACACCCGCCTGCTTTCTGAAAATGTTTCACTACATAAACATTTTATTACTGTTCAGACATAACACTTCCATTATCACAGTTAAGAAACCATTTTTGGATTTAATGGCTCCATAGTATACCAGTTTTGAGCCTTAGATTACGAAATGACAGACCTCTTATAATATCTTGAAGAACATAACAGAATTCACGGTTGGGTCAAAAACGCCGCAGATCATTCACAGAACCAATTCTTGTCACAGAGAAATAATAGCGTCGCCCTTCAGAGCAGGACCAAACAGTCTCAACAGGCTCACTGGCGAGAAATGCGTTTTCTTGCAGAGGACAATTTTATAGGCATTTTACACGAAATGGGTAGAATATAACGAATAAATGAACAGTCTATATGGCATTGTTCCGCCAGAATAATCATACAACAAACAGAACAACTCGGTGCAAAGTAGCAGTAACAAGAGCGGCAGTTTAGAATCAACTGGTAGTAATTTAGGCAATATTTAGTGTAATATCTTGTAAATATAGGTACAATTGGATCAGTGCGGTTTAGACCGTGTAAAACTGCTCCAAAACCAAGTCTTCAGGCTCCAGTCCGGAAGAACTAGACAGGGCTTGAAATCTCGTCTCGTTTATAAATCTTGAAGTCCACTCAATACACTGGCGTCTCGCCTCTGCACTTCCAGCTAAGTGTCTCCTCGACGAGAGACACTCTATACGAAAAACGATGTCATGGGTGACATCAAGCTCTTATATGTCATTTCATGTCGATCCTAGCGCTTCACACCATTCAGGACCATTTCTGGCTGATGGCCCACAATGAAAGTCGCAAGCGTACAAGACCCTGTGCCCTTTGCAAGAAAAATAAGGTCAAATGCCATTACGTGAACTCTCTGCCGTGCGAAAGATGCCTCAAGTACGGCTTAAAATGCCAATTCGAAGAACAGAACACCAGTGTGTACCCCACTGGCTACACAAGCTCGCCACACCCAGTTCAAACGGCTTCAAAAATACTGCCGCAACCTGCAATCACAGATGTCAGTCATTTCGTCCCACCCAGTGATCCCAGATCCGTCGCATCGCGTCTTAACACGCTGGAAAGTGCTCTAGAATCGGTTCTTTCCATACTCCAAACCAGTCAGTCTCAGCAGCAGCAACAGGCAGCTCTAATACAACAGCATATAGGACAGCATCCTTGGTGGGAAAAGCTGCGACCACTAGACGTTGAAGAACCAGGCGTGGTGGAGCCTGCACGAGAGGTCAATACAAATCAAGAAAGCTGTCAAGATCTGCATCTTCACAAAATCTTGACCTTAACAGAGGTAGAAGAACTTTTCGAGCTTTTCAGTGCCAAATTTGCTCCTCAACTATTTGGTTACGTTTTGGGGACGCTAGATGTGAGTTCGCTATGGCACTCATCGTCTTTTCTGTTACAATCGATTTGCACTGTTACTTGTCTACATCACCCCCTCATGGTATCCAAATTCAGCCTTTTAAAGCGTTGCTTCGAGTCTAGTGCTTCGCGATGTTTAATGACAGAGGTTCCAGCGGTCCAGATCGAGCACACCATACTAGCACTCGTAATTGGCGCGCTATGGCTTGAATCTGGTCAAATGTTCATTTCGGTTGCCATACAGCTCGCAAGAGTTCATAAACTGGATCAGCCTAGTTCGATTTCGTCTTCATTCAGATCGCCATCACTGCACAGACTTTGGTACTTGTTATACATCGTGGACGGCAACCAAAACCTTACGCTTCATAAGAGCCCATCCATTTATAAGGGAAGCGAACCTATACTGCAGAAGTCTCGAGATGATGTCATTGCAAGCTTCCCTAGTCCGTCAGTTCGTAAAGTACTAAATGCAAATTATCAAGCTCACGGAAAAGTCGTGAATAACCGACAACTCGAGCTTTTGAATGAGGTTGAGTGTCGCAAATTGACTGTTTCAGGAACGTCTTTAAGCGAACTCCGACTACTGGGCCAACTTGAGTATCATATGGCCATGGAATCCATATTCACCAATGATAAGAGGTACGCACCGGACGCCAATCCATCATTAGAGGCATCAATCAGTTTGCTGGATCCCTCAAAATTTGGCATGCACTGGGAAAGCAACTTAGAGTTGGACAAGTGGATGATTTCGTGGACCATCACACTTCAAAATATAGACTTTCAGAGTGATCCTTGGTGCCTGAAGTCTACGCTCTTATACTACAATTTTGCTCGAATGCACATCAACACAAAAGCCTTGTTTGCAGGTGGCAAGGCACAACTCTTCAACCTTGGAACCACCAGCCTTGTTGATTTGTGGCATTCACCGACTTCGAACCCGTCTACAGACCTCGAGAAGGCTATGGATGCATCTTACGAAATTTCCCACTCTGCTGCTCAATCACTAATTAGACTGGCAACTGAGGATAATGACATCAGAGAGATCTTCCAATTTCTTCCCATGCATGTCCATGCCATGTTATTTTATGCATCCTTGGTTCTTCTGAACCCTGAAGACCCATTGGCTAATGGCCCAAGATCAGATCGCAAGATTCTTACCGGTCGGTATAAAACCGTCAATAACCTGAGGACTCTTCTTTATAGGATACCGCTATCGGACTCAAACTTTCGGAAGAGAATCCTAGATACCCTAGATCAACTTCTTGAGAGGTTCGCAGAGAAATGTTTAGCTGTCGGTACCGCAAATGCTGAAGACGCTAACCGAGTGCGATGTCATGAAATATTCGAAAGTGACGATCTCAGCGATCATGAAAGCAAGCTAAGGCCAATAGTTGCGTGGCCTGGAACTAACCCGGGACATCCTTGAGAATTTTTTCTCTGTGCGAATTCGACTGATTCATTATATTCAAGAAGTTCGTCAACTAAAGACCAGTGTCACAAAAACAAAACAGTTCATCACAAGCTGTTGTCTGATTGTGAAACAAAGACATTTGCGCAGATCTAGGTAAATGTTGATGAGATCTACTGATAAGCATTGTATATCGAGTCATGGTAGTGGAAAAGAAATCTCAATGCAAAGTTCAAAAACTGAACAGCGACCGGGACTTCATCCAGTTAAAAAAGAGAGTTCACCGCGCCCCAAGAGCCATTCAAAAAAAACTTCGATCTGATGCTCAGGTGGCCGATCTAGAGTTCGACAGTATAAACGGGGATTTCAAGCGCCTCAAGCGGCTAGTTAAGTCTTTGTTGCGCAACTGTGAAAAGTACTCGAATGGAATCAATTGTTTTGTTGAACGATCTCTAGCGCTCTCGAGGCTTTTCGAATACGTTCTCAAGAGTTCTGCGGAGTGGAAAATGTCTCAACCTGCGATGTCGCCAACATTGGCTGCAACTGAGCCCACTGATGGCGCCAAATTCCTTCAATTCAATTCCCCCGGGCCCTTGACTTCGCCTTTAGAGCCGTTTATGTCCCCTATGCCCTTGAATAGCAGTGTTTCTGAGTTTTCGAGCAGGCACGACGTGAAAAGATTTCGAAGGCGCCAGGAAGCTATCGGAGGACGGATTGAGGCCGATTTGAAATCGATGGATATAAGTCTGCACCAGCCTTTGGCCAAAATGATGCAGCTCTTTATCCAAATCGGAAGAGTTCTCAAGGAGCGTGAGCTTTGCATTTTAGACCTAATGAGCTATGCCAGCAAGTACAAGCGGTTGAGCAGCAAAAAGCATAAACGCCTGACAGTTCGACAAGCTCGCAACAAGAGGCGATACGCACGCGATTTAGAACTGGAAAAATTGAAATACGAGTCACTTACGACCACAATAAAAGTCGAGCTACAAGTGCTGTTCAAGCTCTTCGCCAAGCTTCTGGAAAACTGGAGCCTCAATTTCATGTTGGCCACTTATTCCATAGCGTTCACTCTGTACAGTAGGTTGGGGTGCCACGCAGAAGTGCTAGAGATGATTAGCGATCATGAAGAGCCGTTTGACAGTGCGAAACGTCAAGAATTGCCCAAAGCCGAGACTTTGTCGCTGCCTAGTGGATTCCGTATGCTTCCCCAGAGCCCTACATCAGCTGTGAACACTGGTCTTTTAAGTATCGCGGACATTGTGTCAAAATTCCGTTCCAGTTTCGATCCTGTTACGCAACATATGAGCAGCTTTCAAGTCACCAGGTTCGATCTGTTATATAGCGCAACACTGTCATCAGCCAAAGAGAGTGCCAAAGCTAACTTTCGAGACAGCGCTGTGCACGGAATGGTGCCCACACTGTACGCCACGGCGGTATACAATTACACAGAGACAGATACGGGCTACAACGATGGCGATTTGGCATTTCACTGTGGCGACCTGATCAAGGTAGTGCGCAAAAGCGAATCTGGCTGGTGGTATGGTGAAAGCATGCGCACCAAAAAGAGAGGGTACTTCCCAGCAAATTATGTCGAGGTGAGCAAGTTTGAGTGAAGAAGAAGGTGGAGGGTGTGCACACAGGAAGTAAGTAGAAGGGCAGTGCATGTCGCTGACCGAGTTAGTTGCACACGCAGTAAAAGACGATGGCGCGGGGTGCAATACAGTGCTGTGGTGAAGCAAAGCGGCAGAGGTGTTTGTTGTGTTTGTTATCGATGGCGGGCGTCTTGATAATGATAACTTAGGATGTAATTTTTTGCTTTGCTCTCTTTGTGAGCTTAAGCGTTGAAAGCTCGATGCCGTACGAAGACTAGATCCAGCATCGCCAATTCCGTGAATGGCGTTCGAAGGGATATATAGCCGTCACTTCCGTGTGGTATTTTCTGAGCTCGGATAATCATTGCATGGGATATCTTTCTGGATTTGGAGCGCCAAACTGCGCGTAAATCTTTCGACAGGAACAGGACTGGGCCTGACTGCCACTTTCGGTTTCCATCTCGCAAAATGCCAAATGTCGACGTCAATCAATCTGTATCAAGCTGCATGTCCGATGTGCCTACTATCCTAAAATAGAGACGAAACGAAAGATCTCACGCGTAACCGCATTCTACACTTACTTGTGTGGATTCAAAACGCCAATTTTAACGTCAAAGTGTGTCACAGCTCAGATTACGAGATGTTTAAGTTCTGATAAGCCTTCGACACATAAATGAATAAAACTCGGGCCGAGGATGACAATGAGAGAATCCAACTGCGACTCAGAATAAGATCTCAGCATCATCTATTGCAAATCGACCCACAGCCTGAGATTCTCTTCAAGTTTAAACAACTGAAATCTCTAAATAAATACACAGTCAGAAGACCATTGCCGATTCAAAACCCAAACTCGCCACGAAATTTCGACTGAGTTCCATCTGCGCTACTCACCAAAATCCAAAACCTCTGCCCATCGCCATGGAATGTCTATCATCTGCCCATCGCCGTCGTTCCTGGCTCATCGCGAACAGCAACCTGTCACTTCATCACGTGACATTCTCGACACCATAGTCATCACCACACACGAAGGACTTTCCGCGATATTAAATTAAAGCTGTTGCAAAGGGAGCTAAGACCATCGCAACTGCTATCATCCCATTCACCATAAAAGTGACGTTTTTCCGGTCAACTTCCGCAAATTGTAGCCCTCTAAAGGAACAGCAACAATAGGACGAATTGTGTACCGTTTCCCCGAAAAAAAAGCGGCCAAAAACCTATAAAAACAGCGTTACAACGTCGTAAGAAAAGTCTAGTTGTGTCAAGCCAAGAAAAGTTCTGTTCTCCTACGTTGCATCGTTAGAAAACATACACACACCACCCCCCCCCCNC